AGAGATTAATCTAATCTAGGTTCTTGCCCTCAGTGTTGGAGGAAATATACCTGACACCTCTTTACTATTGACTCGTGTATTAAACATCTAGTCCGGTTCGCATGCATATTCATGATGCAAGGAACCAAGGGAGTTTTAGGTCTAAAGTGTTACGGGGATCCTTATATCCAATTCAATCACAAGAATTGCTATGCACCACCAGAAAAACCTCACTTTTGCTTTTCAGCTTAATCTAAAACCAAATTACTCCCCAATAAGCTGCAGTATTACTAGCAAACAACACTGAAAAGCAAAAGCTCCATCTCGAGTTCGAAGTCAACTGTCTCGAGAGAGTATACCAAGTTGACATCAAGTCAATCAAGACTATCATTGAGTAACTATAGCAACAGAGGAGAGGTGCGCAAATTTTGCACACAGCCACACTATAAAGGATACCAAACAGCTCTAACAGCAAAGAGGTGCGTGCGCGGGAAGATTCCCATCTCTGTTCCCATTTCGGTGTCACAGATCGATCTACAGTTTCCGGCCGGAACTACGTTGATCTGAGGATACCATCGACTCAAGCAGAGAAAACTGAATAGGTTACGTGCTGGACGCAAGGAAATCCAGCTCTTATTCAAGGAGTTGAAGCGGATTACGTCATCGCGCGAGATTACGAGATTTTCGTTCATCACATCACGGCGAGCAAAAGCCAACAGTTGTCGATCAAGCTATACGAGGGCGTTGCAAGCCACAAGACCAATAGAGAGAAAGTTGCGCAACACGTCAAGGATACTCTGAGTATCAGTGCACGCTTCTAACTCCCGAAATTGAGTGAGATAGGTTGATCCGAGAGATCCACCGCTATTGTGACGTGAACCACAAAATCCCGGTAAACCACACGGAGTCCTAAAACTCCATCGTTTGCCTGTTTCAAACTGTAATACTCACACAGTGTAACCATCCAAGCATACCAAGACCATCTGCAAGCTTTGCAGAGGCAACAAGAGGACCATCAGAGGCAGTTCGCTACTACCCAAGGGTCCAAAGAAGATACCACGTTCTACGTGAGCTGTTGAAACCAACAGAGGCTACCCAGCCACAAACAGGTGCACCAAGAGTGACCAAAAGAAGGCTATCCAGCCAACAAGAAGCTTTTACAGGCAACTACAAGAGTAGTGCCCGTCGTGAGATCCTTCCTGCAGGAGTATCCACACAAGAACACAAGCTAGTTCCAAGGAACAAGCAAGCACAAGAGTGCATTACCACACCAACAAGACCATGAGATTCCAAGGAAGAGGTGGTCGTGGTGGAGGAAGATACCCTTCTAGGGGGGGTAGGGGATTCAATTCCTCAGGAAGAGACTCTTCGGACGAAGATTCAGTGGAATCCACGGAATCAGATGAAGATTCTGAGGATGGGAACGCCCCAGGGCTAGTACCAAGGGCATCCAAACAGTATGCCACAGACATTGACTCCGATGAAGAAGGAGAAGAGGGATTCCAAGGAATCCCAACAAGCACAAGTCCAGACAACCCTACAGTTGAAGAGACGGCACCAGCAGTGGATACCAATGATGGAAACCTCGCTGGACCAGCCAAGGCTTCCAAGCTTCCTCGAGTTGGAATTAGACGCTCAGCTCGGATTGCCACAGCCGAAGCAAAGAAAGGAGTCACCTTCGTCCAAGATGACGAAGCGAAGCAACCACTACTGTATGAGGTTGAGACAGAGACAAGCAAGCACCTAGCTTTGTTCAGACTCCTGCAATCACAGGAGGCCACAGCAGAAGTCAAGGATGAGAGCAGCCATGCCCAACAGCATCTTCTACCCAAGGGTCTGAAAGTGTGGGGCAACAAAGCCAGAAAGCGGCGCTCAAAGAGATGGACCAGCTACACAGCAGAGTGTGTTTCAGTCCAGTGACCCAAACAAATGCAGTGATTCTGATTGAAAAAGGCACAAATGGACTCATGTTTGTGAGTGAGAAAAGGGATGGCACGGTCAAGGCCCGTGCAGTCTACAATGGGAAACCTACAAGGGTGTACCATCAGAAAGAAAATGCCAGAAGCCCAACAGTTTCACTTGAGGGTTTGATTTATCCATGTGTGTCGATGCATCCGAAGATAGGGATGTGATGTCCCTGGATGTCCCAATGCGTTCATCCAAACCCCAATGCCAAAAGTCAAAAAAGGTGAAGACAGGTCCTCATATCATTGAGGGAACCTTGCAGACTTACTTGTGAAATTGATCCTGACACATATGCCTCTTTCCTGACATACAAAAAGGGACGTCCTGTCCTCTATGTTGTCGTGGAGAGAGCCATTTATGCATGGTTTTGGCAGCACTTCTTTGGTACAAGCTATTCAGAAGTGACCTCGAGCAAATTGGATTTGTGTTCAACCAATACATCCTTGTGTGGCCAACCGCATGATCGAAGGCTACCAACAAACAATCCGATTCCATGTTGACGATCTAATGTCAAGCCACAGAATGAAGTTGGTGAATGACCAGACTTTGGAATGGTTCAACGTTAGGTATGGAACCTATGGAGCGTGAAGGCAACCGTGGTCCCAAGCATGATACTTGGGGATGACGGTGGTTTTCCGACCCAGGAAAGTTGTGATTGACATGATAGATTATGTCAAGAAAATGTCTCAGAGTTTCCAGTGGACTTTGGGGCAATGAAAAAGGTACAAGTGCAGCTCTGCTGACCTCTTCAGCTCTGGTGATGGTACCACCCTGAATGACAAAAACAGGAGACTTACATACCTTTGCAGCCAAGCTGTTGTTTCTGTGCAAGCGTGCTCGACCAGATGTGCAGACTCTCACTACTGTTGTTATGCACTCGTGTCGAGAACCCAACATCTGATGATTGGGACAAGTTGGTCCAAGGCCTCAAGTTTTTGGATCAGACGGCGCAGGACAAGTTGATCCTACACATTGATGACATACGCATCATCACTTGGTGGGTGGATGCATCATTTGCAGTCCATCCTGATTACCGTTCCCATACAGGAGGAGTCATGTCCTTTGAAGTGGCGCGGTGCTGTCTGTGTCTGCGAAACAGAAATTGAATTCGAGGAGCAGCACGGAAGCGGAATTGATTGGAGCTGACGATGTCATGTCGCCCATGTTGTGGGCGCAAGTTGTTCCTTGAAGAGCAGGGGATCGTTGTGAAGGACACATCCTCATGCAGGACAACAAAAGCACGATCATTCTTGCAGAGAATGGCAAAGGCAGTTCGGGCAAAAGAACTCGGGCCATCAACATTCGTTTCTTTTTTATTCATGACCAGATTGGAAAAGGCAACCTTAGAGTTTGTACTGCCCAACCTTGGAAATGCGTGGAGATTTTTTCACGAAGCCCTTCAGGGCAAGCTCTTCCACAAGCACAGGGCTTTCATCATGGGGCATCCACCCCTTGTTTGATTGCCTAATTTATTTTATTCGTTCCACGGTAGCCACTTAGGGCACCGTGCAGGAGTGTGTTGGAGAAATATACCTGACACCTCTTTACTATTTGACTCGTGTATTAAACATCTAGTCCGGTTCGCATGCATATTCATGATGCAAGGAACCAAGGGAGTTTTAGGTCTAAAGTGTTACGGGGGTCCTTATATCCAATTCAATCACAAGAATTGCTATGCACCACCAGAAAAACCTCACTTTTGCTTTTCAGCTTACTCTAAAACCAAATTACTCCCCAATAAGCTGCAGTATTACTAGCAAACAACACTCAGCGTCGGCTGAATGAAGAATTGTGAGCTGAGAGAGAGACAGCCTTCTTGCGATCGGCAGTTCAATGGCTGGTCTTGGCTAGGTCGCTGGCTTTAGTGATTCATGGTTGCCGCTGTCGATCTTGCCAAATGTAGTCTTGAACGGGCGTCGTTGCCTTAAGGGTAATCTTGTTCGAGAGGCATTGAGGAGCTGATGCGGTGCATCATCATGTGGGGTATCCATTTCCGGAACGCAGGTGATGACCTGCGAGATGTAGAGATGAACTTGAGTTGTAGGTGAGGAGCATGGGAATTAATTTTGCAAATTGTGAGATGGTCCTCTCGGCAACCATGATTAGGGTCATAGTTGCGAGAACCCATCAGGGTTCAAGTTTCCACGCTGCGGGGTGTGGAAACTCGGACCGGGGGGTTCCCCAGGTGTGCTGCTGCTCAACACGCAAGAGTTTAGCATGGTGAGGTACGGTTCCGGTTCCGGGTCCGGGTACTAGTAGCTTTAGCTTGGTAAAGTACCATTCCGGGTCCGGGTACTATTAGCTCTAGCTTGGTAGGGTATGGTTTCAGGTCCAGGTATATGGTAGTTTAGCCCATGATAGTTTGACTGGAACCGGGTATTATGATGGAAATTGGAGAAGATCTGAGAGAATTTATCGTAGTGAGGTACGGTTCCGGATTCGGGTACTAGTAGCTTTAGCTTAGTAAAGTACTGTTCCGGGTCCGGGTACTATTAGCTCTAGCTTGGTAGGGTTCGGTTCCGGGTCCAGGTACGGTAGTTTAGCAAAGCCATGATAGTTTGACTGGAACTGAGTATTATGATGGAAATTGGAGAAGATCTGAGAGGACGGCTAGGGCTGCCACTGGCTGGGAACTGGGGATGGAGCCAGTTTTGGGAGAACTGCTAAGGCTATGATATCATTGGCTGGGAAAGAGCTGGGAGAGCTGCCAAGGAGCCACATCACTAGCTGGGAGTGTTGCATGGTAGCTAGCTAATTAATCCTAACTGGCTGAAGTCAGGTTCTCTGGAGCTGGAAGCAGTGCTGCTAGGGTTCCCTATCGCCGTCTTGCTAGTAAAGCAAGCGCATGCCAGTTGGCCAAGCAACTGACAGCCCTCATTTCAATTTCCGTGGTTGGCGCCACTGGAGGCCTCTTGTTTGGGATAATGACAAGAGGACCATGCAACAGTAGAGAAATTTCGGATCCCTAACCCTCGTAAAACGGTTAGCATCCTTGGGCGTGCGCGTCCAACAACCGAGATTATCGGTCTTGACGCGTCATTGGTCGCCCTGCCGGTACGGAGCATCAAAAGTTTCGTGACCCACTTCGTTATAGTTAGCTACATGTAGTTTAGTGTGTTATGATGATGTGTGAACTCTCCCGTGGCCTCTAAGCTCAAAACCAGTATATCAACGTCTATAGCAACACGAACCGCGACGGGAGAATGCAAAGTATGCGTGTGTGTGTGTGTGATCAACGAAGAACAGCGATGGAAGGGAAAATCATTCTCTCCATGACAGAAGGAGCAATCAAAAAGGCAATTAAGGTAACAGACGCATGCACTCACGGCTAGTGACATCACCTTGTCCCTCAAAGCTGCTTGCCTTTCAAACACCAGCAGTTGTGATCATCTCGAGTCGCTTCTTGAGCTCGGCAATCTCTTCGTTGGCCTTGGCAAGCTTGGCTTGCAGATCCTTGTTGCCGTTCTTATCTTGCACTGGAACAGTGCTCGATTCACTCTCGCAGTCCGAATCGGATCCCTGGCGGACAAGCTGATCTTTGGAAACGGGAACTTGCACAGTTTCCGCCACTTCTTCCTCCTCGTCATCATCCTGGTAGGTTGGACAGTTGCAGACAAAGTTGGGCGACGGGACGCGGTATTCGTTGCCCGTGTATTTAATTTCTCCGGTGCCAAGGTTAAAGGAAAAGACGGCAATCGAGTCAGAATCCTGGTTGGCCACAATCAAGTACTGACCAGTAGCATCAAACTGGTAGTGTCGCGGGGTTTCTCCGCGAGTATGAAAGTATCCGACAGTGGAGAGTTCTCCTCGCTTGGGTCCCTTGTGCTTGACCTTGTAGATTGCGATGGATTGATGACCTCGGTTGGACACCACGACGAAGCGGCCCGACTTGTGCACACAGATGCGTCCACAAGTATTCATTTGTGTGGGGAAGGCGCTTGGGAGGGTAGTGATGGATTGAATAAGACGAAGGGTTGTCCGTCCCTTGAAGCGATCCATGTTCTCCCCTGCCTTGGCAGCGTCGGAAATTTCCTTGAGTAGGTGACGGTCCACTTCAAACACGGCAATCTACAGACATGCATGCAAAGTCTGAGTGAGTCGAGTCCACATACAAGTGAATTCTGCTGTATACACTTTAAGTCAACTTACCGTCGAGCTGAGTTCATTGACTACGTATGCGATAGGATACCTTGGATGGAAGTGAATGTAGCGTGGTCCGTCTGGTTTTCCCGAGCAGAGTCCCGAGGGCATGTAGTTCATTTCCATTTGAATGGCTCCACCATCACGATCGTAGTAAAACTCCCGGATCAAGTCCTTGCCAAGATCAGGAACATAGGCTACGGTGCCCACGTAGGGGTCCAAGACCAAAGCATGGGAATGAGGATCCGCTTGTCGCATCTTGATGGTACTCTCATCATTGTGGCTATGGTTGACTCCTCCATTCTTTTTGGCGGCGGCCACCATGCTTTTTCCTTGCTTGGGATCATACTTGGACTTGATGGGACCAGTGAATGCTCCCGTTTCTTTTGAAATGGGGATGGTGACAAGGGTAGAATCCCAGTAGTTGACAGCCAACAAGTTCTTTTGAGCCCGATCAATGGTGAGGTAGCATGTGGATGTACCACCGGCATCAACAGGTTCTCCCAAGGGTGTCAAGGCTCCATTGTCTTCCAGTTTATAGGCAAAGATTCTGCCATTTTCTTCAATGTCTTCGGTGCAGGTGTAGACAACCTTCTTATCGGGGTGGTATCGACTAAAGGCGGGGTTCATGACCACCTTGGGATCTCCCTGAATGTTGAGTAGGACCATGCTTCCATCGGAAGGGTAGAACCGGTACACGTAGAGCGAATGTGAGGCTTCCGTACCTCGAGGTCCATGGGCTTCGCACAGAACAAGAAGCCGAACCGAAAGAAAAGTAGAGGCAGCACATCGTCAGTCTGACAGGAAGAAAGACAAGACAACAGAAGTCCAAAGATGAAGCCAACAACGTTTGGCTTACCAAGCTTTTCAAAGTCGGAATAGGAAGTGACAAAGAAGAGCTGATCATCGTTGACCAGTTCGCCGTCCAGGGTGGGTGTGACAGCCATTACTGAACTGGACACAGTTTGAGATCCAGAAGAGGATCCACTGTTGGCACGGGAGAAACTCATCATGTTCTTTGCTGCTCGCTTTGGAGGGTGTATGTTGGGTATTTTGAATGGTTGATTGATTTGCTGTGATGTCTCTGCAAATAATGTTGGTTTTATGAGAAGAAAAGACAACCTGCAAATTCTTCTTCGAAGAAAAACGGTGAGAGCGACGAAGCTTCAGCAGTTCGGATATCTTGACATGACACCGTTGCTTGTTGAGTTGAGTGACAGTCTGCTGTGTCTGTGTGTCTGTGTAGCTTCCGTATGCGCTGTGGCTTCCGTACAAGCCGGTACAAATACGTTGGAGAAATAAATGTACGACCTGGCGTAGTCGCTGATGACTTTTCCCATAGAAATATCTTAAATAATTTGATCCGCGTCACTACCAAGGATTTAAAACTCGTAAAAGCGTTAATGAACAAAGCATGCGGAAGCAAGATCGAACTTAACAGTTGAAGAAGCATTCCTTCCGGGTTCAAAACGTTCAAAAGGACTTAGAAGAAGGCAGCTGACATCTTCTTCCTCAAAGCCTCAAGGGCAGTCTTCGAGAGTCGTTGACACTCCGACCAATGTCCTTGCTTGTTGCACTCCCACCAACCACGAAGATCGAATTTCTCAATCAACCAAAAATGAAGTTGACAACTGACAACCCTTTATTTTCACACACGTGGGATACCCTTGACAACAAACCCATCATCGTCCACAAGACCCTCCATCAAGCTTTCGCATCAGTATAAGATTGCACGCACATCATTCTAAATAAGATTGCATACACATCTCCTGAAGAAACCTCATTAATATATTTGATTGAACACACTTAAGAAAGAAATCATGGCTGAGAGCGATACAAGATTCCGAGGAAAGACCATTGTCATCACGGGAGCAGGAGGTCAATTTGGCCGAGAAGGATGTCTCTTTTTTGCCAAACGAGGAGCCAAAATTGCCGCGTTGGATCTGTCTACCAAGGGATTGGAGGAAACGGCCAAGCAAGTCAAAGAGGCTGTCGCGACGGCCGAAATTTTGACGTTGGAATGCAACGTGACGGATGTTACGAGTGTCCAAAACGCCATTACAGCCACGGTGGAAAAATTCCAAACCATTGATTTATTGTGGAACAATGCGGGATATCAAGGACAAATCAAGCCCACGTTGGAATACGATCCAGCTGATTTTTCTCGTGTGCTGAATATTAATGTGACGGGAATGTTTATTGTCTTGCAAGCTGTGGCCAAGCAAATGGTCAAACAATCACCATCCGACGCCTATTCTATTGTCAATACGGCCAGTGTGGCCGGATTGCGGGGAACTCCGGCCATGGTGGCATATGCCAGCAGTAAAGCAGCCGTATTGGCAATGACGGTCAGTTGTTCGAAAGACTTGGCACCGAACAAGATACGCGTCAATGCCATTAGTCCAGCTCTGATTGGACCTGGGTGAGTAATCCAAGCAAGGCAAAAAAAACGTGTGGGGTTTTGCGGAAGATCAAAACACATTTCTCACTCCTTGCTTGATTTTTAAATGCTGGATCAGTTTCATGTGGACACGGCAAAACGAGCTTCATGCACAGTCTGGGTCTCCATATTTCGCCACGGATCCAGAGGTCGTGGCTAAGAACAAGATCAACAGTGTGCCTCTCAAAAGGCTAGGATCGATTGAAGAAGTTGTAAAGTCGGTGGCGTTCCTGTTAAGTGATGATTCCAGCTATATGACTGGAACCAACCTTGTGGTGGATGGTGGTATGAGCAGTGGGCTAAAGGCGTAAATGCCAACCAAGATTACATGAATGATTAATCGACAATCAGCTCGTTCACGATACAACGAAGCAACCCGTAACCTAGCTAGCCAAGCGTTTCCTTGTTAGAATCATAGGCATCCAACATGCTGCTTCCAAAGGAGCTCGTGGCTAGTCAGCTCTGATGCTAGCTAAACGAGGACAGCCGAACAGGCAGAATGAGAGTTGCATTCGAACTCGCGTGCACGGAGCACATCAGCTGCCGCAATTCACGATCATTTCATTGTTCCTTTATTCCTTCGCCAGCTCCGAAAATGTTTTTTTCCAAAGCAGTGCCAAAGGGAATCTGATCCAAAGACAAGGACGAACCAGCAAGGTAGGTAGTAAGCTAGCTAGGAAAAAAGGAAGTGCACGTGTCCCTAATTTTACTCTACAACAGTAGCGCTTGCCAACGCTACATAATGGACCGATAATTATGCGACTCTTGGAAATCATGAAAGTGAAAAATGCAGTTTGCTGTGTAGCACTCTTAAGGGATATCGCCGCCGAATTGGACAGTGTAGGATCGGGAAGCAGCGGCATCGAATTCCACAGGTCCTTGGCGTACATATCCAAGTTCCCAAATGGGGTTGGAGTCGCCCAACCAGACCTGATCGTTACAGTATTCGTCTCCATCCGCGCAGCACACGTTGCAGCATTGGCAGTCGACTTCTGGTGTAGCCGTGTCGCCTCGGCAGTCGGCAACAAACATTTGGCGGACTTCAGGGAAACCGCAGACGGCATCGGCGGAACCAGTGATGCTGTTTTGCTCAATCATGAAGAAAGCTGTTGCATTAAAAAAGAGGAGGACGATTGAGTGATACATGTCAAGGAGAGACCAATGTTATCCCACCGGTTGTGAACTGAACTAAACTTACCGAGCTTCTCGAGGCCTCCAAGAGTCGATGGAAGGGCACCATCCAACTTGTTGCGATTGAGGAGCAAGTAGCGTAGATTGACCAAGTTGCCGATTGATTCGGGAATGGATCCTTGGAGTTGGTTGTCATCCAAATCCAAAAGCACCAAGGTGGTCATGTCACCAATCCAGTCTGGGATGGTTCCAGTGCGCTTGGTATTCTTGAGGGAAAGTTCCTGCAAGGAAGGCATGCTTTTCAAGAATTCGGGAATGGCCCCCTCCGAAAAGGGATTCTTGGCCATGTACAAGAGTTCCAAACTGACCAAACCACCAAAGTTGGTGGGGATATCTCCGGACAATTGGTTTCCAGTGACATCAAGCTGTTTCAAGGCGGTCAATTGACCAAAGGATGCTGGGATTTCCCCGGCCAACTCGTTCTCGTTGAGTGTCAAGATTTCCAATTTGGAGCCGGAAACGGTGAAACTGGGCAAGCTGGAGAATTGATTGCCATGGAGATCCAAAATTCGAACGTTGGCCAGAGTGAAAAGACCTGCCGGGATTGGTCCGGTGAGCTTGTTGTGACTGGCATCCATGACCTCCAAGTTGGGCCAACTGTCGACCATGGAGTCTGTGATACTTCCTTCGAATTCGTTATCTTCAAAGACCAAGTGTCGGATGCTGGATAATCCCGCGAGCATATCAATTCCTCCGCTGAGCTGGTTGTCATCGAGGTAGAGGTTCTCCAAATTGACCAAATTGTTCAGGTTGGTAGGAATAGATCCGGTCCACTCATTGTTGGAGAGCACCAATGATTTGACGCTCACCAAGTTACCCAACCATTCGGGCAAGCCGCCGGTGAGGCCACAGTAGTGGAGCCCAATGTACTCAATGCTGGGTAGGGTTTGGAAGAAAGTAGGGAATCCATTGGTGAGTCCAGGGTTGTTGAAGGCTTCCAATTTCTTCAATCCCGTCAAATGGGACATCTCGTCAGGGAAGGATCCCGTCAAAAAGTTGGAGGCTGGAGTGTTGGCGACGGGTTTTTGAAGATAAGGTCGTCCGTTGGTTAGTTAGTTAACGCGATTGCAACAAGAACAAGAAACAAACAATAGTAGTGAATATGACTTACGGAAATGAAGGCCAGTGACGACATTATCGACACAGTTGACTCCATATTGACGAATAGTCTTCTTATCCCCAGCGTAAGCCTTGAGGAACCATTTGCATTCCTGTTCCCCGTTCAAGAAATTCAAAGGGTTGGGCCAACGAGGACCTCCCACCGCGTAGAACATGGTAGCGACAACGTATCGTTGCTTAATGGCCGCCATATCCGGTGACTCCAAGTCCAATTGAAGGGTATCAGTGTCGGCCATCCAAAGAGCAGCCTTGTGCTGGGGAGATTGGTCATTGGTAAAGTCTTCCATGGTACTGAGATTCTCGTTCCAAAGAAGATTGACCAGTTTTCCATACCGATTATCCGTGGGAGGATTGGTCGCGGGTGGGGCAGTCGTCGATTCCTGCTGAGGTGCGTCAGTGGCCACGGGTGTTGTGGGAGGATTGGTGGCGGTGACGGGAGGAGAGGTAGTGTCCGTGGTAGTAGCAGGCTTGCCTCCCGCAGGAGTCTCAAAGTTGTAGTCGCCACTCTCCGAGTTGCCATTCAATCCCATAGGAAACTCCTGATCTTCTGTGCCAGTGTTGGTGACGACCAACGTCACTGCCACTGCCACTGCAGCGACAATCACCAATGCAGCCATGATGAACAACTTCCACCTGCCGTTACCGCCGCCATCCCGTCGTCCCATATCCAAGCGGACATCCTCCACAGAAGGGAGCTGATCATGCTCACTGCTGCCTTGAGATCCCGAAAAGGCCGTTTCAACGTCCGACTTTTGAGCCCAAGAGGCACCGCTGTCACGGCGGAAAATCTCAGAGTTGGCTCTCGCTTCTTCCACGGAAGGAAGTTGGTCACCAGGACCGGCAGAATGGTCATCCGGACTCAACATGTTGGACATTGGCTTCTCTTTCCAAACAGAACTGAACTACTCGAACGACGACGAGTTGAGTTGAGATGAGATAGATCTGATCTGCAACCAGCGAAATGAGACGATTGTCTTTTCTCCTTTCCAAAAAAGAGAAAGATGAGGTCAGAGATCCCAACGGTAGCAAGAGGTGCGGCTGCCCGGATGGCTTCACAATAGTGTGAGAATTGAGAAAATTGGGGAGGGCGAAAAATGTTCTTTGTTTTGACGTTCCAACTGCCACCAATCTAATGCGTCTGTTGAGTCGAATGGGTCGACTGTGTACCCACCAGTCCTGTGCACAAAAGTCCGTATACCTCCAGTTATGGTAATGACGTTTTACTCGGACATGGAATTTTCCGGAGTATCGCCAAGAGTGTACTTACATGATGCACGATTTCTATATCGCGTGGCGAGAGTGGCGCGGTATCGCGATACTCGTGCCAAAACATGTTGTCGTTCGCATCCTTCCCTCCTTTCATCATGAGGTTGGATGGTAGGTGGTCCTGGTACCAATGGTTGACACGACCTATCACAGCATCACAGCTCTATTGTAGTATGTCATAGGTCTGCAAGCAAACAAGCTATTGTTACTCCTGTTGTTAACCAGCTCAAAATTCGGCCATGGCGCATATACAGTACCACATCGTGCCTTCGGTTAGAAAAAGGATCCAATCCATGCCAGAGCTTCCCACAGGTTACATGTAGTCCAGCCAGGATTGACTGGCAAGAGTCGAGTCAAAGAAAAACTCACTATTGTGGCGTTGTGACCAGTGAGAATAAAAACTCTCGTTGGAAGAGTACCTTGCAGACAGAGCCCAACGGCTCCTCCTCGTCCACAAAAACCTAGCTACGTACCAGATGGTAGCTAGCTTTACACCCGTTCTGGTACCACTAAAACAATGCTAGATAGCCAGCCAAAAGCCCGCATCATGGCTAATTCCTTCACCATTCCTTCGATTTTAGCGCTTCTGTCATGTGTGTGGGTCTCAGCTTTTTCCTGCAGGTACCTACTGGTAACAAGTACCAATGACGCTCGGGCCGATCTGATCTGATCCGCGTGAAAATATCAAAGGATCTCTTGTTTTGATGACGAATTGCTTCTGTTTCAAGGTGTCAAACTGACGTCTGTGGGTGTAAAAGGACACCGGCACGGGTTGACTTCTACCACATACTACATGTATGTCATAGCTAGCTAGTACTAGTACCGGTAGCTAGTACTAGCTAGTGGTACCATGCAGCTCTACTGTATGCATACCGATAGGTGCAGCATGCCGTGACATCCAATCGGCGGGAGGGAGATACATGCCTCGGTGGTATTGGAAGCAACATGAGCCCCCCGAGCTGCGAGGCTGGTATGCTTACATGGAGTTAGCTAGCTAGCTAGCTTCACTTTTCAACTTGCTTCTTTGGAGCTGTCAGTCATTCCAACCTGGGCGAAATTCCCCGTCTTGCTTTCAGCAACAGTGACATTTCAAGTGTTGGTCGTCTCATAGGCATGGACCGCGGGCGACCACGGGCCGAGAAAGCAGGGGAGCTGCGTGGATTCTGTTCTAACTAACCATGGATTATCTTGTTTTGTACAACAAGTAAGAAGCCAACCACCAGCCACCTGGTGCAATTCTGTTGTGGGTTTCAGTTGCTGCATCAATTATTCAAGTAGCATGCTTTGGTGTACAGTCGTAGACCAGCACATCCAATTTTTGTTTGGATGTGGTCTAGCTAGCTACAGCCATGTGGGTAGGTCAAGGGTACTCCGGAGTAGGCTAATTCGATGCAGGTGCTGGTCCAGTTGTGGATCCATTGGTCCAGTTGTTGGTCCTAAAGGCGTGGGTCCTGGTGATGGTTGATTGTGGGCGAGAGGGCCAGGAGAATGATGATGATGATGATGATGTGCGGTGGCAATGGATTGAGAGCTGGCAATGGACCTTGTGTTGGTCCTAGCCCAATTAAGACCGCCTGGAGTTGAATCAGCGTACCGTAGTGGTCATGGCGCAGGAGCCGGGAATTGACCCGTAGTGGCGGCTACTGTTGGTTGGTCCTCCCGGTAAGTATGGGTTTGGCTTCAAGATAGGGCGGGTAGCGTCGTTTAGGAACTGGAGACAAGTCTTTGATTGGACCTGGACCTATTCCAGGCTTTTGTTTTTGATGATAGGTTAGAGCACAAATGATTAGTGAATTTGTCTAGGCCTTCTCATCCAGGTTTTGGGGATAGGGCGTGTGGCCTGTTGTGGGAGATTTTATTGGTTGAATGGTCCAGTCCAGCAATGCGTTAGGTGTTGGAGCTGGAGTAGTGCAACAGATAGATAGGTCCAGGTTGTGGTACATGAGTGGGTCCTGGAGTTCTGAGGATATTGGCCAGTGTTGGGGTCTGGCTGGCAATGGATGTTGGGTCTGCCTGGTGTGGGTCCTGTTGTCGATCCAGGCAAGTGTGAGGAGTAGTTGACCCAGGTTTGTGCCAGGTGTTGTTATCTGGAGTTGGCCTGGGAGTGGTGCCTGGCGGTGGACTCGGGTGTAAGTCCAGGTACACAGGTCCTGGTATTCTTGAAATCTGTGATGAATTGCATGGGAGCGTTGTATCCGAGCCCCCATCCCAACTGGTTTGCCAACCAATTTCCACAACCCCTCCCTTCCTCACCCCCAACCAACCCCCCCTTCGGCACCCCCCAGCTACTTTCCCTTAGTTAGACCCCCTTCGGTGGTGCGAATAGTTGAATCCCTAGCCAGAGTCCCGAACGGGCCTCCCCTTTACTAAATGACCGGCTTGCCACAGCAGCGACAACAAGAGCAGCATCCAACGCTGCTTTTCCCACCCTTTCATTCTCGTTCTCAGACAACACTAACGAACGTAAAAGGGAAAAGGTTGCTTCAGCAGAGGGCAAGGAGCATACCCAAAGCTGTTTGGGGGTTGTCGAGAACCCAAGGAAACTATTAATATTCAATCCACAGCTAGAAGACGCCTTGCTTACTCGTCACTCGCACATCGACTGACGTTTGCTTCGCTCGCTTCCTTCGGCTCCTCGAGGTATCACTCAACAACACTCACTCGAGATCACACTTCAGCTCTCCATTGCTAGCTAGTAGTTCCGTCGCCTATTGATTGATTGATTGATTGATTGGTTGGTTGATCGACCCCCAATAAACCATGGAGAACCGAGCGAAATCACGTGGAAAGTCACCACCTCGGGGAGAATCGGATGTGGAATGGGTGCAGCAAGCGTTGGCGGGCTTACAACTTCCACGCATGCCTCAGGCTCCCTTTCACCCAGAAAACCCAGAACAGTCGAGTTCCTCAACAAATCCAACTATCCGCATTCTCTTGGTGTCTGATATCGATCTTCCGTCGGCATCAGCTTTGGCAGAGTACACCTTGCTGCAGAATAATCAAGTTTTTGATGCCTCCCGCATTGACTTGTGTATTGCCTGTGGTCCCTTTTGCCGAGACGAAGACCTGTTGCCGTATCTGAGAGGGAAGCAACGGAAACGATTACAGGATCTCTTGGAAGACGAGAGAAAGCGCAACAACAAACAGCAACTCAACGGGGGAAATAGGACATCGCCTGCTTGGTCTTCCGTCTTTTTCCGATCCAGAGAAGAGACGGCTGCTTTGGAGGGGCTAGTCACTGCTGCCATCTCCCAACTGGAGAGTATTGTCTGTCGGGTCGTCTTTTGCCCTGGAAATACAGACCCTCTCACAACCAGTACTAGCGCAGAAGACCTTCGCTTTACACCCAATTCACGGAATATTCATAGACAGTGGTTGCCTCTGGCGCCTGGTCTGGGATGCGCTGGGTTGCTCTTTCTAGATGCGCCAAATGGGGTCCTGCAGATGACTCCTCCTCGAGGACGGAGGTTGAACCAACCGCTTGACTATGACAGCGACGAAGAAGTGGATGGGGAACGGTATAGTGACCACAATTACTCGAATAGGCACGGAGACAGAAAGACTAGAGGAAAGGGAAACACGTTACGATTGACGAGAGTTCATGGTAACGATGGAATGGGGTAAGTTTTTTCTGCGATATTGCTTTGTTGACGTGTTTTCTCGTCTTCTTGCTTATCAAATGTGGAAACTGCAATGGTATGGAAACTGCTGCTCGTACGTAGTTCGGACAACTACTTGCAGACGTTAGAACGCCTCATTCAAAATGCACCGAACCCTCAGCCAAACTACCCGTTTGGAACCAAACTTTCCCAAACAATCCTTGTCACTCATTACTTTCGACCGCCCGTCGAAGAACGGGAAGACGATGGATCCGAAGACAACAATGTATATGGCCAGTACCGAAGCAGCGAAGATGAAACATACTATGATGTGATGAATGGCGGTGACGACAGGGTGGCTAACGTGAGCCAGGACTCGGGTGATGACTGTAGCGACGACGACAATGACAATGACAACAACAACAACCAGAAAGGTTGCGACCAGGTGCCAAAACCCTGGCCGCCGGATCATTCCAATTTTGTAGGCTCCTCCTTGGTGCAAGAACATTTGGCCTTGGAGATTGCTAGTGGCGGAGGTGTGTCACAACGACCTAAAGAGGTACAAAAGGGCAATGTGCGAATAGTGATACCGGGTTCATTGCGGGAGCGGGGAGAGTTTTGTTTGGTCGACATGTCTCTGGTGGAGCAAGCGGTCAAGAAGAATATGACTACAGCAGCGTCGTCACCTCCCGCAAAGAAGATAAAACCAACGTTTGCCTGGAGGGTAGGAAGTGTGGAGTTCCACAACATGGAGCGGTTGCCCTAATAGAAATTAGCACTCTTCCTTGGTTAAAAACGAACACAATCGTACCTGTGGCTCGTGTGTTTGCTTGGCACTATGCTTTAGTCGCCGTTCGCTTGAACGGAGTGCCGTACCGGTACCGTAGTCTAGCCTGTACTACTTGTGGACCCAAGAAAACTTCATTGGCTTTTATGGTGGATAGTGGAAACGAACGATAGTCGATCGAGGCCCCAACTGTACCGGTACCTGGTAGCTCGCACCACAAGCACCGGAAGTCCACAAGGTGATACCGGTAGAGATCATTTCGGAGTACTACTACTATTGAATCGAAAACACGGAATGTCAATACTTTATTGTAATTGTACTAAATACATGCTTCATTTAGATCAGAGAAGAATATGCTGTCCCTAAAATGGTTGAAGGAGGAATTTGGTTCGTTGTCCGTCGGAATGATCAATCTCTGAGCGCTGGGGTGGCTTGCACTGGAGCGGCTACGCAGGTGATTCGATTCGTCAGTACTGTAAGAAGAAGAGTGTTGGGCGCGTGGGTTGGTTCATTTGGCCTGCATTTTTTCCTTAGCAGCCACATGCACTTGCATCCCCAGAGGATGCATCCTGTGCCCCGTTGTGATCATCTAATTTGACAGTGTTCTGTTGGCTTCCATTGATGCCTTTGATCCCTGTCTTGTTCTTTGAGGCAGCAAGTGCTCGATCATGCACAATACCAATCAGCTTTTCAAATGCCTTCAATACATTCTCCCCGCTCTTGGCAGACGTCTCCAGCATCTCCATACCGTACTCTTGGCAGAACTGTTCGGCCTTTTCTTGAGTGACTTCACGAGACGCTTCTAAATCACTCTTATTTCCTACTAGAAGCTTTGCAAGATCATCACTGGAAGCATGGTCATTGAGCTGGGCCATCCAGCGTTCCGAGAGCGATTCAAAGGACTTGGCATTGGAAATATCATACACCAGAATCACTCCCTTTGCCTTGCGAAAATAGGTGGGAAGTAGCACGCGAGCGAACCTTTCTTGTCCGGCAGTATCCCAGATTTGCGCTTTTACTTTTCCATGCTCTGTGTCCAGCATTTGAGTGTCAAACTCAATGCCCATGGTGGCCGAAATATCGTGGTTCAAAGGTCGATCTGGATTTGTCAACCGCGCCACGAGACTCGTTTTGCCTACACCAGAGTCTCCTAGCATGACAATCTTGTACAGAGGTGGCTTTCCGCCTGTGGATGTTGGTCTTGACGACATGGTTGCTGCTGCTTTTGTTTTCTGAGTTCTCTTGTGTAAAGTACCAATCAATCAATCATACAATAGAATTGATGAAGTGTGCTCTTGTTAGTTGGCCTGTTCGTATGACAATCGATCGAAGTGAGAACTGTTTCACCAAAGCTCATTCTTGTGGCGAGGTGAAGAGTTGCCAATGATGGAGGGCGCGGTCGATCGTCCCATAATGAAATAAAATAAAACCCAAAACCATTCATTTGGACCTCAATTTATGTAATTTAGCTTTCAAATTTACCAAATAATCAAATAATTTAGTGACTGTGAGGACATGTAATTTCGAATTGGAGGGCAGATCCGTTTATCCTCGGAGGAGGGAAAGAGAGGGCGGCGTCGAGCCTGGTGGGCTCACCAAAGCTACAGCAAGGTTAAGGTTTAGACTCACTGGTGAATGAATGATACTCTGTCGATCACAGCCACCGATCTTTCTCGTTTCTGCAACTTCGAAATTGCAGAACAACCTTCCAAAGAAGAACAACTGGACTACCGGTAGCACTACCTTACTTGATTGACCATGCCCTGGCCGTTTTGCCCTGGTTGCCGTTCGACGCTCCTCGTGGACGAAGGAGGCGGTATCGAGTGCAGTGTCTGTCCCTATCGAGACAATCTTTCTAGTCTCAAAGAGATTCCAACGAAAGTTACCTACTCCTCAGATCGTCCGATCCCTCTCTGGGCCAAAAGTGATGCTGAACAAGCTGCTCTAAAGAAATCCCAACAACCTACTCGTGCCACAATCGAGGAACCTTGTGTGAAATGTGGCGCTCCCGAAGTTGGCTACTACACAGTACAGTTACGATCCGTTGATGAAGGCCAAACGGTGTTCTATGAGTGTCCCCAGTGCAATCACACTTGGTCCATCAACAACTAGCTAGCTAGCTAGTCTATACAATGCTGAAGCAAGCACCCAAGCAAATGACAATGGACTACTACTAGGGACTGTTATTGAGCTCCAAGCTGTGTGTCGATCTGTCTTCCATGTGTTGTGTACGACGTTGCACTCGGGCATCAGTGGTCATGTCATTGAGATCTCCACGAATCATAATGGCAACACGCTTCATATCAGGTCTGGCTTTGGGGTCCTTATCCCAAGCTTCAGGAAGAACCAACCGAGTGAGGGGCGGCCACTTTTTGTCAATGGTGGGCCTCTGGTTGTTGATTACCACTTTGTCTATAAACTGATCTGGAGAGCAACCTTTGAATGCGTGTTGCAGAGAAAGGAGTTCCCTTGGCAAGAAAGTAGAAAGACTGCTGAGTTGCGTTGATTGATTGATGACAAATAATAATGATAGAGAGAATGGACAGGTGCCTACCATAAAAGAATACTAAAACTGTAGACGTCGCATTTTGTGTCGTAGGGTTTGCATTGCACCACCTCGGGAGACTGCGGGAAAACCAACAGGGAACAGTCGTTTAGCATGAGTTTGGGCAGCAACAGTTGCGGTCGTCGAAAACATCTATGAACGAACCACTGCAAAAGGGAACAAAATAACACGATTAGGTCACGCCATGAAGGACTCTTCACACCCCCACTGATGGTCCATGACTGACTTACTGTATGGTAATGAACCCGCCCGCCCTGTCAATTTGTAGCCATAGCCCCCGTCCTTGCACTTGAGACGAGGCTCCAAGTCCTTGCACAAACCAAAATCAAACACCTTCACATCGCCTAGAATTTTCAGTGGGGCGCGGAGTTTAAGGAAACGTCATACGCAATCAAGTAAATGAAGGAACACACTCACCTCGCACATCAAAGCCAATATTCTGGGTTGGCAAGAGGAAGCAAGCAACGAAGAAGAAAAGGCAGGTTGAGACAGAAGCAAAATCAGCGAAACTCAGTTGACAACACAATATACTGTAGGTAAACAAGTGAGATCGTACCTCGGGTTTGATATCTCTAACGGGGATTGATACAAAAGACCAGCACAACAAACAAATTAGGCATCATTAGTCGTCACATCCAAGATAATGAATTGGGTTCAACTTGAGTGCAATCAAATTGGTTTTTGAATTACCTGTACACCAATCGATTCTCGTGCAGATACATGAATGCCACAGCCAAATCATATGCCACAATCATTCGTTCTTTGAGCACCTGCATGAATACCTCATGATTTTTGCCAAATCCGCAACAACAGCCACTGTTTTTGGAAAGGAGTTTCTTCCAAGCATTTATTCTCTGATCCAATGTCCCGAATAATCTATCCATGACAATGAAGAAATCTTGATTCAAATAGCTTCCAGCAGCCACTCCTCGCATCTTTACGATATTCGGATGCCAGACGACACTCAGGTACTTGGCTTCCACTGCAAGGTCGATCATTCCTCTGGCCTTTTCGACTTCAGATAGATTGTCGTGTAACCGTTTGAGGGCGTATCTTGTGACGCCCCTTCGCAAGCATCGATTGGCCATGAGCTCTCGAGCAACACTGACTTCATAATGAGCGTCGTCTTCGTACAAATCTCCACCCGGAGTGTTGGAGATTGCAACTTTTTTGGAATCGCCGTCTTCCTTTTTGCTTTCTTCTTCCTTTTCACCTTCTGTGGATATTTCTGGTTCTTTTTCCAAATCAAAGGCCGTAACTTCATTGACAACTCCAAATCCACCGGCACCCAGCGTTCGGCCAAGTTCAATTTCTGTATGCCTGAACATGGGCATGGGACGAGGACGGTGGCCTCGTTCCTTGATAATGTAGGAATCATCGACCGCAGCCAAGATCTTGTCGGCTCGGTTCAACAAGTCCTGAGCTCGTTGTCGATCATTCGTCATTGTGTCTTATCCTTTTAGGTTTCCAAAAGTTGAAGATTGTCAACATACACAGCTGAGATGGTCGAGATGGTGATTCAATTCAATGCAAATTCGGATTGGTATCTCTTGCCGGGACAATAATGAGAGCAACCAACTGATACTGTCACCAAGACGGGCTCCAAAAGCGACAAGGCTTGGGGGACGATCAATGGCGACGGGTGGGGTAAACTCGTCTCGTCTTCGGTGATTTGCTGCTGTTCGCTGATTGATGGTATTGGGGACACTCAATTTCTCCTAGACAGGATATCACAGTCCCCTTGGCATCATAGAGTCCAATGCTAGCTTCCTAGCGGCAATAAAACAAGCTGAAAGCGAAGAATGGAGGCTTGATACTGTACTGTACGACGTACAAGGGATTGCGAATATTGTTGATGGCAGTTTTGAGAAGCCGGAGGATAGAAAAGGGGGTACTGAAAAGGGGGACCAAAAAATCAAACGTATGGGGGCAGCACACGAACATCCCCAACCGTTGTGCGAACGTGCGAACGATCCATCTTCCCCCTTTGTCCCCTCTATTCCACCCCCCCCATGTGACCTCCTCTCCAAGCCTAGCTAGCCCCCCTCGCACCTTAGTCTATTTGGAGACCAACACTATTACAGTATTACTGTACGGCGGCTCAAGGCTTTGACTTTGCAGGAAAACAGTGACATAAATGAGGGCCATCCCATGATTGAGATTCGATTCTCAACAGCTCAACAGCCAGCAACATGCACACATGCCATCATGATCAATATCTGCTGAAAGCGACTTTATCTCTTGAAGTATGAGCGATAATCATGACGATGTTGTCGCCACACTCCAGACAATCTGTCATGTCAGCAAGGATCGAGCTGAGGAGCTGTTGGGGGCCGCGAGTGGATCCATGGAGAGGGCCGTCGAAATCCACTTTCAACAGAAGCCATCCGTAGCCAGAGCCAAAGATAGCAATGATTTTGGTTTGATTTCTATTGATGATGACGACGATGATGATGAAAGTGGGGAGCTGGCCAACACAAATTTTTCCAACGAAACAAGCCACTCGAAGAAAGACATGGCGACGAAGCCATTATTACAATCTCCTTCCAAGAAGCCTCGCAAATCTGGATCTGCTTCGAGTGGCAAACCGCAGCAATCTAGCAAGCCAAAAGGAACCTTGCATGCATTCTTTTCCCCGAAAAAAGGTGCTGGATCACAGAAGAATGCAACGAGCCCTGATAGAAAGATCGGCTCTTCCACTAGAAAGCGGTCTCCTGTTTGTACTCCCAAGAAGAAAAATAATGAGAGCAAGCAATCTACATCATTAAATACTCCCACGACTTCTCCAGTTAAGGAAGTCAAGAGACCAATAAAGTCTGCTGAAACTGAAGCGCCCGTTGACCCCAGGCTTAGCTACAATACACTTTCCAAAGCATTCACAGAAATGACCAGCACCACCAAGAGGAACGCCAAACTCAATACCCTGAAGATGGTCCTTATTGGTGTCATTGAGGCAGTGGGTGGAATTGACACAGAAACGAGCAGTAGAGAAGCAGATGGTCAAACTTTGACATGTGCTCTCGAATTGATTTCTGGAAAGATTTCATTGCCCAATTCCACGACAGTGGCACCAGTTCCACTCCAAGTCAGCGGTGCCGCCGTGTCTGGGGCCTTGCAGATTGTCACGGGGGGAGTGTCCAAGGCTCGAATGAGGGAATCGTATCGAAGCACCGGGGATTTGGGCGATACAGCCGCCGAGTTCTTCTCGCCTGCCGTGTCTCTCCAGAATTTTTTCAAAGCACGCAAGAAACGAGATCGTGCGGATGATGAACAGGCCAACAATGATGACGAGAGCAGCAACAAGGGGGCAAGTATCGCACGTATTCACAGTCTTCTGCAGTCCGTGGCCACTGTGAAACCTGGTACTGGTAGTCAGAAAGAACGTCAAGGTCTGCTGGTCAAATTGCTTCGCCTTGCAGCAAGCAAAGGTGAAATGCGATTCTTGGTGAGAATCTTGCTGGGAAACATGAGGCTGGGAGCCACGATCAAGTCGATACTGGCCGCTCTGGCCATGGCTGTAGAACAAGTTCAAACGGGGAAAGAAACAACACCACAGTGTCCGGCCATTCAAACCCTGCAAAAGACACACGACATTTGCCCCAGACTCTCACGAATTGCAATGGCACTGCTTTGTGGAGGTGTGAAAAGAGCCGTCCAAGATTGCACTTTGGAGGTAGGGGTCCCAATTCAGCCAATGCTTGCCAATCCAGCACATTCGCTGGAGGAGGTGGAGAAAATGCTTACGAAGGGCTCATCTACGTCCGACGAAACAACATGGGGCAATGAAGCAATCGCCGAATGGAAGTACGATGGAATGAGGTGTCAGGCGCACTTTGATGGAAACGCCATGAAGCTATTTTCAAGACATCTGCTCGACACGACAAAACAATTCCCAGATGCTGCACAGTTCATGCTGGATGCTAGACGGCAAGACGAGGGAGATGACGACGTTGACGGGAAGAACACCAACAAGGAAAGAGTCAACTCTTTCATCCTTGACGCCGAAATCGTGGCGGTAGATCCAGGAGCATTTGATCGTCTGCTTCCGTTCCAAATCCTTTCTACACGGCGAGGGGCCAAGAAAGACGATGAAGGGGTCAAAATCAAGGTCTTTGTTTTTGACCTGATGTACTTGAATGGTCTGTCGTTGCTCGGCAACTCTCTGTGGGAGAGACAGAAGCTTCTTCGTGAGAGCTTTCAAGGAACTCCTGGATTCGATTTTGCTTCCTCGTTGAAGCTCAAAGGTTACAATGAGGCAGAGATCAGTAATTACCTGTCAGAGGCGGTCAAAGGCGGAGCCGAAGGATTGATGGTGAAACTAATAGGTCGAGCCTGTCAGACGTCAGAAGGGGATCTTACAACCACAACTAAAATTCCAGCTGCTCTGCCTTGCCCGTATGAATCCGGAACAAGGAGTGCAACATGGCTGAAATTGAAGAGAGACTATGTCACTGGATTTTTTGATACGATCGATGTGGTTCCGATCGGAGCTTGGCACGGCAATGGTCGGAAGGCGGAGAAGGGTTTCCTGTCGCCGATCCTGTTTGCAGTGTACGACGAAGAGGATGGAATATTCAGATCCATCAGCCGTTGCATGAGCTTCACTGACAGTATGTACATTGCCATCAGGGAGTTTTACTTCCGCGGGACACCATATCCTTCTGATGTTGGGATTATAGAAGGCGACTCATTGAAGACGAAGAAGACAGCTGCGGGTACCAGCGCCACAAGTAGTGCTGATGCCGATGTGAAAGATGCTGAAGTCGAGGGCTCTGACGACGAGGATATGGAAGGAGGGGAAGTGAACGAAGAGGGTGCATCAGATGAAGAGCAAGAGGACGACGACGGCAATGCCTTAGTAGGTGTGAATTGTCTCCCTGGTCGCCCACCGTCGTCTCTCGTGTTGACAAATGAAAACTGTTCTATCTGGTTCAAGCCCAGCGAAGTGTGGGAGGTTTCCTTTGCTGACTTGTCTTTATCTCGAACTCACACTGCAGCTGCGGGCCTTGTAGACGATGCAGAGGGACGAGGAGTGGCGCTTCGCTTTCCTCGTTTCAAGAGACGACGCCCAGGTAAGTGAAGGATATTATGTGCCCCCCATCACGACAGCACCATGAAAGCATCGCGTCGCTCACAAACCACCTTGTCCTGCCTCTCGTCCCTGGCAGACAAAAGTGTGGAACAGGCTACGAATTGTGTACAAATAGCACAGCTCTTCAAGAAGCAGTGCAAACAATGCTAAAGTGCGATACAACGCAACGCAATGCAATGCAATGCACGAATAATAATAGAGTAGAACCATGACTTCAAAGATGTTCAAAGAAGGTTGCTATTCATCAAGCTTCTTCTATGCTCGAGTCTAGGCTTTACGTCCTCCACTCGTCGCTTGCGTCTTCTCGTTCTTCCTCCCACCAGGTGGTCGTCTTGTATCCAGTTCGCAAGAAATTGAGTGTCTTTCCTTCTTCCTCAATGACTCCTGTCTCCCGCAACGCCTCGGTAAGTTCTTCTTTGAATCCACCGAGAGGTGGTCGAACATCGTTTCCCTTGACTCGTCGGTACCGTCCTGTGCCGGTATCGAGCAATGTTTGGAACTGTCCGGGATACGATCGGAACAAGCATCCCTGAAAGTTGATGAGAAAGGGTGGATTGGGGGTAGATCGCGAGTACTGTCGCGTCCTCAAAAAGTAGACTGGTTTGACGCGAGACAAGAATCTGTCCTGGAACTCTCTTGGTGGGAATGCCGGAGCTCCCAAATCTCCCCTCAGGACATCGAGTTTCAAATTGAAAAACACAATGGGCTTGTCTGGTTCCAATTGGGAGAGTTCCTCAATGTCTGGCAACTCTTGCGCACTTGCCACAATGCAAATGTACATGTCCACATCCTCCCTGGCCCTGACAATGCCACCCGAGCCTCCTCCAAAGAGATTCAAAAAGAGTTGTTCGGGCTGTCATGTCAGCAATGGGTAATGCAAATAAAAAAATGGTGAGTGACTCGATTCGATTCGGTGAGCGATGAATAAAATGCACGGCACTTGCAGGTAATACCAGTCAAAAACTGACATGATCACAACAAGAGAACAAGCCAACGGAGTGACAGTCATTATCACAGTTTCCCTTTTTCTGCTCTTACCTTGATAATACGTTCATCTCCTTCCTCACTCTCTAGCAAGGATCCCACGGTAATTCCCGGATATGGATTTTTGGCTCCACCCAGCATTTTTTCCGTGGCAATATCTGCCTCTGCTTCATCGGGCAAGAGAATGGCAATTTTGTTGTAGGTGGCGCTTTCCGGGTCATCAATAGTTGCGGCCATGATTCCCTTTGCAAAATCAATGGCCAAATTGAGATTGGCATTGGAAATTTCGTAGGCACTGACATCGTCCATTTCCAATACATTGGCGGGGAGTGGTGGGAACTCGATTTCGATGAGTTTGTGTCCGTCTCTCAATGCCAACTGCGCCGCCTTTGTACAGTCCTGCTGCAGTTCAAAAAAGGATGCCGGGGGAGGTTGTTTGTCGGCGTATTCCTTGAATGCTTTGGCATCATTGAGCGAAGGGGGTGGGATATTGTAGAGTCGCGTGGTAGAGTGTGGATTGTTGGAACTAATTCGTGGCACCGTCCAGGCAGAGACTGCCGTCACGGCCAGAAATGAAAAGACAAGAGAGAACCTCATCATCATCGTCAAACTGACAAGTTTCGCCCCAATAGATAATATTTTGTAAGCAGTGCAAGAGTGACGGTCGCCTCTGGTCCAAATCTACTTGTATTATCTGACTGTGGGATAAAGATGAAGAGCTGGAACTTGCGGTGGCATTGAAGAATGCCGATGATTGATGAATCAGGGGTTGAAGGTTGTTGAATTTGTGAGCTGACGTCACTTTCATAGCCTCATCCCTAAGAATAGATCTTTTGGAAGAATTTCAAAAACTTAAATAACCTGCCCATGAGATCCGCGACAGGATCGTAGGAGCTTCCGCACAGATCTTGTTTCTCCAGCTGCACGCTACTAGCTAGTACATGTATGTACGTACCGGTACCACCCTTATCGACAGAGAAGGATACCATAGAGAGTCGAGTCGTAGAGACTGTGATATATCGAAAGCATAATCTAGTATCGGTATCACTATTATTATGGGTGGCACAACGTCCAAGTTTGAAGAAACGGATTGGATCCGAGCCGATGGCAAGCTCTCGAATGTGACCGATACGATCGATGGGAGACCTCCTACCAGCCAGTATGGTGTCTACTATATCACCAAGACCAAACTGAACCAGCGAGAGTTTGAAGTGACCGATCTAGAAAAGAATCTGCTCTATTCTACCAAATGTGTACCGGGAACTCTCTGTTGGTTCGATGTGTACGGGAGTGGATTGGACGAGTGCTTGTTGAGGTATGTTATAATGTGCCAAGAAAGAATTCTTTTGTCATTGGCGTTCCCTGTATGTTCATTCTAATAACCGAATTGAATTATTCTTTATTATTATCCATCGATCTATTGATACCAATAGAGTACAGGTCGACCTGAGCCGAAGATATTGGCTCGTTTACAGAATGGGCATTCCATGCTTTGCAGGTAAGCCACTGCTACCGGTACTGTTTTGTAGTAACTGGATTGTTTTTTCTGACTTTCTGCTCACTATTGCTATTGTCTAAATTCTTTCTTCTTCTATATATTATCATTTAAAGGCCAACTGGCCGATCGAGAAGCCACGGATAAGCTGGCCCATGATCGACGAGAAACAGGGCAAGATTTGACGGCCACTCCCTTTTTGTTTCGAAAATGCTGCATTTGTGTCTCCTGGAGTCGGTACATGGCCGTCGCCATGCAGTACGGGGCACCCGAAGGGATTGATTTGCTAGAACGGAGAAAAACAAATGGCATTACAGAAGACTCGGAAAGCTCCTTCTTTCATCATGCCGCACAAATCACCGATCGCATGCGACGACGAAACTCGGAAGAATCCTTGTTGGAAGAAGAAGACGAAGAAAACGAGCAAGAACGAGATTATACCAGGAGACTGGACGCATCCGAAAAGACCCTCCATAACCAATCATCACCAGACTTTTTTTATTCCTACGATGCCACCAATGATGTCATGGATAAAAGCGTCAACAAAGACAACAACAGCAATGATGATGATCTCGGCAGCAGCATCAACAACAGTGAACAGACCAGCACATCGGATCTGGTGGGACGAGCCAGTGAAATGAGACAAAGCATCTCGGAATGGGTCAACAAAAAGAAACAAGAAATACAAGACAACAAAAAGAAACAAATGAGAAGTGATCCATTAGAAGGAATCCTACACTTGGAAAAACCCATTCTACTCTGCCAAGAGATATACGACAAACTCATTGGAAATCATCAAAGCTCCCTACTGTCCAAGGAACGGGCCATTGAGTATCTTAGAGAAGATTTGGAACAGCACATGAACGATGGTGGATTCGATGACAGTGACGACCCGTTTCTGGCGGATCAAGAAGGAATCAGAGCTCAATTGGAAGCACTGCGAAGAGCAGAAGAAGAAAGCAAAGGCAGCAACAGCAACAACAAGACTGTAGACGAGAAGGACACAAATAACAACAACTCACTCGGCGACGGCGACGACGACGGGACTGCAGTTAGAAATTCACCCACCACCGACGAAACGCCAGTGCCATCCACGGATGCTGCCGAAGTGGTTGCGGAAGACGCCACCAAACCCGACAATAGCAATAATAAGGCTGAAGCCCAAGTGGATAGCAACGATACTGCGGATGGATCCAAGGATCCCTCCGATGATGGACAACAACAAGAAGCAAAGAATCCAGAAGATGAATCTCTGATTGGATATTGGAAGTGGGAAAACACATGGAAGGTTCATCAAATGAAGATGCACGTGGCCCAGGGATCGGATCTCGCGCTTCATGTTGTCATGGCAATCATTGCCAATCAAGTACGATATGAACGGAATGCAATTGCCATGACCGTGTAGGAGTATGCATACCGATTGCTTGGATGAATGGGGCTCTGAACGACTGGGTGATTGTTTTTTATTAAGTTAGTGGTCAAGGAGCAAGCATACGTAATGCTTTCTCCTTCACTATAGTGATCTCTCTTTCACTGTTGGTTCCTTCTAGCTAGCTAGCTATCTATCTATCGGTGGTCCAGGTTCGTGTGGACGGGAGGAGCGCAGAACACTTCCTCTAGACTACTACATGTGGAGGCTGCAAATACGGAAGAAGAGTGACAGGTGCGGTGGTCGCTTCCATTTTCCGGATCACCCTTCACACCCGCTAGCTTTATCAACTCTGCTGTTTCATTTTGTGTTCTGATTTCTGTTCCAAGATCGATGCCAACAGACAACTTGCAAGTTGTGTCGATCAAGCTTGACAGCCTAAAGGAACTCGAAGGATGTTGGAATCTATCATACTCCGACTGTCATAGGGAGATGCAAAGCTAGTTAGATAGCTAGCAATAGAAGCATTTCTTGTATCATACATGAATCGAGGAGGAAGCATGTTGCGAGCTCAAAGAATCAGTGAGAAACTCGCTCGTTTTGGCGGGGGATCGTCGCAATGGCGTCATTTCACGTCATCGACACAATTCTGTAAACCTTCTCTGGACGATCTTCGTGATGACTACCACAAAGAGATTGCTGCATTACCCGAACAGTTGGGAATGCAAAGCCTTGAAGCCTTCTTGGCTGACAAATCCAGTGGCAACGGGGAGCTCTGGAAGATGTCCCCTCCTGTCCCACCCAAGGATGGATATCGCTACACGATGAACCAAGATGAGATTCAAATCACATTGGATGCTGCACTTGCTACATTTTGCTTGCATGTCGAGTCGAGGATTGCAGCTCTCGTCGGTGCTGGGTTCTATACCATCGGTCCTTGTGGAGAGGAGATGCTTTCGGCCATTGGATTGTCACTTCGGGACCATGATGATGCTGCCTTGCATTATCGTCATTCGGGGGTCTCGCTGGCAAGGCAACTACGACGACGAGGACGATCAGATATTGACCAGATTCTACTGGATCGAGCAAGAGGATATACAGTTAGCAAACATGATCCTGTCACGGGAGGAGTCCACTGCTCAATTGGATCGCACACGGAAGGACTGGGAAGAGACTACGTGGTGACCAGCACACTGGCATCACAATGCCCATCTGCCGTTGGACGAGCATTGGGCTACTCTCTAGCAGCGAAGCAAAAGGTCTTGCAACAGGCAACAAACCGGAACAAGCCGGTTAGTTTTGTTTCTGTCGGTGACGGATCCGTCCACAATCACCACTTTTGGAGTAGTTTCCATCTTGCGAGGCATGCAAGGCACCGAAACATTCAATGTCCAACAGTTTTTGGTATCAGCAACAATGGTATTTCCATATCTTACGAGACGAAGAATTATGTCAATACTCTATTTGGAAATGATCCACTTGTGCCACTCTTTGAAGCGGATGCTGCAGATATGATGCAAGTCTATAGCGAAACAAAGCGGGCTACCGAACATGCGCGGCAACGATCGGCTCCCGCTGTCATCTTGTATCAAAACATCACTCGAAGGTTTGGTCATGCCGCGAGCGATCGCCAGCAAGCCTACCTTGGTAAGTCTCATAAGAGATCGAATATTGCAACGCACTTTTGCTCACCTTAAACGTATCCTTCTCTCGCTGCAAGACCCCGAGAGAATTCAAGCCATGGCAGAATCTGATCTACTAGAACGTGCCATAATGCAAGCAGTGGAAGTTTTCAACGCCCTAACCTATCAAGAAGTTAAGGACCGATTCCAAGAGATACGTGCGAGTACACGAGACGCCTTTTCAAAGGCAAGCCAGGAAGAAAAAGTGACGCGAAGCGAGATGATGGAACGAGTTGCCACGCCAACTGTGACCTGTCCTCCTTTGCCATCAGAGCTCACTGAGCGTACCATAGAAAAGCCAAAGTCGGAATCGACATCGAAGAGGCCCAAAAAATTGGACGTTATGCGCAAGCACATGACACGCGTTTTGGAAGAGTCACTTGCCAATGATGATTCGGTGGTTTATCTTGGTGAGTATTAAGGAAGTAGCGATCGCTTCGATGCAGATGTTCGAGTGTGGCGACTCATATTGGTGCCCGCTATTGTACCCCAGGAGAGGATGTTGAACACGGCGGATACTATCTGGTAACAGATCAACTTTCAAAGAAGTTTCCAGGCAGGGTTGTTGACTTTCCCCCGGACGAAACATCACTCCTGGGAGCCGCCATGGGCTTTTCTCAGGTTGGGCTGACACCGATTGTTGAGATTCCTTACGCGAAGTATCTAGATTGTGGAGCTGACATGTTCTTTGAAATTGCCATCACGGACTGGTTGTCAGCAGGGAAGCAACCCAACGGCATGCTCATCCGACTGCAAGGATTTGACCGTGGTTTGTTCGGTGAGTTTGGTTAGATGGTGAAGTCAGAAGCTTTCAAATGCTCAAACAAGCAACCTCTTATTCATGTTCCCATTTGGTAACTCTACAAAAAGGTGGAAACTTTCACACTCATAATATGCTTTCGAACATTCCTCCTGGGGTCGACGTGGTTTGCTACAGTAACGGGGAAGACTACGTCCGAGGCTTTCGATACGCGCTGGAAAAAGCCAGGGCCGGTCGGGTTGTGGTATCGGTGGACAGCACTCATCTTTTGAATCTGCGTCACGTTCACGAAAAGGACCGCGGCTGGGAACGTGCCTACCCAGTACTGGAAGGTGCTGCAAGCGCGGACAAAATGAGCTTTGATGAAATCATCCGCTATGGCACAGCTGGCCGATGCGCTGTTGTCACGTATGGCAACGGTGTTGTCACCGCCCTGCAGGCAAGGAAGTCGCTTGTGATGAAGGGTCTCCTCCAGAGTGACGAGGAACTGGATATTCTTGATTGTCCCTTGCTTAGCACCGTTCCCGCCGGTCTGAAGAAAGCATTGCCACAGTACGAAGGAGTTCTATTTGCTGACGTTTGCAAAGAGGGCCCGTCCAATGTGCTCTCCAGCATGATTGTTTCGCTCCATGATGATGGCGTCTTGCAGTGTCCGTGGGTGAGTGCTTTTGCCCCTCGAACGTATAACCCTCTAGGAAGCGTCGAAACCTTCCTGAATGTTGATGACATCGAGAGTGCATGGAAGAAACTGTCCGAGAAAGTGTCAAGATCGTGAGGCTCTCGGAGCGGTGCTGTAGAATGATGAATGAAATTGATCTATTGAATTTTAAGTCTTTGTGGCAGCAGTCGCCAGTAGCCAAGTAGTCTCCCAGCAGGTGCCAGTAGCCAAGTAGTCTCCCAGTGACTCGAGTCGGATTCGATCCCAGATTTGAGAAGCTTACGTCAATTAATATTGAGGTTGCGGAAGAGAATTCCCACTACTGTTGGTCACTTCGCATGGCCCTGCAGGTTCCCTTTTATTTGTCGTGAGAGTCGTTCTCTCACCCACGTTTCTTTCCTTTCTTTGTCTGTCTCCCTCGAGTATGAAACGGAATACTGCTATTTTCGTCCTCCAGGGTATCGCCAGGGGGCTTTTCGTAGATTGTGTTTTGATATGAAGCCCGAAACATAATCAGGATCATCCCCATTACTGAGAGAATCAACAAAGATGAAAATATCCAGGCAAGTCCAGTGACACTGTATGTGCAGGTGGCATCATAAACAATATCAGTGTAGAACGGTACAAGTTTCTCACAACGAAGTAACTTGATTGCCTGATTTCCAGCCTGGGCGAGAGCTTTGAGCACTCCAACCATTTGTCCCAGAGTTCTGTGCAAAGGATCGAAGTCACGATTGCATCCAAAAGATAGCAGTGAAACGTCATCTATGCTATCTGTGAGGTTCTGCATAACTGTGAGACCTCTCCCCTTTACAACATCGCAAATGAATCGGAGGCAACATTAGCTGTGGCTCGATTGGGTCCATGATTCCTTTCCAACCTCAGAGACACGTGAAACTTACAATTGCAACATCAAAATTGCGGAGGAAAAGAAACGGGTCAACTTCAGCACGTTCAGTGCACTGATATGCATAGTAACGAACAGCCTGGAAGAGGAGACCATCTTCCTTGAACCCCAACCGGAACATGACATCCAACATCACTTGGTCTGGTGAGCTTGTTTTGCCACCACAGAAATCTGCATTCAGGGAAGCACCAATCAAAGCTACCACCAATGCAACATAAGAGAAAATTGTCACTAAGATGTAAAGGGGGAGGACAATCCAGTCCAGAATACAAAGATAACAGTCTGTCATGGAATTGGCCTGTGCTGCAACCGTGGCAACCATCATCAAAGTTGCCAGGATCAAATACGGAAGCGTAACAAGACCTCCTGGGGTTTGATTCACCGGTGAAGTATGAAATAATATTAGAACACAAAAGATGGGAGCATCAGCAACTTGAGCAGCACATAACACAGTCTTACCAAGCCATTCATAAGTCTCTACATTTGACACAGAGCTGTCAACGTCGTCTAGCTGCTGTTGGGTATCCTCTAAAATTTCCTCAAGAGTTGCCACATTGTTCGTAACAAAATCACCAAGATCATTCAACATGAGGACAGCTCCATCTGCAGTTGAGAGTATGCGCTTTCCTTGTATTGTTTGGTCAAACGCTGGGTTGCCAGGGCAAAAGTTATCCCTGTCCAAATCAGAGACAACCTGATCGCGCATGAACAAGCCTGATTCTCCTATTTTTTCAAGTTTAAGGGAGACATCTCTTGCATCCTTTACATACAATCGAAGTGTCTCGGTGGAGACTTGGATTGTGTCAGTGGTTTGCTGCAAGTTAGCCACTCCTTTTGTGACCAAGAGCATAGAAAATATTATCTGAATCAACCCACACAAGAAGAATGCTGGTAGCAGGGTGGAGCAAAAGGAATCAAATGAGTGAAACAACTACCTGGGCTTGTGTTTGTCGGAACCAACAAACCCTCTCCTTGACTTACTAATTCTGATGCGACGAGGTGTATTGTACCATGTCTCATCTTCAATGTACTCTTCTCCGTCTTCCTCTGCATCCTGCTTGGCTTTGATCGACATGGGATCATTGATATGAGGGTTCATGAAGGGTTCTCCAGCAAGAAACCCTGTCAAGCTTATCTTGAAAATGATAAGAGTGACGGTCCATATCAAGAAGAACACAAGCAGAAAAACTGCAGCAAACATCAAGCCCACAACGTAGTTGTCCCCATCAGCTGCGTGCGGACCGGAGCCATAGTAGGCAACATAGGAAAAGTCTGAAGTGTGGCCAAATCTCGGAACTCCTGCGAACCTACTGGTGGCACCCACCTATAGCAGCGCAAACATAAGGAGGTTTCATCCACATGAGATGATCCCAATCAACAATCCCTCCTTCTCATGATGCGACAAATCGAACTTACCCTTTCATACATTCGAATTGGTTCGGGCAGGAAAACAGGGGAAGCATTCACAATTCCGGAACTGAAGAAGCCGTCCTCTACTCCGGTGCTTACCACACCGGCAACATCAGTCACTCCTCCTGCTGTAACTGTTCCATTGAGAAATCCAGGGGAAGGAAGCGTAACGTTGGGAGGCAGGGTGATCTCAGTTGCCATGGTTGGTTGTTCTACGTTTCAAGGTTAATAAAAGCAACAGCCTTGGCAGGCCACTAACAACAACGATGAGACTTGAGTCTACCTGTTGAAGCTGGGAACGTTCCCGCGTCGCTTCCGACCTTTCAAGCGGGTCCATTGCCGAAGATGACCCGGCCATGGCATAGTGGTGCCAAATTCAAGCTACGAATAGCTTGCAGAGCTACTGAAAGAATGTTCATGCCGGGTTGGCTTCCACCTCCGCAATTCCTTCAGCGCGAATTGCGTTTCCCAATCTGCACTTCCACAAACCTCCAGCACTACATGTAGATCTAAACTGTAGTAGCTAGTTTCTGTTTGAGTAGAACATCAGAAAGGGAGAGCATTTCAGGTGGAGCATACTCTGAGTAGAGTTGATGGCTTGCTTGCATCCTCTTCGCTGGACCCCCACAGGGGAAGACAGGCACTGTCATACACAACAACTAAGTCCTCAAGCCAAGGCTACGTTTTGACAACGATTATTCACGCAGCTTCCTAATTAAAAATAAATTCTACAATCGTAGTAATTTGAGTTCACAGAGTTATTAAATACTCATGCGATAGTTTCTCTTCTCTTTCTCTGTATTGAAAATCATAGTGATTCTTCTACTTCGCATTTGAGATCCACTCCGCAGACATCGGACAATCGCAGCAAGTAGATGGTGACATCCGCCAATTCCTGCCCAATCTTATCCAAGTCCTTTGCACTGATACTCTCAATTCCGCTACTATCTCCTCGCCACTGAAACAATTCGGCTAGCTGTGGTACAGTAGCAGTAGGTCAAGGAAATGTTAGACGGGGAGACAAAAAACAAAAGAACGGTCCATCCTGAACACGACATTTTGCCCCAACTGGTTCGACTCACTTCACCTAGCTCTCCTAGAAGGGCAAGAACCAAGTTCCGAGGGGTATGGTAGCGTGCCCATTCCCTCGCACGCGCAAATTGGCTGATGTCTTCTCGCAGAGACTCCAATGACTCGAGGAAGCTTGACAAGGTTTCCTGCTCCGAATCTTCTTCATTTTCGTGGAGCGTAGATTGTCCGACCTCCTTGCTAATGCCAGTGATGGAGGAATACTCTGTATACTTCCCGGCCTTCCCTCGGCAGATTTCTGCTGGGTATTTCTTATTGTTGAGTGCCATCTTTCGCCGAATGGCTCCTCCTAGTTTGATGGACAAGGAGTGGCTTAGCTCAAAGAGCTTGAGGAGAATCTTTCCCATGGACCGAGCTACTTCTTCGTTCGCAGTGGGTTTGGAAATGACAAAATCATCTTGTTCCTTGTCATTGGAATGCGTTTCCAATGACGACGCTTCCTTGCTGCTGCCGGGCTCAGGATCCAAAGGAACATGTTTCAAAAAGACACAGGCAAGTTCACCCACTAGACCAGTCAATTCGAAAATGAGGGACCGCGGATGATGAATTCTGTCATTATCAACTTTGGTTGTCATTGGTACGGCTGTCTTGGTATTAGGAGTGTGGTCTTGGGAGGGAAAAGTGCCAAAAATGTTTCCAGCAACAGATTTCGGGGACTGATTCATCATGAAGGGAACAGAAGAGAATGGTTGTAGTATAATAAGGAAGATCAGGAGCAGCAAACCCAAAGCCATTACATATTATGAGAAGATGCAACAACTCTCGTTTTGAAGGGTGCAAAAGAGGCGCGATCTTCTGAAGCCCAGAAAACAGAAACAGCCAGCAGAGCGGTTTGAGCCAGAGACTTTTGGAAGCTCCAGAGTTTCTCAGGCTCCTCCGGGTTGTATCTCAGGAGTACCAGAGTTCTACATACGGCAAACTGGAGAAGTATCGTGGTCTGTCCATCTTCCGGGAATTTTAAAGGCTTCCACTGGTCAGCAACCACAGCACTGGGTCGTCACCATGCCATTTCCATTCCACAGAAATCAACAACAGAAAAGAAACAATTTTCCAACCAAAGTCGACATGATGAATTTAGGAATGGCAATGCTAGTACTTAGCACCAACATGATACTGCTCACTATTATCCAAGATGCTGCAAGCAGCCAGGGTCCCAAAGACCCATCAGGGAAAGGAGAAATTATCCAAAGCCAAGCAACGCCACCAGTGGTACAACAAGTACAAAGAGAAAAAGGCGGCTACCCTGTCATTCCACTATGACAACATCTGGAATCATTTCCCCAAAGGTGGTCTCGACTTGGTGAAAATAGAGTGCTTGAGAGACAACACTGATAATTATGGCCTTCACCAGTCGGATTTGCAATTCGACCAGGTCTGTAAAGAAGAAGCTGGTGATTTGAAGCTGGGGACCCGTAGCCTTGGATACAGATATGAAAATGAGCACACAGTCCGTCTCAGAAACAGAGAGCTGTGTCCTTTCTCTGAAAAGAACATGCCATTTCTACAAGCAGTTAGAAGCAGCCTTCTGCTGAAGTATCCCAAGGACAAACTACCCATATCAGAATTTCTGAGAGTAAATCTGGTGGTGGGGGCAATGACTGGTCCACATACGGATACCATGAGAGGTGCCACTCCAAACTACTTTATGTCAGAACCAGAATCAGATTTTCAGCTGGAGCTGAGACGATTCCCAAATTTTAGATGTTCTGTGGTTCTATACAAGGGTTGCTTCTACATTCCCCATACATTTTGCCCTGAAGAACTGGTTATGATTGGATTCAAAGACGGGGCTCCATTCTACTACGTTTTCCCAAATGAAATTATTGACAATCTGCAACCTTACGGGGAGTTGACAAGTTTTATTGTGGTTGGTATCAAGCAGAAGAAATTGCAGGTAATTCCGTGGAAATATGAAGTTTTCCAATCTACCAAATCGATGGAACTTAAGTCCATGGAGGATGCCATTGCCGAAGCCAGCAAAAACACAACAATCATTGGCAGAAATAAATACATGTACTTCAACAAATCAGGTGTATGGTATCGGTTTTTTGGCTGGAGGAATATTCATAGATGGTCGAAAGCTTCCAACCACCTGTGCAAGAGAGTTCATATTTTCTTTAGACCAGTAAGAGAGGAAACACCGGCTGCTAGGCTAAGACGCAACAGAAAAACTGATCAACCTTTAAACTTCATAGAACTTAAGGAGTAATAGATCCCCAAACTTCGATACCATATCATCTGTTGGCAATCTGTTGGCAATCTAGCTACCCTGACACCATTGCAGCAAGCAGCTCCACAGATTAAATTTAGTCATCTGCATTAGTGACTGATTGCATGGTCTGTCCATCTTCCGCAAATTTTAAAGGCGACACAGCAAGGAACTGACAGCATGCCAACAACAGCAAAAAATCGACTGCCATTTCATGTTGTTGTATTTTCTACAATGGCATCCGACAATATCGTAGACCTCCTAGATGATGATAGTGCCAGTGCCAGTGATAGTTCTGTGGAGTTCTGTGGAGTGAGAGGTGTTCATGAATATCATGTACATGTTGCTGGGAGACCAAAAGCCATGTCAAGGCCAATCTTCCTACAAGCTCTAAGAAGGGTGGTCAATCCAAGCTCCAAGGCAATCAAAGATTTTCGTTCTGCCGCACAGCAGCAAGTCCAACATCAGGCAACTACAGTTCTCCCTGTATTTCCCAGCTGTGGAGTATCCTTGAAGATTTGGTTTATGGACAGACTTCCCAATTCCTGCTTTGTGAACAAGAATCGGCATGGTCAGCTAAGGCAACCCTTCCAGAACAACCATTTATCTCAATTCAGGATCTGCAAACCGGATACTGATAACTTGGTCAAATTAGTTTTGGATGCGTTGAACGGTGTGGCTTACAAAGATGACAAACAAGTTGTGGCTATCACCGCATTCAAATTGGCAGATACAGTCCACCCATATGAGGGAAGAACCATTGTGGAAATTAAGGAGGCGAATGAAGCTACAATTGAGGAAGCACCGGCATGGGCTTTTGTGAACTAGTTTGATAAAGTAATTTACTACTTAGTTGTACTATCTATATGGATTGTTAGGAAGGTTTTTGAGTCTGTCCAGCTCTTGTTCATTCCAAGCTACCAAAGTGCCGCCTGTCTGGGTGGGCTCAGACCAATTTGGGCAACTTGCAGTTAAGAAAACTTCCAGCTTTTTCTTCTGAAGAGTATTGGCCACACCTAGTAAAGCAGAGGACCTTCGGGGGTCTGGTTTGAGCTTTTTCGGATTGCTGTTGAGGTGGCAGTATAGTATCACAGCTTTGTCCACAGCCAAAAAAGCATCCAGAGCATCCCTGTTACTTCCAAAGGAGTGATTGATGCAGTGTTGCCGACACTCCTTACTCCACATACAGTCAACCAATTGAAGGGATAATTTGATTTTATTGAGATTTCTGCTCTCACCACTGAACTGTCTGTTCAGAACCACCCTAGCAAGGTCTTCCAAAGCCGGACTAACTGCCAAACATCTGAAACAATTGTTAGCATACAGATCCATCAGCACATTTTTCACTTTTTGGGAATCGTCTCTGGTCCCCCTTCTGCCAGCATCAGATCTTATGAGTGCTGTTGCATCTCTAAGCTGTCTAGGGGCAGCATTAGGTTGTCGGGGTATAGCAGTACCAGTACCAGCTGCTCCTGCAGCAGTAGGCTGTCTTGGATTGGGTTGTCGGGGGGTACCAGTACCTCCTGCAGCAGTAGGTTGTCTTGGATTGGGTTGCCGGGGGCTACCAGTACCAGTGCCTCCAGCAGCTGTGGGAATTCCAGTTGGCTGTCTTGGGAGGGCATGGCCTGCAGCAGGAGTTCCTGTGGCTTGTCTTCCAGCAACAGGGGTAACTCTCCTGGGGTTTTGTGGTGGATTTAATGGTTGCCTGTCTAGTAGCTGTTGTATCATTGATGTCAACTGTTGATTTGATTGAAGTTGTTGCCTTTGAAGTGATTTCAGATCTGCAACCTCCTGATTCAATCTAGTGATTTGTTGTTGGCTTGCAAGCAAGGTCTGTTGTAATTGAAGTTGATCTCTCCTTGTTTCGGAAATGACACTGGTCAGCTGAGTCAGTTGATTTGCATTAGATACTTGTTGGATTGGATTGTTGGTGTTGTTGGTTGGTTGCTGGGCCGAGTTGGCTTGTCTAAAGTAAGTTGTGAGCTTTCTTGACCAGTGCCTCAATAGCTCACAGGCAGTAACACGGTTTGGTGCCATTCCAGAAGACACAACAGACTCAATCATTTTCATAACCAGGGGATGTGAATTGCTGTATGTGTCCTCCACGTAGCAATAGTGTTGTATCATGACAGCCACCACCACATGAAGCAACTTCCTAAGCTTGCCATTGGGAGCTTGGAATTCAGGAAGGCTTACAACAATAAGAGCATCAATGAGTGCATTGACCAAATGTGGATTCATTGCCTTCGTTGGATCATTGTCTGTAGAAAGATGGTGAAGATTAGGAAGACTTGGGATGTGTCTTGGATTAGGGTACCCGGCCAGTGCCAATATAGGTGGCATAATGGCGACAAGATACACAAAGATATAGATTTCTCTGCTGCTTCCAGTAGCCCATCCACCAATAGCATTGGCCTCTTCTGGTGTTACCAATGGATTCCATGTAAGCTGTGTCATAGCACCATATCGAAGAGATCGCCCAGAATACGCCTTCTTAATTTGATCTGGGAGCACACTTCTGATTATTGTTGTAATTTGAGTAGAGACCTGAGCGTCGGTGATTGCATGAAAGCTCTGGAAAACATACTTAGATTTTCTGTATGCTGGAGAGTTCATATCAACCATATCGTTGGGATCTCTGGACAGACCATGATTAAGACACCAATATGCTCCCAATAGGAAAAAGGGACATAGCTCTGGAAACTGCCAGTCAGGAACAAAACCACCTGGTGTGCTTCTCAGCTCTTTCTTCTGGAACATGTTGGTGACACACATATTCAAATAATCATCTAGATGCAGTTTCTCATATGTCAAGAATTTTGCTTCTCCTGCACGGCCTACACTCTTCCACGTGATGACTACCTTGGCAAGATTTTCAGTTTCTCCCCGTCGAAATAATGTCTTAGCAATAGACAGCATATCGATAGTGCGTGTCATTTGGATCAGCCCTGTAGGATCATGGAAGCCAGTAGGAAAGATTAGCGTGGCAGCAGAGTTTTGTCTAGCCAGAGGCCAACTGTCTTTGAAAAGATCACTTTCATTGAGCTCAGACATCAAACTGCGGCAGTTTGCTTTAGCCATATTGGCAGTAATCGTATTAACTTCATTGTGTGGTAGTAACTCCACATTGAGGAATGCCGGCTGAGTGCCAAAGCGAGTTCGTAAATCCAAAGCCAGTGTCTCCACATACTTTTTCAGTGTTGAAGCAGCATATGGTCTGTTGGAGGAAGGGGAAATGGGAGGGTTGCCAACAATTCTAACACCAAAGTCGGCTATCAGCTGGATGGCAAGATCTCCCTCCAAATCGGCTACCCCAAGATTCTCGTAAGATACTGCCATCAGTCTATTAAATAGCTGAATGGCTGAAGGAAGAATGTTTTGAGTGGAGCCACTACCATGGCGGATCCAGTTGGGTTGCTGCTGTACGTTAGGAGGCATGATGGTTTTATGTTTTATCTGCTATCTAGTCATGTTGGTGGTTGGTGGTGGTTGCTCCAGGGGTGGTAATGCACCAAGCTAGCAGAGTGCATGCAGCCAGCCAGGTGGACAGCACAGAACAGCACAGCACAGAACAGGACGGTTTACTCCAGAGGAATTTGAAAATGTCAGCTTCTTAAGTACCGAACTTGATAAGCTGTCTCGGTTTTGGTCACCTGTGACTGTGAGGTTTCAGTCCCACTGACGTCACTCTCTGGGGTCGGCAGCCACTCAAAAAGTGACCTTTGGTTTCTACCAACAAAGAAGTACCGGCTGAGCATTTCTTCACCCCTCTCTGAAGGTAGGAAATGAAGCAAGACTCAGACAAAGATTTAACGAATTGACTTTTCTAGCCGGCCAAGCATCACAAGTATAGAAGAGCTCCCACAAGAACAAAAGCTACCAAAGTCGACAATGGTACAACATGAAAAGCAACCACAGACATGAACAACAAAGCAAGTCGACAGCAGGAAAGCATCATGATCAACATGTCTGATCAGTTGTATGATGATGGGAAGCTTTGCACCTATCTCATTAAGCAAGGATGAGTGTCTACTCCCTCCTCTCTCCCTCCCTCTCTCCTCCCTCCCCTCCTTTGCTCCCCAGGGAGCTCATCCGATACTTCGGGCTGCGCCCGACATATACCAGTTTCTCCCGGAGAATTCTGATTCAAAGACCCCCCACAGAATTCCAATGAAAGACCACAAAAAAGTTGTTCTTTCCATTGCCCTGGCTGGAACCACCGGAGTACCTTTGCCAACACCAAGCATGTGTTTCGTGCCCCCTGAATCCTATCCTGGCCTGTCCTCTTGCTTCACAATGCAGCCCAATCAAATCTCACGGAAGGGAGCCATTTGAACCTCCACAGTCTGGGAAGAAGTGGCAGGTGTCCAATGACGAATTCGACTTACCGTGCCGAAGGTCGTATTTCAGGCAACGGCGACGCAATGAGATTGCTAGTAGCTACAAAGCTAGCAACCACAGCACCAAACCGCAGAAACAAAACTCCTAAAAGGTTGACCAACCCAGCATTCCGAATACCTTTGTTGCCATGATTATGCTCTCATTCTTCTGGTTTATCTGAGGCCTATGATGAGTGACTTGGCGAGTACGATATTCATTCATGGTTTGGGTGTCTACCGGTATGAGAAGAGATTGTCATTCTGCTCCTTCTGATGTGACTAGCTAGAGCTGTGATTAGTCTAGTCGCCAACAACGAGACATTTGATGCAGTCCTGTGACACGCTTTTGGGATCCCAGAGTTCATTAGTCTCATGCATGCATTTTGCTTCAATGTCTCTATGCGACAACCTTCACTGTTGTGTCATGTAAGGCCGGTCATGTACTACATGTGCAGCCGTGAAGCAAAACAAGCAGAAAATGCGTACCGATCCCAAATCCCACGCCCCACACCGAACTGGCGTTCATCCTCATTTCAAAACAAAGGGATGATTGTGCACTCCCGATATCAATTTGGATTATTCGCCAGCAGGTTCTGGGTACCGGCATGGAAATGAAGTGGTGCATGGGATCCAAGAACTTTCGGTGCGGGGCAGACTTTGCAGACAAGGGCTATGCTGCTATGCTACCAAGTTGATTTTTTTGATCAAGCGTTGGCTACCGGTGTGAGCCAGGAGGGGCTACGAGGGCATGGAAACAGTTCAGCATCAACGCATTCTACCAATTCAATGCTGGGAGTGTGCTCTCCTGAAATACGGCATGATATTCAACCCATTCTGCTCAGGAACCAAACTTTCTGGGGACACCGATTGAGAACCGGAACCCCTCCGCAATACTATGCAATTACAATATCCCATCAGTGACTAAGACGCACTCCAATCTACACTCTTCATTGGTCAACCTGGAAGTGATGCTGTTGATTCTTTTCTCGACCGGGAATGGTGGCCGCAGGGATGGTCTTGGTTCTATCTTCCTGGGATCCAAAGGATAAAGGAGCTTTGCCAACTTGGTAGCTAGCTAGCTGCCAACACGCTTCTGGTGTCGCCAAGGTTCTGGATTTCCATGATGCTCGGACTCCCACAACGCTTCTTGCTAGAGCTTCGTGTGGCTGGGACTCGACTACTAGCTAGTAAATGGTTGGAGTAGCAGCCAAACCATCAGTATCTTTGATAGTGGATGCACATGAGCTTTCAGGGACTGATTGGCCAGTGAGAATGTGAGACGGAATGCCACGTCAATTATTACCGGTAAGAGAAGGTCATTCCGAGGCGTGAGGAAAGGCCTAAAGATTTAATTGGTGGACTTGAAGGACAACTCAAGGAATACCGTATCGAATCGAATCTTCTCTTCCCAATCACAACGTGCCATATCCAGAATCGAATCCTCCAACGAAACAACAACAATCAACAAATTGGATTTGTTTCATTTGACAACCCCGACAGCTCTGGCTGAGAAGTTATGCCAAGACGAGGCAATCAAATTTAGTTGGATCGGTCCATCCTGGAGACGGCGTTTCGCTGAGGAAGAAGTGTCGAGATTATCATCTGCTGTTGTTGCGGTTCCATCATGGGTGAGCCCAAGAAAGGGTTCTTCATTGACGACGAGATGGAATCTCCTCGCATGGTGACAGCTGCAGACCGCTGGGGAAGCGGTCTTTCCCCCAGCATCCCCATGGAAGGCGACGGGGGCGGCTGCATCCAACGTACCGGTGGTTGGAAGCTTCGTCCGAAGCTTTCGAGCGGAAAGGGGAAAGGTAAGTGGATAAGGATCGGGTTAGATTTGGCGGTTGGCGCTACGCCGATGTGACCGTTTTCTTCCTCTTCACCTTACCGCACTCTTATCTTTCCTTCAGCTTGCCTCTCAGGACGCTTGCATTCCAATGCTGCTGTTGGCTCCAATACCGCTACGCACAACCCCAGGTCCATCACCGTCGTCGAAGACAGCTCTCCAGATCCTTTTGACATGACCCTCATGGAGCTGGAATCCAACAAGGCAAACAACTGGCGCGCCAATGGAGGATCGATTGCTCGATCCAAGGCCATTGCCATCACCAGGAAGCGTGATGACACTCACGTTGTGGACGATCACATCATGCAGACTTGTTCCTCGATGGAGAGAATGTACGATTGGGCGACCTGGAAGATGTACGAACGCATCACTTACCACAGACGCCACTACCCAGTGCGCTACTCATCCGAAGCGACATCGGTGACGCCACGGTACAACACTGATCCGCCCCCTTCAGCCAGCGAAGAGAAAGGCACTGATGAAGTAGATCATGCCAAACCAGAGCGCTACTTTGATGGGGAAATCTTTGACCTGGAGATCTGAGCTGCTTGGCTTCCCTTGCTCTGATGAAACCCTCCTGACAACGTCAACAAACAACAACAAGGCTATACTATACGTATCTATTTACATGAGCTACATCAACTGATTGGTGCTGCTGCTGACTGAATGCAACACTTGCACAGCGCTACACAAACAAAAGGCAAAACAAAGAAAAACAACCAACACAAAATCAACCAAAAAGAAAACAAATGACAACTAGAGAAAAAGAGACACACAGTCTCCGCCCGCCTTTCGGCCAATAGAACCCGCAACGGCGCTACTTATGAATAAATATTGATAGAGACCATCTATTTGCGATCGAATCAAATCATTACGTCTGCGTAGGATTCACGCACTACGAATGGCTGTTGGGTGTCTCTGAGGAAGCCGAACGAGCAGGGATTCGATTCCGTCGTTCTCGCCTGAGACAAAAACTACTTTTAGCTGCATTGCTCTGAAAGCTGTTTTCCTGGTGACTCCGAGTCTTCGTCAATGTGAGCGATAGTCTGTGGCAACAGAGCAGTTAAAGCCATGAATCAGTCAACGCAAGCGATGCTACACACTTCAATGCGCACTGGTAACACGACCCATAGGGCAGAGCATACTACATGTAATGTGATCAATCAAAGCGAAAGAAAGAACCAGGAGGCAATGGTGGTGGCAAAACGCCAAGCCGGCTTGTCGAGCCACCTTCAAATCAAAAGATCTAGTGGAACGACCTCACTCGAGCAAAGCACAACCTTCACTTCCGGTGGTGCCTTAAACGATGCCGAGGAGGAAGATGATGTGGTGACCCTTATCCATTGAAAGCCTGTCACTATAGCTTCATGCTCAAAATGCCTCCACCATGCATATGCCTGGCATTGCAACTTTTGGCGGGATCTTCGGCAGCTCCTCCTTCCAGTCTCAATAGAATGCAGCTTGGAAATCCATGCTTCGAATGTTGCGAAAGTACCGGTACCGCAAAGGAATGAATGGGTCCACTTTAAGTACTGGCTTTCATGAACTAGCACACTCACCTTCAGTTGTCTCAATACAATGGAACTGTATGTCTGAGCTTCTTCCCAAAACACTCACACTGAGTGAGGTTGCGAGAAAGAAAAAACTGCTACCACGAGCTCCAAGTAAGCAGTGGTGGCATACTTATTACCCCCTAGCTACCGGTAAGCTCAAGCCCTTTTGCAACAAATTGACACTGCCGCCAAGACACCGTCAACTTACTTCCAAATAAATGTTGTCCAGTCGTACTGTCTGGCTGCTCTTCTCCTACGGTTGACCCACTGCTGGATTCTATACTAGCTAGAGCTCTAGCTTGCAAACATTCCAATGCTCTACTATTACCGTTGCCAACTACTAGAGTATCATAGCTAGGCCCAGTTGAAGGTCGATATCCTCGCAACCAAGGGAGCCATCGTGGTGCTGGTCGTGAGGTATTAAAAATACATCGTACATGTCTGTGTCTGGTAGCGGTACCAGTGAACCTAGCCACAGTTGATTTCCAAAGTCATCAAACAGCTTTGGTGTTTTATATGATGACGCCGGCAGAGGTGAGTACCGCCACTGGATTTTGAATTCATTATTCCACCCCAAATGCGGTCGTTCGGAACATCGGACGACGATCAAGGCTTTCATCCAACTGTCATCAAGCTCGCAGGTTTGTGTTGCCAATGTGCATCTCCTTTTGACTTAAGTCGTCGTCCATAGCAAGTAGGTCGGACGTTCTCAAGAATGAATCATGATGAAGTCCAACAGGTGAGGTCTTTTACCGAACGAGCAAATGGTAGCGACCATTTTGCTCGTCACCATGTAACCATGCCTGTCCCTCATTCTTTCTCTATTGTATGACGTCTTGCTAGAGTCAAGTGGTGGACGAGTTTCACAATTTTCCCAGGTGAGTACATGCATCTCTTTGCAGAGTTGGCTCTTTGAAACAATGAGATGCGTGGAGTTCACTTTTATGAATAACGTGACATTCTCTTGTTTTAGATTTGGCCATGGCAATTCCATTGCCAGTCTCGCATCCCACGACAGAAGTAACCAGGAGGACTACATCCAGGGAATGCTCAGCTTCTGCTTCTTTCTCCTCCTCATTGTCTACGTATGGGGGTTTGTGTTGATTGTATTGAAGTTTGCCACGCCCCGGAAATGGGTGGGCTGTGCGGGCGGTGGAAAAACATTAGACGTGGCCAAGATGCGCAAGGCAAAGATACCACGACACATTAGACGAAAGCAGATTTTGAGAGCTTGGAGAATACAATTAGCGTTCCTTTCCTTGTCTATGCTGATACCTATCATGACTCTCCTCATGACGAGGAATGGCTTAGCACCTTTCATTAACAGTCTGGATGAAATCTCCAGCATCAATGATGAAGTAGAAGCAGTGGCTTTCCATGGCATTTCCATTGCAGAAGAGCTACAGGCAGCGAGAAGAAACCTTGCCAACGTGACCACACAACAACAGCAACAAGGATACATGGACTTGGACTGGGAATCCAGTTGTCCAAATTTCCACAACTCGTCAACCATGCTGGCACTAGCTCCAATTTCCACAATCCAAAAATACATTGATTCTGGACTGGAGGAAGTAAAGGCATTTATTGACTACTACGCCATGGATGCACACATCGCTTTGACTAGGGTCGTCCGCATGTCAGACCGAGTGAAATTGTCCATTGAATGGATCTACGACAGCGACTGGCTGCTAAAGTTCTTCCTCTTGACCATCAATGTTGTCAATGGCTTCTTCCTTTTTGGCGTTTTCTTAAGCAAGCAAGACGTCGTCAATTACAAAATGCAAAGATTCCTCTCCCTGTGGATCATTCCAATATTTGTAGTGCTCTTGATGTGTTGTGCCGTCCTTGCCTGTGCGTTTGGTATGGCTGTCATGTTCAATGCAGGTACGCAAACAGATGCCGGTGCTCTAAATGAGTGACTCAGCGTATGTAGATTGCATGCTAACTAAGTCATCTCCACTGACGTTGCTATGTTTTTGATTGCTGAAACAGACTTTTGCCATGGCAACACGAGTGTGAACGGCTCGATGCACGAAATCATTGTAGAAAGTGGCGTCAGAGAATCAGACTTGACAAATCTGGCATTCCGCCACTACTTTGAGGGCTGTCTGGGTGAGAACCCAATGGGTTTCATTCATGACGTGGATTCAGTCATCAAATACGCAAAAGACGCAGCCAATCTACTTCGAGGGGAACCAATTATCATCATACACGAGCATTGCTCAGATGATGCATCCGCTTTGGTATCTCAATTCAGCAACATCACATCCATTTTGGATGACGTTCAGCGGCAAGTCCGAGCGGTGATTGAATTGACTGGCTGTCATCAAATCAACCCAGTCCTTCGCCGCATTATTCACGGGGCGACATGTTCCGATACAATTGACTCCTTGGCGTGGCTTTTTGGAGGCCTATGCTTCATCTTCATTATTGGTTTAATGATGCTTTCCGTTCGGGCTGCTTTGTTCAACAGTGTGATTCGGGCTCCAAGGAGGAAACGGCAGCGAGAACGTGAAAAGGAATGGGAAGAGTACAAACAATACATGGATCACTACTATGATGGCGTCGGTGAATGGGCGATTGATGGTCCTCCTCAGCCTCCTCCTCAGCAAAGGCAACGACATCCTGACTTTACTCTCGCGCAGATTCCAACGTTCGACACTGAGGAAACATCGAAAACGTCGCTGGAAGTGGGTGGTGACGGCGACTCCGACATTGCGTGCTTTGCTTCGCCCATGGCACAGTCTTACGCCTCTACGTCATCCTACGAATCAGATTACTCGGAGGATTCTGATGAGGATCAACAGAGTAGCATGAGCTTCAGTATGTTGAGCAAGTTCTTCCACTCACGGCTCGGCAACGACCAGTCATCATCATTTTTTGATGCAGATAGCCAATTTGCCGCAAAAACTCAATTGAGTGTTCTGGAGTTGCAAACGCCACGACAGCGACGGAAACAAACCGCGCTTGGTTCGTACCTGTACCAAAGAAGCCCCGTATCGGATTATGGCACCCCAATGAGACATACCGGTATAACTTCGCCAACCCAGAGGAGTACACCTCGCGCCCCTCCTCCAGCACCATCAAAGTCACGATTAACTGTTCACAGGACCGATGGTACAACGCCATCAGCGCCATCGAAGCCTCGACAAACGGAAAACAGGACCGCCAAAGGTTCTCCAAAGGACGAGTAACAGCCTACTGAATGCAACCTACTGTGCGCTGAGGCCAGTCCTCGTCATCACTCGTCGCCATGAGCGAATAAACACTGCAGGAAGATAGGAAGGAAACCTCAGCCAAGCGGCAAGAGCTCTACGCACGGACCGTGCAGTGCAGAAAAGACATTGGTTGGGCTCATCAAGGTCTTCGTAATGGCAAACGAAAATATAGTTGAGGCAAGGCTGTACTGGTACCCTATACGGTAACATCTAATAGATACCGTATTTGCTATCGTTCTGGTGAGTGACGAGTCAACTTCGATACCTACCCTAGTAGTGCTAGCTAGCCATCTGGAGCGTCCCTCAATCGTGGGTGATGGAGAATCCGACCCTAAATCTTTGAAACCCGTCCCTAATTCTATTGGAGAATAGGGTCGGGTTCGAAACCCGACCCAAAATCAAAATCCGACCCTAAATTAGGGACAGTTTTTCAGAAACCGTCCCTATTTTTAGGGTCAGTTTTGAAACCCGACCCTAAAGGGAATCCGTCCCTAAATCCGTCCCTAAATTAGGGTCGTTTCAGATTTAACTTCATACACGATTGAGGAACGCTCCTGTACGGTATGCATACATGATGATGTACATACTGGCTAGATCTTTGTGCGGGACAGTTGGTGCTGGCTAGTGGCTAGGATTGCAAGCGACTCGACTCGACTCGACTCTTGTACCGGTATCGACGTATCGACTCCAGACAGCCCAAAAAATCTTCCACATGTTGAGTATCCATGACTCGACTCGACTCATCACGCGTACCGTATTATGTCCTATAAATCTTCGAAAGCCACCAGCTTGTTGCAAGATGCTGTTGACACGACGAGAGATCTTGCATCGTGGTCCTTTGAACAGATGAAGTGCATAGCTGGGCTTTGACAGAGGAAAGAATCGAATTGAGCTGATTGACCATGGCAAATCAGACAAATGGGACAACTCTGCCTCCCAACTCTACGCTGCCTCCTGAACTATCTTTTTCTTTAGGAGTAAACGGCACACCTGCAACAACCCCTATCCTGCTCAATGGTACAGCTACATTAGGAGCAGTGACTGATGATGCCGGTGTGGAAAGCACCGGAGTAGATGGCAATGAGGCCATCAATTCGGGAGAATCTAATGGAACCCCTGTATTCCTGCCAGCCCCTTATCGAATATATGAAAAGGTCAGTATTTCTCGCGGACAAAATAGATTTGAAAGAATGGATGGGGATGGAACAAATACAATTTGAACTCCTCCACATAGACGTCTTGAGATCATTTGTCTAACCTGTGGGTGAATCCTCCTTGTGTCTGTAGGCAGCTGCTACCACTACAATGTCAGGAATTCCAAGATTTGGTCACCCTTCAGACTTTTCCTATGTTGGCTACCTTGCTTCCAATACAAACTCAGCCAGTGGAGAGGATTATCTTGTGGGTGTGCTCCTTACTGGCTGCTTTCTGCTTGTCTTTTTCTTGATATGGACCATTGCTCTAGTTGTTTTCAAATGTACCTCAACAGGCTTTTTATCTGGAGAACCCTTCACGAACCCACACATAAACGATCCTCTGTCAATCAAAGCCAAAAAGGTTGCAGATGCTGATGGAAAAGAATACCTTGAAGACGATTCTTGGGTCTGGAAACCCCGCTGTATCAGAATTAGTAAGCCAGGAATGGTGTTTTTTGGTTTGCCATTAAAGGCAAGCCACAGCACATGTTTTCACTCATTTGAGTTTTGCTCTACCCTTCTCATAGCATTTTTCTTTTGTGGGTTGATTCAGATAATTTTTGCTATCCTCCTGGTCACCAAAGGAGTGGAAAATTTTCAGCAAACCACGGATACAATCCAAATCTCCACAGAGTCAATGCGGCTGTATGTGAAAGAAGCAGTAGATGTCTCCCTTAACCTCAAGCAAGAAGGAGACACGGGCTGGATCTTGCGTGATCAGGTTATTCTTAATTTGGATAGGGAGAACTTTTGCCCTGGCAACCCACTCCTCAACCAAACAGAACAAGGACAGAAGATTCTCTTAGGCACAGAGCAAGTTCTCCAGATGCTGAATGAACTGGGTGATTTTATTTCCTTTAATGTGGCTACGCTTGAGACAAGTTTGGAGGTTACCCAAGATCAGTTAGACAGCCTTGAGTGGACTATGGCAGACACAAAGAGTCCTGAATCAAATGGTAAGTTGCTTGGATTGCTTAGATTGCTGATTCAGCCAGAACTCCTGTTCTGAACTGTATCATTTCATTCGTCAATCCAATCCTACAAGGTGGTCTTGTTGCATTTCCATATTTGATCTTGGCGAGTGCGATGATAGTTGGAGCTGTTACAGCCCAAGCCAATTCCATGACAGATTGTTTCCTTTGTGTGCTGAACTGGGTGGTCCTCCCCCTCTACATCTTTCAGACTGTTCTCTCTTACATTGCATTGGGGGTAGTTGCAATTGGTGCTTCCCTGAATGCAGATTTCTGTGGAGGGCAAACAAGATCACCGGACCAAGTAATGTTGGATACCATGTTCCGGTTAGGATTCAAGGAAGATGGTCTTCTGTTCCAGATTGTTCGTTACTATGCCTATCAGTGCACTGAACGTGCTGAAGTTGACCCATTCCTTTTTCTCCGCAAGTTTGATAGTTCAATTGTAAGTGTCCTTTGTCTCTGGGCCTGGAACGTTTTTGAGTGGTGATTTGCTTTTCGGCTATGTAACTCAACTGAGCTACTTGGCTCTCCAATTCTCATGCTATGATGTGAAGGCACAAGGTCGTGAAGCTATCCAGAATCTCACAGAGAGCATGGATGAGGCTGCACTGCAACAATTATCCTTGGCATGCAATCGTGATTTCCATCCTTTGCAAAAAAGTCTCGGACAGACGGTTGGTCTGTTGGATGCCCTGCTCAAGGCTGCAGATCGTGCCCTCAATCTTCTTCGTTGTGAGACACTGGTTCCTTTCTACACTGACATTGTTTATGATGGAACTTGTACCTACAGTATCACTGGATTTGCATGGCTATTTGCATGTTTGTTGATTGTTTCAGTGATGGGGATGATGATGATTATGTTTCGGGCTTCATATCAAAACACAATCTATGGAAACACTCCTGGAACAATGAAGAGTGTCGGAGACAATGATGATTCCACAGCCAGTGGAACAGTGAACTCCAGCCATCCTGATGAGGTAGATCCTCTCACCAGTGCTACTGCTGAGACTGGTGCTGACGATACATGCGCTGATGAGGCGCAGCAACAGGAGGGCACAGTGAGCTCAAGCCAACCTGATACCACAGATCCAATTGCCATCGCCAGCGCTGATGCTGAAGGAGAAGCAACCACGGCTGACGATGCTGCCAATGCTGATGATGCGCAGCAACAGGAGGGAACCATGGACTCAAGCCAACCTGATGCTGTGGAACCTCCTAGCGGTGCCAGTACTGGTGCTGAAGGAGAAGCGACCACGTCTGCCGATGCTGCCGATGCTGATGATGTACAGCAACAGGAGGGAACCGTGGACTCAAGCCAGCATGATTCTGTGGAACCTCCTAGCGGCGCCAGTACTGGTGCTGGAGGAGAAGCAACCAAGGCCGACGATGCTGCCATTGTTGACGATGCGCAGCAACAGGAGGGAACAGTGGACTCAAGCCAACCTGATGATGTGGAACCTCCTAGCGGAGCCAGTCCTGTTGCTGAAGGAGAAGCAACCAAGACCGATGATGTTGCCGACGCTGCTGCCAGTACTGATGAGGAGAAGCTGCGGGAGGGTGATCTTGATTCCACAACCACAGACCAACCTGATGTTGACACCGAAGGCAAACCAAAAGAGGAAACATCATTGTTCGGCTGGTAGTGAGCGGAACGACCCCTTAATCCCATAACAAAAATCGTTAAAGCATTGTGTCGCGGTCACTTAAAAGCCTCTCTGTTCCTTTAAGTCTAATTACAATCAGTAAAAATGAGGTATTTGCTTCCCTATTCAATCTATTTGAGTGAAGTGTTTAAATAATTTAAATAATTGCTTTGATTTGGTGGTCTATTTTAAAATAATAAGAAAACTAGTTTTTACTTTTTACTTTTGGATTGATTGAATTCTATCGTCCTCGCTGACAGCGATCACCACACTCCAACGCTCACTTGCCTTTCGTTGTAATAGACACGCTGAAGGCCACTCTCAAGCACAGGGAGAGTTTTCCATTGAAGATAGCCCCAGAGAGTACTATTGAGCAAGGATGGATTTCTTTGAGGCGCACGAGGAAGACGAATCTTCGGAGGAGATAGATTTGCTGGGCAACAGCAGCCGCCTTGATACCGGTCAACCAGACAACACCAAGAGCAACGCAATGGACTTTTTCGGGACGCACGAAGACGAATCCACCGAAGAGATTGATTTGCTTGGAAGCAGCAGCCACGAAACGTCAGCGAAGGACGAAAAGAAAGTTGACAGTAAGGTTGTCCAGCAGCAAGCGATGCAGCATGCGACACCACTCGGAACTGAGCCCGTCAAAAAGACACCTAGGTCAGCCAGTCTGCTTTTCAAGCTCGATGAGCTCGAGAGACAGTGGACCCATCAGGACGTATCGACAAACAAGAACAATAATCCTCCGGAAAGAAATCCGATCGACAATTTGAATCTTTTTGTACCACAATCAACTGCTCCATTTTCGCCCTACGCCAATTCTGAGATCTCACCAATAACTTGGGGCAACTCGCCGATGATGGTTTCGGTGGATCATGGCGCAAAACTTGACGATGATTCCATCTCTACCTTTGGATCTCTTGGCAGTCCTGGCATTGGCTTTGCCCCGGCACCGAAGCAGTTGTTTGGTCAAAATATGACGTCTACTGCTAGACAATTGCAAGGAGGACATCGCCAGAGCAATGACGACCAGAAGCCTGCTCGCAAGCCATCACTGTTTGATCGGCTGCATAGAGGTGAAAAGAGAGCGACCAGTGCGACTCCTAAAAATCCACCTACCAGTACAACCAAGAGCGTCAGAAAGCTTGTCTTTGGTACTCCAAATAACAAAAAGCCTCCCACTCCAAAACCGACCACCTCTGGCAAACCAAAAAAAGCCTTCATTTTCATGCAAAGAAAGTCAAAAGTCATGCCGCTTCCACCTCCAACTTCCACAATTCCAGTATCTCAACAACCTACTGCACATTCCTTGCCACAAACCCAACGTTCTGGCAGTGGCAGTGCTTCCAACAAGAAATCCGTCTTTGACCGTCTCTACCGAAATGAACGACGAAGCACCAACTTATGGAGGGACCCAGGTGCAAAGTGGGGGGAAAAGTATCAGTTCATTGCAGCTGGTGGAGCTGCCAAAACCAGCATGATCCCTCTAGCTGGGATTCCTGCGACACCAGGGGTGAAGCGAAAGCTCTTCTTGCCGCTGTCCCCAGTTCCGTCAAGTCCAGAAAATAAAAAACTGGCATGTCTGCTCCAAAATGCTTGGAGATACCGTCAAGCGCACTCGCAGTTGATTGGAAAACTAGCGCAGCAGTGGTCGGTGACATGCTACCCCACCGACGGGACAGTAACTGCTAATCGAATACTGCGACTCAGACTTGGGATACAAGCTCGCGCCGTTGCCATCCGTAGGGCTGATCTTTCGAGCATGGGAAAGGGTACCACTGTAGGGGAACAGGAGGTGTCGTTTGAAACCATTCAGGAGATATGCTTTCAAGCGTGGGATGATGACGAGCATGTACTGCAGAAATACTCAGTGCACGTGCAATGTCAAGCTAAAATGATTCAATTGTTGAGAACGTGGAGGCCCGAAAAGCTGGCTTTTTTGCTTTATAAGTGTGCCCTTGAGCTGTCAACTGAATACGAGACAAACAACCTTATGCATGCAGCAGCGGGCCTGTTGCAGCAATGGTTCTTTTCCTTTGCGCGCAAACAAGCCCTCTCGTGTGATGATGGAAACAACACTCCCCAGGAGAGACAACAACTTCAGTCATTGAATTGGTTTCGTAACCGTCTGGAACGAGAGGCCGGGCCAGCAGTGTGGGCCCGATTCGATGACGCTGCCACTGTGATCCAAGCTGCATTTCGAATGTTCTCGGCCAAGCGATACCTTGATTTGAATTATTCCTCTCTCGCCGTTTACAGAACGCGGCGAGAATCGCGACAACGGCTGCGAGAGGGGGCTTCGCTGAAGATCCAGGCATTGTACAGAGGCCATCATGTAAGACGGCGCCTCGGATCCAGCACAGCAGGGATTATCGTTGAGGCTTGGACGCAAAGGAAAAACGCGACAAAGGCGATTTGCGTGGTCCAGTCCTATGTACGGATGATTCTTGTAAGGGCCCGGTATCGCAGACTGAAGCACTCGATTGCGCGTGTGCAGGCCCTTCAACGCGGATGGCGCCAGAGATCAACTTTCTTGAGTGTGTTGCTCGCGATCGTCCGGCTACAGGCTACCTGGAGAGCCTCCCAATTGAGACAACAAATGTACATTGTTGCCGCCTGGAAGGAACGGGGAAGCTTGATTCGGCACAGAAACGCTGTGAAGCTCCAATCTCTGGTACGAATGTGCATAGCCAGAAACGCCTTCCAGAACCAGAGGACTAGTGTGGTTCGGCTGCAAGCAATGGGGAGATCATGGCTTGCGCATCGCCAGGCCGCCGTGCTGAAGCTGCAATGTTGGATGAGAATGGTCAAGAGTGCTGCCAAACTTGAGATATGTATGACTTCAGTACGCATTCTACAGCAACAGGTACGAACCATGATTGAGAGAACGAAATACCTTCACTGTCGGCGGGCTGTGCTTATCATTCAAGGGGGATGGCGCGGGCGACGTGTTCGTTCCAATAAGCTGAGACAGGGGCAAGCGACCATTGAAGCGGAAGGACCCTCTGCAGGGATGGGTACTGATGTGGCTACACTTATTCGTCCAAACAGTTGTCCAACCAAGAACGCTCCTATGCCCTTGACAGTGATTTCGGCTATTCGAATACAAAGAAACTACAGGTCCTTCCATCCTCAGCAAGCCTACAGTACCATCTTGGTTGCAACACTCAAGATCCAAAGAATTGCTCGGGGCCATCTTACTAGAGTTCATCACCACAGAAATCTTCAGATGGGGTCAGCTATTCGAATTCAGAGCATATATAGGTCTTTTCATCCTCAGCAAGCATACCAGACAATCTTGGTTGCAACACTCAAGATACAGAGATTTGCCCGATGCCATCTCACCAGATCTCATCGCTACAAAAGTCTGCTGGTGAGGTCAGCCACTACTATCCAAAGTGCCTACAGATCTTTCCATCCTCGCCAAGCCTACCGAACCATTCTGGTTGCAACTCTAAAGGTACAGAGAATCATGAGAGGCTATCTTGTCAGACTGCATCAGCAGCAGTTCTTGGCCATGAGGCGGGAGAGAGCAGCAATTCTAATCCAGAGTGCATACAGGTCCTTCCATCCTCAGCAAGCCTACCAGACAATCTTGGTTGCGACACTCCAGATACAAAGATTGGCCCGGGGCCATCTTTCCAGAACCCATCACTACAGAAATCTGGAATTGAGATCAGCTACCACTATCCAAAGTGCCTACAGATCTTTCCATCCATGCCATGCCTACCGGGCAGTCTTGGTTGCAACTCTAAAGATACAGGGACTCACCAGAGGCTATCTTGCCAGACTGCATCAGCATCAGTACTTGGCCACGAGGAAGGAGAGAGCAGCAATTCTTATCCAAAGAGTTTACAGGTCCTTCCATCCTCAGCAAGCCTACCGAACAATCTTGGTTGCCACACTCCAAATACAAAGATTGGCCCGGGGCCATCTCTCCCGAGCTCAATGCTACAGAAATCTGGAGGCGAGATCAGCCACGACTATCCAAAGTGCCTACAGATCTTTCCATCCTCGCCAAGCATTTAGAGCCGTCTTGGTTGCAGCATTGAAAATAGAAACGTCCAGTCGAGGATATCTTGCAAGGTCAAATCTGGTTGCAATGAGGCAATCCGCTCTAGAGATACAAGGACTCTGGAGGCGTCAACTGCAGAAAAGAGCGAACACACAACGACAGAACGCTGCCGTGAAACTACAAGTCGTTTGGCGTGGTTTTTATATGAGACAGGAAATCGAGAGAAATGAAGCTGCACGAGTGATCCAATCCGTTTACCGCCGTTTCCATCTATACCAAGCCTTTCTTGCTGCAAGAAGCGCTACCTTGGCGTTGCAGCGTTTTGGTCGAGGCTATCTTGCACGGTCAGACATAAAGGTGGTGCGAAGAGCTGCCCTCGTTTTGCAAGCTGCGTGGAGAAAACAATTCGCAAAAATTTGGAGCAGTGCTGTCGTGATCCAGAGGCTTTACCGTGGGACGGCAGTCCGGGAAAGACTTGCTCGTCGTCAAAACGCAGCGGGACGTTTGCAGAAAACTTATCGAGGCTTCCGAAACCAAAAGCTCTTTCGCAAGCTCAGAGCTTCGGCGGTGTTGCTTCAGAGTGTTGGTCGCGAGTTTTCAGCACGATCCTCGCTCGTGAAGCAGAGATTGGCCGTGACGCGACTTCAAGCTCTTGGTCGCTCGGCGCTCGTTAGGAGGCGTCTGCAAGCATCGAATGAATTCGCCGCTACTATCCAGCGAAGCTATCGATCATACTGTTGCAGAGACCGATATCTCCGTGTCATTCGTGCAGTCCAGGTCGTTCAGAAGTTTGCAAAATTGGTGCTGCTTCGATGTCAGCAGCGAACTGGTGCAGCAATCATGATTGAAGCTCAATGGAGGGGTTCTCTTGTTCGCGCCAAGTTCTCGCGGCTCAGACGATCACTTGTTGCACTGCAGTCATGTTATCGAACCAAGCGTGACCGATGTATGTACCTATCTTTGAGATGGAAGGTGGTCTGTGCTCAGGCAACGCTACGACGATACTTCCGTCGCACCAATTTTCTTAAATGTCGCCATGCTATATTGATAATTCAGCGCTCGTTGCGTCGATATCTCAGGCGACAAGAAGTGCGGCGTCTGATGGCACAAAAGATTCTTGATCAACTCCGAGCGTACAAGCAGCGACAACAATACCTGACGGTGGTGGCGAGTACCATCACACTGCAAACATTTTGGCGTTCTAGTCTCCAAAGGCATGTCTACCATAGGATTTGCAAGTCGATCGTGATTTCACAAAGCTTGCTGAGGCGATACCTGATTTTGAAAAGACTAAAAGAACAACAAACGTCCGCCACTACCATCCAAAGGATCTACCAAATCAAGAAACAGAATTTGCCGGGCTTCAAGGCAAGGAACGCGGCAGTGATCTTGCAGCGACAAATGCGATCATGGATTCAACGGAAGAATCTAGCAACTTTAAAGCTGTCGTTACAGCTTCTTCCTGCCCATACAAAGAAGAAATTTCTTCAGAAGTTTTCTGGACAAAGTGGACGGGTTTGGGGATGTCGCGTTCGTCTATTGCTTCGTGACCGTTTTCAGATGGCGATTTGCATTCAGCGCTGGTGGCGCTGTTCCGTCAATCGATCGAAGTTTGTGGCCCAGAGGCAGTCCTCGATTCGCATCCAACGCTGGCTAAGGCGTTCTGTGTTTCCATTGCTGCGTACGCAGGAGAACGCCGCGACAGGTCTGGCAGCGTGGTGGCGACGTTCATGCCAAGAAAGTCACTTTGCAGCGCAACGGAAATCGGCGCGACGAATCCAATCATGGCTGAGACAGGTGGTGTTTCCAGTTCTACGCACGCAGAGGCTCGCAGCGACTCGATTGGCGGCATGGTACCGCTCGAGGATCGTAGCGAAGAATTACCGTCAACTCATCCTGTGTTCCAACCTATTGGGACCAGGCACACTCGAAAACCTGCTTGCCAAAGTCCAAGGATCCTATTTTGGTGCACATGTGCGCGGGCAACTGCACGTGCGGTCAGGAGCAGCTACTCGCCTGTGTAACTTGTGGAGGAAACGTGCTGCGCGTTCACGTTATCTTGAGCAAAGGCGATCGGCATTGGTAATTTCACGGTCGATTCGCGCCTATTTTGCCATCGCGAAGGCCAAGAGAATCCTGGTGCGACTTCGAACGAACCATGCCATTCGGGTCAGGCGACCTCTGTTGGAAGACTTATCACTTTATCATTCTCAAAAGAAACTTCGAAAAGCGACAGTGGTGCTTCAAGATTTTTGTTCGACAATTGTCACATGCTCACGTTACAGACGTCAACGATTGGCCGCCATCGCAATCCAAGCTTGGTGGGAAACTCATTACAAACGTCGACGATTGGCCGCCATCACAATCCAAGCTTGGTGGAAAAGCGTTCTGCCAGTGGTTCAATCGCAACGAGTTGGTGCCATGAAAATACAATCTTGGTTCCGGAAATTGCTCTCAAGGAGGAACACTGCTCGGCTGCTGCTTTGTGGTGCCTACTTGTCAAAGTCAACCCTCAATGCAATGTCCATGAGAGTCCAAAGTCCTGAGTGGGGGTCACACATTAGAAGACAACTCAAGCTTCGTGCAAATTCAGCTGTAGTTGTCCAGAGGGATTGGAGGGCATACCACTACAACATGGCCTATTCAAAACAGAAAATGGCAGTCCTATTGCTCCAAGCTACATTTCAAGGCTGGATTGTGAACCACAAACTGACGAAATTCAAAAATGGGGTCCAAATAGTACAAAATGCTTGGAGGACCTACTGTGCTAAGGCTCTTTTGGTCAGGAATAGGCAGGCAGTAGCGATTCAATCACTTGTGCGCATGTTCTCGTCAAGGCAACAATACTTCCTACTACAAGAATCAACCAAAAAGATACAGTCATGTTGGAGATGTCATAAGGCCCAGCTTGATATCACTCAAATAAGATGTGCCACGGTGGCTATCCAGTCCGCTGTCCGCATGTCCTCTGCGTGCCAATACTATCGTGCTGTGAAACTATCAGTCCAAAAGATACAGTCGGTCGTGGAGATCCACCAGGCACAGGTTGCTTTCCCAGGGCAAGATGTGCTGTTGTGACTATTCAAGGTGCTGTTAGAAGCGGCATGGCAATGAGACAGTACCATCTTCTACGAGCATCCATCCAATCCATCCAGCCACTTGGAGATCTCACCAGGCACAGGTTGCTTTCGCCAGGGCAAGATGTGCTGTTGTGACTATTCAAGGTGCTGTTAGAAGAGGCATGACAATGAGACAGTACCATCTTCTACGAGCATCCATCCAATCCATCCAGTCGACTTGGAGATCTCACCAGGCACAGGTTGCTTTCGCCAGGGCAAGATGTGCTGTTGTGACTATTCAAGGTGCTGTTAGAAGAGGCATGACAGTGAGACAGTACCATCTTCTACGAGCATCCATCCAATCCATCCAGTCCACTTGGAGATCTCACCAGGCACAGGTTGCTTTCGCCAGGGCAAGATGTGCTGTTGTGACTATTCAAGGTGCTGTTAGAAGAGGCATGACAATGAGACAGTACCATCTTCTACGAGCATCCATCCAATCCATCCAGTCCACTTGGAGATCTCACCAGGCACAGGTTGCTTTCGCCAGGCAAGATGTGCTGTTGTGACTATTCAAGGTGCTGTTAGACGAGGCATGACAATGAGACAGTACCATCTTCTACGAGCATCCATCCAATCCATCCAGTCCACTTGGAGATCTCACCAGGCACAGGTTGCTTTCGCCAGGGCAAGATGTGCTGTTGTGACTATTCAAGGTGCTGTTAGAAGCGGCATGGCAATGAGACAGTACCATCTTCTACGAGCATCCATCCAATCCATCCAGTCCACTTGGAGATCTCACCAGGCACAGGTTGCTTTCGCCAGGGCAAGATGTGCTGTTGTGACTATTCAAGGTGCTGCAAGGCGTTCATCATCAACAAAACGACTGGTGCTGTCATCTGCTATGCTCATTCAGTCAGCTTGGAGATCATATCAATCTCAACTTGCTGGATACCGAAATTCTGCTGTAGTGATCCAGGCAACCACGCGTGCATTTCTCAGAAGAAAACAGTATGTTCTGATCCAACTGTCAGTCCGGCAAATTCAGTGTGCATGGAGGTCTCATTGGGGGGATCAGGTTGGCTTTAGCAGGTCAAGACATGCAGTTGGGGTTATCCAGAGGGCCACCAGAGCTTATTGTACAAGAAAGCAATTCTTGTTTAAGATGTCTTCGGCTCAAATACTGCAATCAGCTTGGAGATCCTGGAAAGCCCAGGCTGTTTTGGTCAGGGCAAGACAGGCAATCGGGGTTATCCAGAGTGCAACCAGAGCTTATTGTGCAAGAAAGCAATATTTGGTGATGCTGCTGTCCGCCCAAACACTTCAGTCCTCTTGGCGACGCTGGAAAGCCCAGGCTGAGTTCACAAAGGTCAAAACATGTGCTGTGGTGGCCCAGGAGGTTGGGCGAATGCATTCTGCACAGTCACAGTTCAGTTTTCACCAGCAGTTACTTCCTTCGGTGATCCAGTCTCAAGCTGTGGCCAGAGGTTGGCTTGCCAGGGCAAGTCTTCAGCGTAAGCAAAAGTATGCTGTGATGCTGCAAAGCAAGTGGCGCTGCTATATGCACCAGAGGCACTTCCAGGAAGCACGTACTGCGTGCATCATACTTCAGTGCTTTGCAATCTCTATCATGCTTCGCCAGCAAAGGGAACAATTTGCAGTTGTCAGAATCCAGTCGATTGCCAGAGGATGGAGATTGAGGCAGAGGTACCTCTATTGCAAGGAATGTACCATCATGGTTCAGGCAACTTGGAGGTCCTATCAAGGTCAGATTTGTTTTGCAAGATTCAGGGAAGCCATTGTCACAGTCCAAGGTGCTGCAAGAGGATATTTGGCAAGGAAGCAGTACAGGCAGCTTCAGTGTTTGGTAGCTCTGTTAATCAAGGTTCAAGCTGCTGTTCGGCGATGGCTAATCAAGGAACAGTTGGAGCGACAGGGGACTGTTGTTGCTACTATTCAGAGCTGCTGGAGAGCCTATCACTACAACAATGCTTTCCGTAAGCAGAGAGTGGCAACTATTGCAGTCCAGAGTCTCTTCAGGGGCTGGCAATGCAAGCAGCATCTTTTGAGATGCAAGAACAGCACCCTGCAGATCCAGACAGTGTGGCGATCATATCATGTTCAAGTCCAGTTCAGGAGGGTCGGAGGGTTGGTGATATTGATCCAGTGCGAAGTGAGAAGATACCTTTCCAAGAAGCAATTCAAACAACGCCACGAATCGATTGCTACGTTACAAAGGGGGCAAGCAGCTGTTAGAGGGTGGCTGACTAGGGTCAGACTTCAGCATGAAAGAGCCTCCTCGACTCTTATCCAGAGCCATTGGAGAGCCTATCACTACAACAATGCTTTCGGTAGGCAGAGGGTGGCTGCTGTTGCGGTCCAGAGTCTATTCAGGGGCTGGCATTGCAAGCAGCTTCTTTTGAGATGCAAGAACAGCACCCTGCAGATCCAGACAGTGTGGCGATCATATCATGTTCAAGTCCAGTTCAGGAGGGTCAGAGGGTTGGTGATATTGATCCAGTGCGAAGTGAGAAGATACCTGTCCAAGAAGCAATTCAAACAACGCCACGAATCGATTGCTACGTTACAAAGGGTGCAAGCAGCTGTTAGAGGGTGGCTGACTAGGGTCAGACTTCAGCATGAAAGAGCCTCCTTGACTCTTATCCAGAGCCATTGGAGAGCCTATCACTACAACAATGCTTTCGGTAGGCAGAGGGTGGCTGCTGTTGCAGTCCAGAGTCTATTCAGGGGCTGGCATTGCAAGCAGCATCTTTTGAGATGCAAGAACAGCACCCTGCAGATCCAGACAGTGTGGCGATCATATCATGTTCAAGTCCAGTTCAGGAGGGTCAGAGGGTTGGTGATATTGATCCAGTGCGAAGTGAGAAGATACCTGTCCAAGAAGCAATTCAAACAACGCCACGAATCGATTGCTACGTTACAAAGGGTGCAAGCAGCTGTTAGAGGGTGGCTGACTAGGGTCAGACTTCGGCATGAAAGAGCCTCCTCGACTCTTATCCAGAGCCATTGGAGAGCCTATCGGCAATGGCAGCGGTTCCAACAAGTACGAAAAGCCTGCATTATTCTCCAGTGTTTCACCGTTAGTGTTTTGTTGCATCTGCACAGTGCAAGACTTCAAGCAATGGACAAGTCCCCAACAGCTACGAGGGCCCATCACGACCATGCTCGATATCTAAGACGCAGAGCTATCAAGGCTGCTGTGAAGAAGCACAACAAGAGAAAGCAGGTGGCTCAGTTGGTGAGGACACAAGCCGTCATTAGAGGATGGCTCCAAAGCAAAAAGCTACATCAACAAGTACGGGCTGTCACAAGCATACAGCACCAGTGGAGGGCATCACATTCGAGCACAGTGAAGGCGGTTGTCATTTTGCAGAAGGGCTTCAGAGGCTGGAGCTCCAAGAATGAATTTAGGCGATGCAAGAATGGGGCCCAAAGAATTCAGGCATCTTGGAGGGGTCACCATGCTAGGAGTGGCTTTGTCAAGGCCAGAAGATCAAGCCTTACCATTCAGCGTTCGTGCCGCATGTATTTGGCACGGAAGCAGTATCAGCAACACCAGGACTTGCGAGTTCGTCGTGTGAGAGTACAAGCTGCAGTCCGAGGGTGGTTGCAGAGGCACATGCTCATGAAACAAACCTTGTCCTGCACCACCATCCAGTCGCAGTGGCGATCACATCACAGCAACCACAGATTTTTAAGGATGAGAGAGTCGGCTCTCATTTTGCAAAGGGCATGGAAAGTGCGGAGCTGCCAACAAAAGCTTCTGAGATGTAAGACCGGAGCCAAGAGAATACAATCCATGTGGAGAATCCACCAAGCTAGGAGGAAACAATCACAGCAAGTTGAGAAATTGAATTACCAATTGCTCAGATTCCAAGCTGCAGTTCGAGGGTGGCTGCAAAGGAAAAGACTTACAAAACAAGCCTTGGCAAGCACCTCTATCCAGTCACTGTGGCGGTCATATCATGGCAAGCTGGGCTTTGTTCAGTTGACGATGGCAGCCGTCGTCATTCAAAGGAATTTCAGAGGTTCAAACATTTTTGGGAGAGCTCTCAAGAGGAAGAATTCCGCTGCTTCGATGATTCAAGCCAAGTTTATTGAATGGAAGCTGAATATTTCGTTGCTGGCTGTTCAATCCTCTTTGGTGTTGTTGAAACGAACGCCTTCTGCTTCTTTCTTTGCCATTCAACATATCAACAGAGAGTTACAAGCAGCAATGCTCTTTTCAAGGTCATTGACATTGTCCGGAGGGGACTGGGACCAAGCAATTGCCGATTTTGAGAATCACGCTTCCATAATTATCCAGAGAGCCGTGAAACGGCTTCTTGTAAAGAAGCAGGCCGTGGCGCATTGGAATTCCATTTCTGCTGAGGCTAGACTCTCTTCCGACACTAACTTTGGTTTGGCAAGTGGTGATAATGAGCTTTTGTCGTGGCTGCTGATGTTTCAAGTCCGTCAAGCATTGGAGGAGCAAAATCAGTCTGCTCGGAGCATCCAGCGCTGGTGTCTGGAACGAAGCCGCTGGCTGGCAGCTTGCGTCGTGATACAGTCACGAGTGCGAGTTTGGCTTGCCAGAAGAAGAGTTTATCGGCTTAACGTACAGCGTGCTGCAAAGCGATGCGCTGAATTCTATGATGAACTTGAGGCAACTTTGCTGGCGCGAGTATACAGGGCAGCATCGGAACAAGCCCAGCGCGATGTCAAGCATTTGCTGTCACACGATGAGCCAAGCAAAGTGCCCTCGAAGTCCGGAATATGCGTCCGACGTATCGCGCAACGCGTGGTACTGGGCCGACTTCGAGCCGAAAATGAAAAAGACGAAGTGAACTCGGCCAAAGATCTTCTTGCGGCCGAGCAGGGGAGAGTACCGGTAGATAGGTTGGTGCTCTGATTGCTTTGATCAAGTGAACTGTAGGCAGCTGGCTAGCTAGTTAATTTTAAAATAGAACTAAGCATGTTTAGGCTGAAGAGCACAGCAGATGGAGCAAGCCAAAGAAGAATAACGGTGCAAAGAGGTTGCAGCCACCAAACATACTGTAGCTGGGGATACTCGCTCGTTGGCTTTCGTCGAGCAAGCTGACATGCGTACGGTACAGCCGTGCTCCAAGAACAGAGGCTTCATCAGCAGTACGTGGGCTCGAGGAAGACGACACAAGGTCGAGTCGAGTCGAGTCCAACGAAACCTGAAGAGGACGACAAATAGAAATATTTTGCTTCCTATTGTTACAATCTATATGCCTCCGTTCAGGGCGAACTCGATCACACGAGGATCCGACAGCACCCAGGCAAGCCCCGCCTGAAGGACCATGGCCGGGAGACTCGAAGTCGAGTTCTTCTTCTGATCGAATACTTCTCGACGAATTCGGTAAATCCACCACACATTCTGGATCTTCCGGGCAGCCTTTTCTTTCCTTATGTTCTCTCGGGTAACTCTCTGAAGTGTCAAAGCAACCGAGACAAGGCGTTTGAAAGACACTCGAGCAGAATACATGCGCCAGAGCCCCTGGATGCTGGCAGCGGCATCATGACTGGAAGCGCGAATGATGGCAAACTGCGTCTTCCAGTGAACCATTCGACAGAAAGATTGCAGTCTGACACACTGCAAAAACTCCAGTTTCCGGATCTGGGCACGGAGCCAAGCCTTTTGGATCCTGGTCGCCGCTGCGTCCCTTCGGATTTTCTCTGCTCTCTTTCGGGCAGCATACCCACGCCAGATGCACTGAATCCACGCACTGGAAATGTTCTTGTAATAGAGTTCCTTTTTCCGTTTCGACTGAAACATTCTCCACTCGCGTTGAATCAGGATAGCAGAGCGCATCCTTCTTGCCTCCTCTCGAATGGTAGCCGGCTTCTTTGGATCCTTTCGACGACGGGAACTAGAATCATCGCCACAGACACTGCGACCTGATGCGTTCTTTGTCAGACCGCCCCAAGGCATGGCCAATGCAGCCATTGAAAAATCAAAATTGCAAAACATTGAGCTTGCGGTACAAGATTGGGCCTTGTTTGGGTACTGAGATTGCCATGACATTGTCGATGCAGACCTGGACAGAAGGTATTCGTTCGAAAAGACCGACATGGTCTCGTCGAGAGCCCTCTTTGTTTCAGCCTCAACTTCTCTAAGCAACTCCTCCTGACGCCGTGACAACAGCACCTCTCTGTACCGTCGTTGAATCAACTTGGCAGCATTGGCTCGTCGCCTCACAGCAATCAAGCAACGGAGGATAAATCTCTTCTTGGCGTCTAGCCACGATTCTTGGATCTTTCTGGCGGCCGCGTGACGCTCTCTGCAGAAAGTCAGGTACAGCCGTGCTGTGGTCTCGATCTTCATCGCACTTCGTTTCTGAAGAAGGTAGAGCTGCCTTTGCACGAAAAAGCGATACCAGGACTGGAGTTTGATCGCTGCCATATCCCTAAGATAGGCTCTCCTCTGACTCAAACAGCGCCACCAGGCCTGTATGCTTATTGCTCCAAGAATCCTCGTGTAGACTCTCCGTTGCCTCCAACTGCGCCACAGTGCCTGGAGCGTGATGGCTGAAATTTCGCGAAGGTATGCCTGCCTTTGTCTCAAACAGCGCCACCAACTCTCGATTTTGATTGAAGCGCGCTCCCTTCGTCGGCGACGGACTCGAAACTGTAAAGCCAAGGTTGCATACCGCAGGCGTTGGTATCTCGATTCGCATGCAATCTAGGATACAAAGGCGAACAGCAAAATGAAGTGAGCCCCTGTCACACAATCTACCAAACTCAATCATTCTCATGACGACGACAAGCTTACCCTTCTCCACCAACTCGCCAACATGGTAGCAGCAATGGAATGGAGCCAGCGGAGGACTGCAAGATTTCTTCGCTGAACAAACCCTCGAAACACGCACTGGATTGTGACCGATGCACCCTGCTGGAATTGGAACCGCTTCTGGGCAGCCATTCGACGCGCAGCGGTCTGAATTTTGACTGCACAGGTATTTTTTATCCGGAACCACAACTTGGCCAGCACTTGCAGGGACACGAATCCAGGAATCATCATACTATAAGCCGCACGTTGCATCTTCCCGCGAATCTGGGCTTGGATCGAGATTGCAGCAGCTCGAACAATCGAGAAGTTGTGCTTAGCGAAGGACTTGCGCCATTGCGCTTGGATGGCCGTGGCGGACACTGTCTTGAGTGAGAATTGTGCTTTTCCGAGGTCTCGTAGATTCGAAAACCCACGTAGTTGGACCGCAAATCTGCCTTCGCACTTATGTCTTCGCCAATGACTCTGTACAAGAATCACCGAAAGAAGAGAAGTCTCATATGCTACCAGTGCGGAGTATCTTCGCCAGACGCGTTGGATCAGGGTCGCCGCTGCCGTCTTTCGGATGTAGGCCCGGTGGGCCAAGAGCTGAAGACGAGTGAACCCATGGCAAAAGGTAATCCATTTGGTTCGGCAAGAGTGGGAGCGCCAGCGACTTTGTAGAGCAATGGTTGCCCCGATAATTGCAAAATACTCCATACTACATGATAACATACGCCAGAATCTTTGCAAACGAATAACGGCTTTGGTCTTCTTCTGGAAACGGTCCTGCCCGAGCACCCGCAGAGTCAGAAACCCATTCTTCATCTTTTGGGTCTTGGTACGACTTGAATGCCGACGCTGGTATTGCTGGATGGTGATGCTGGCCTCTTTCTTTTCCTGTAGTATGCAATAGTTCGTGTGACATCTCCACCGTGCTTGAATATCCGTTGCGGCGTCACTTTTCCTTGCGAAAGCCTCGATTGCCAGCTTCTGAAGGCTTATGACGCCAATGAACAGCTTGTCAAACTTGGCCCGCTGCGTCTCCATACGCCAGAAGCGCTGAATCAAAACGCTGGCCACTGTCTTGTCAAGAAATCTTTGTTGCGCCCGTTGCTGGACGTGCCTAAAACCATTGTACATCTTCCTGTACCTCGAGCACGCCAAATGCCCGCGACACGCCTTCTGAAGAAGGGACGATGCCAATTGTTTTCGAAGATACTTATCGACCATAATCTTCATCCTCGCTTGTGTCTGAAGAACCACGACTGCCAAAGTCTTCGTCTCGTGGCTCTTCCTCGCGAGTTGCTGCAAACAACAGAATCCATCCAGTTGAACACAGAATGATGACCTCATGGAGAAGCATCTCCATCTGGATTGCAACCGAACTGCCATGGATCTGAGGAGCAAATAAGACGACTGGGCCGATGTCATCCGCCAGAATTTTTGCAAGCGAATGGCTGATCTCAGGCGCGAGTAAGACGACTGGGCCAATGTCATCCGCCAGAATTTTTGCAAGCGAATGGCTGATCTCAGGCGCGAGTAAGACGACTGGGCCAATGTCATCCGCCAGAATTTTTGCAAGCGAATGGCTGATCTCAGGCGCGAGTAAGACGACTGGGCCGATGTCATCCGCCAGAATTTTTGCAAGAGAATCGCTGCTTTCAATCGCGAGTAAGACAACTTGGCCGATGCCATCCGCCAGAATTTTTGCAAGAGAATCGCTGCTTTCAATCGCGAGTAAGACAACTTGGCCGATGCCATTCGCCAGAATTTCTGCAAGAGAATGGCTGATTTCAGGCGCAAGTACGCCGACTTAGCCGATGTCATTCGCCAGAATTGCTGCAACCGAACGGCTGCCCGTGTCTTTGTATTGTACCGCCGCTTTGCAACCTTTTGAAGCTTGATGAAACCACGACGAAGCTTCCACTGCCGTTGTATTTTGAAAACAGCGGTTGATTTGATTCTATACTGCTCTTTGACCACTCTCTGAAAGGCCGAAAGACCCTTGTTGCGCTTTTCGATCCTGGCAATAAACTCGGGTCGGGACGAATAGATTGCCCACTTGAGCTGCAAGGAAGAGAAGCCCTTCCTCATTCTTTGAAACTCGAGGGAACAAACTTGAGCCCTGAACTGGCTTTGAATGAGCATGGCGCTGCGGATCCGCAGGACAAAGCGACGGACTCGAACGCCCCTGAACACAGCTGCAAGTATTGATGCCATTTCCATTCTAATCTCAAAAAGACGCTCCAATCTGCCTCGCGACCAAGCCTGCAAACGACAAACAGAAGACACTATAAGGCGAAGCTGATGAAGCACTTCAGCCCTAGTCACTGGGTTTGACATCATGGCAAGTGTGGTTGCAGCCGGGCGATCCTCCTTCGTGTTGTTTGTCGAAGGTCTGATCTCGTCCGCTACAGTTTCCTCCTGTTTGGCGCCATGGAACGACGTGCTCATATCCATTGTACCAGTTGCTTTGGCTGCCCGGGAGGAATCTAGACAAGAGGCAATCGACACAGGCATCGACAGTACAACTTCTGGGCGAAAAAGCCACAATGGGGACAGTAGAGTGATGTGTGTTGCCTCATCGACTCTGACTGTATCCACAGAGTTGGCCCCAATGGAAGGATCTTGAATTGGTGATTTGGATCCAACGGGAACAGCGGGCTGTTGTTCTGCCCTTTGTTCTGCCCTCTTGCGTTGCAGACTGAGGTACTTTCTTCTTTCTTTGTTTGCTCGATACCAGGTTTGGACAAGAACTGCAGAAATTGTGCGAAGCCGTTTCAACCAGGTCAACTGTTGTACTTGTTCCACCTCGATTCCCTCTTCATGAATGATTGCCCTGGTGAAGATCTTGCGTTTACGCCCTGAATAGGCTCTCCAGTTCTTCTGAATAGTGACCACAGCCAAAACAACCTTTGAATAAGCCTTCTTGCTGGAATACATTCTGTATGCTGTGGCAATCAGCGTGGCACTGAGCTCTGTCTTGTCTGCTGGAAATGTCAAAATAGAGCACAACTGGTACTCTCTTGTTACATCACCAAACTCATGGATTGATACAGAACAGTCAGAAAGAAGCGTATCTTGCCTCCGACAGGCGGTTGAACTGCGCTCTTGAGCGAGAGCATGAAGGAACCCCTCCCTGCGAATTTCTGCTCGGCGCCTGCGGTACCAGTGCTGGATCGTGTCTGCAGCATCAAATTGCTCTAGTAGCTGACATCTGACCTTGTAACTTCTGTAAAAGGCCTGAAGCTGGATTGCACAAGCATGATGTTTCTTCTCTGTTTTGAGAGTTCTCCACCAATTTTGTATTTGAGCTGCCATACTATGCAGGTGGCATCTTGCTTTGTAGGATCTGTAGGAATCCTGTATGCAGGTTGAGGACAGAAGGAGTTCAAAGAACCAAACTTGGTGGATGTAGCACCTCCAAATTGTTTGTATTTTTGTTGCTGCTTGTGTACACTTCAAATGAGCCAATTTCCTGCCTTTGTTTTGCGCTATTAGGCACCTGACCATGCATTGGACCTTGATTGCAGTTGCCTTCCATGACAAGAATCTTGATTGATGGTGGCAACACCTCCATGTGGTCTGTATTCTGGTTGCGGCATACATGTGTTTTGCATGGGATCGTTGCTGGGCCTGTTTCTTTGCCATCAGACACCTGATGAGGCTTTGTGCCTTGATGGCAGCCTTCTTCCACATCCTGAAGTTTGAAATCTGATGAGAGCACCTCCATGTTTTTTGCATTGTCGTTGCTGCTTTCATGCATCTTGCATGGGCACGCTTCTTAGCCTCACCCTTGGCCATCAGAGCCCTAGCCAAGCACTGGATCTTGATCGTCTCCTTCTTCATCAAAGCAAACCTTGAGCAATGGTGGGCACATCTCCATGTCTTCTGCATTTTGATTGCTGCTTTTGTGCATTTGGCATGAGCCCGTCTCTCTACCTCTGTTATCGCTGCCTGACACCTTCTCCAGCACTGAATCGTGATTGCCATCTTCCGCCTCCTGAGCTCTGTGTGTGCCTTCAGACACCTAACCCAGCACTGGATCTTGATTGCCTCATCCTTCAACAAAGTGAACATTGAGCAATGGAGGGCACATCTCCATGTCTTCTGCAGTGTGATTGCTGCTTGTGTGCATTTGGCATGAGCCCGTCTCTCAGCCTCTGCTATTGCCAGCTGACACCTTACCCAGCACTGGATCTTGAGTGCCATCTTCCGCCTACTGAGCTCTCTGTGCGCCGTCAGACACCTAAGCCAGCACTGGATCTTGATTGCCTCATTTTTCAACAAAATGAACATTGAGCAATGGAGGGCACATCTCCATGTCTTCTGTATTGTGATTGCTGCTTGCATGCGTCTGGCAAGAGCAAGTGTCTCAAGCTCTGTCTTTGCCACCAGACACCGAACCCAGCACTGGATCTTGAGTGCCATCTTCCGCCTACTGAGCTCTCTCTGGGCCGCCAGACATCGAACCCAGCACTGGATCTTGGTTGCCATCTTCCTTCTCTTCAGCTGTCTCTTTGCCATCAGACACCTTAGCCAACACTGGATCTTGATTGCCTTTTCCCTGAACAAAGTGAACCTCGACCTGTGATGAGCGCGTCTCCATGCTGTCTGTACAGAAACAACCGCGGACAGTAAACTTGTGAACGACTTAAGTTCCTTGGAACGACGATACAAAGACTGGAGCCGAATGGCCACCTCTCGGCATTCGTACAGATTTTGTACGCAACGGCGCATTCTGAACAAGGACTGGATAGCCACGAAGGCCCGCAACGATGCTTTCGTTTGGCGACGTTGCGAAAAGCCCCGGAAGAGCGACTGAATTATGATCGATGCAACAAGCATCTCCTCAAAGTCCTCGACTTTCACTGTCATGCGACGCCAAGCTTGAATAATCGTCGCGGCTTCGACTTGTTCGTGGAAGCTGCAACGAGCTGAATAACCCCGAAAACAAGCTTGGATAGCTGCCACTCCCATCTTCAGCTCTTCGAAGTCTCGCTTGCAGGTGGTCATCCGTTGCCAACGCTGCAACACCAACGAAGAGGCTTGCATCTGCCTGTAGCTGTTGTAGTGCATGAGGCGAAGATAGCCACAAGCTTTCCCCTTGGAATAAAAGAATGCTGCAAGGGGATCAATGCTGCTTCTCACTTGGTAACCCCGGTAGCATTTTTGGACAGAGACAATGGCCAAGTACAATCGTGTGGCCATTCTGTCCCTGTAGTCGTCCCAGGCAGCTTGGATCAGAACGGCAGCAAAATGGGCCTCAACTAGTGCGTTATAGCGTCTTCTCGCCACGCAGCCACGAACAATTCTCTGTGCTAGCAGGGCGGATGCGCAAACCTTGGTGAACCTTTTGGATTGCGCACACATTCTACAAAAAGCTTGGAGCTTCGTGGCCGTTCTGAATACGTGCTGCGCATGGAGAAACTCGAAGCGCTTCCTACCGAGGTGTCCTCGACAGATTCTCTGGGCCAGGATGGCTGACCGGCAAAGGTCTTTGTAGCATTTGCGAGCATGGAATCTTCTCCAGGCTGCCGCTAGATGAGTTTCTGCAGAACACATGCGTGCATTTTGGATCTCACTTCTCGTCTTGTGACCACGATACACACGTTGAAGCGTCATAGTTGCATGGCACAGTTTCTTGAAGATGGAGCGCATATGAGACACCCGCCACAAAGCCTGAAACTTGACTGCTCCCAGGTACATGCGAGCCTCTACAAGCGCTTTCCTTGTCCTGTATCCACGATAGCAACGTTGTACATCCCAGACTGAGACGTAGAGAACATTGTATGTCTCGCATACTATGGCCATCCGCCACCATCCCTGAAGCTTTGTTGCGGAAGCTGTCTTCAATGTTTGCAGCGCAATCTTGTACCTTTGCCTCGCGCTGTAGGCACGATAAGATCTCTGAATATCCACGACAGACAGTTGCATTATGGTATAGGCATCAAAAGCCAAATTCAAACGCCACCAGGATTGGAGTTTGGCGGCCGCAGCATAAAGCCGCAGGTATGAGAGATGTTTGTGCCTCAATCTTCCCTGATGCCCCCTAAAAATTTTCTGAGTGTACGAGAAAAGCGTTAGGATGACGGCGGCGCAAGGTGTCTAGTGGGAAAGCATCGCGGTTTGAATATACTTGCCTGAACTGTAACAGCCAGCTTCTTTGACTCGTCAATATGCCTCAGGCATACGCACGTTCGCCACCAGGCCGACAAACGGGTAGCCGATGACCGCCTTGCTCGTCGTTCCCTCATCAATGTTTGAACGATCGAGACAACTCGACACAATCGCAAGAACCGTGTCCTGGTGATGTATGTTAACCAGACACCCCTAATAGCGTTTGCGGATCTCTTCCATTGAGAAAACAATTCTTGGTCCCTTCTTGTACGGGCTGAAGCCTGTAACAAGACAACACCCCGGACAACTATGCAGAATGCCTTCCTCGCTTGCCAGCCACGGTAAACCGACTGGACGTGAGTGCCAGACTGTATCTGCTGGAGGTGGAAGCTTCGACAGGAGACTTTTCGTAGCCATGCTTGCAAACGAACTGCTGCCTGTTCTTTTTGAAGCCTGGAAAGAATAGCCTGCCTCTGGACAAGGCATTGCAATATGGAGTATGAGAGCCGTATCTTCGACATACAGACACGCAAGGCAACTGCCCGATACCAGTCTTGAATTGCAAGGGCGGCATATGCCTGATGGTCCAACCTTGCTCGTGCTATGAACCCCCGAATAGCTCGTTGGATGTGAAGGACCGTCCGACACTTCAAGTTGAAGCTTCGGTATTCCCTTCGTCCCCGATACACGGCTTGAAACCCCGTGATTCCAAATTTTGCCTCCAAGTATTGTTCTCTTATTGTGAAACCTCGGAACAATGCTTGAATGCTGCTAGCTGACATGTCTTGGATTTCCAAAAGCAGAACGGCGCTGGTCATTCTCCAAAATGCCTGAAGACGGATTGCCGCACTTTTAGCCTGTTGGAGATACACCATCTCATCCGTCTCATGCCCATATCGGGACCAAAACCGCTGAATAGTCATCGCCGCCTCCTTCTCACGTGCCATTTTCCACAGTATCCTCCTCATCCGGAGGGATTGCATCAGAACAGAGGCGCGACTCAGCCTTGCACACTGGTTCGAAAATGATCTTAGCAAGGCAACCTTGCTCAGGTGAGTGAATTTCTTTTGATTGCTCCAATCCTCCCACAGTGGGTGCCTATGAGCCTCGCAAACGACATGAATTCGACAACGGTTGAGCTGCGCAATGCCTTGGTCCTCTGCGAAGTAGATGCTGGTTTCTGTCTTCCAGTTGACCACAAAACTGTATGGAGTGCGCAAGACCTCGGGTGGCAAGGATTCGTCATTAACTTGGCGGATAGCCTTGGCCAAAGCCAGTAACCTAACTTTTTGACGCAGTACTGGGTTATTGGTGGTTTCTTCCTGACGAAAATCAACTCGAACAGCCCTTTGAAAACAGTGAAGGATGCTTGTAAAGTGAGAGGGTATTTTGTTGGGCCAAATTTGGGCACGATCGCAGGGTTTCGGATGCCTTACCATTCTTTCAAGAGATACAAGGATATCAGCTCAAACTGGGAACGATTGATTCTCCACGCACACTGTATGTTCACGGATGATCTCCACAGCAGTTTCTCCCGCATTCTTTTCTTAGCCCAGCGCTGTATGATGGGAATTCTTGCAAGTTTGTGAGAATCGTAAGTCCAATAGGTCTTGTTCGTTGGAAGGTATTCGTAAGCAATGCTCTTGTATTTCCTGGGTGGCACCGTTCCTTCTTTAATTCCAAGGTTCTTCCTTCGATGCGCCAATACGGATCTTGCTACTGTATCTTGAGGAACATTCGAGACTGGCTGTTTCAGAGCCCGTCGTCGGAGCTGCGCAGCTCGGAACAGAGACGCCGAAGCAGATGAGACTGATGGCTTCTCGTCGTGCTCCAAAGGTTTGGCACTGTCCTCAGTCGGTGCGAGCTTGTCTTCATTCGGCGTGACCTTTCTTTTTTCCTCATCCGCTTCGCCCGCCTCGTCCGAGGGGTTTTCTTCCAAGCTGTCTGCAGAAAGTATCAGATCGGGCGGATGATCACTGGAGATTGATTCCGATGTGGAACTGTCCCCGGATAGCGTTTCTACTCCGTCGTTGATTTCCTCTACCATGAGACTGACACATTCCACGCGCTGTTGTCGAATAACTTTAATGTGCTTCCTCAGGTGAAATTGAATCAACTTGGATGCGTTGCTTTCACGTATGCGTTTCTCCAAATCCTCCTCGAGCATCTTGCGTTGCCGTTTGGCACAGCGCATCCTCCATAAGGATTGAATGGTAGCAGCGGAACCCCGGATTTCCTGAGCGGCTTTAATTGCTACGCGTCTACGTTCCAGTGATTGAATGATAATGGTCAACCCTCGCAATCTGATGTAGAAAAGCCGCTGTGCGATGTTCCTCCACCACCACTGAATCACAAAAGCCGTACCGGAGAGGTATCGCACGTGTTTTCTCAGCTTGACCCCCCGAAACACAGATTGTATGATGATCGCCGCCCTTAGTCTTCGTTTGTTTCGGTTGGCGCTGGGCTTGGTCTGAGGTAGAACGGTAATATTTTTGGTGATGGCCTTGGCCTTTCCCTTTTGATAGAGCCGATCGAACATAGTTACAACTCTGGGACCTTCTTTTTTCTTTTTCTTCTTTTTCTTGGGTGGCAGCTGTTTGGGTTCTGTACTAGTACTACTCACGGGGAGTGCTTCTGATGGTGGTGGCATGGAACCAGTTGCTTCTATGGGAGGCGACCCCGGTGGCGGATCCCGCTGCGACGAGAAGGAGTGATTTTGATTCAACGACACACCACCGATGGCCAGTTTGTTGTTGTTGTTGCCCTTTTGGGAATGCCATTTTCGTTCCAGCTGATTCAGTTTGTCAAAGAGGCGCGTATCTTTCGCGTGTTGTTGATGTCGATGGCGGCCCTCGTCTCGGTTCCCTGATGGCAAGACGAGCTCCGCATCGTTAGAGCCATCACCGGCCCTTGTACGACCCCTCATGCTCTCCCGTTGAGCTTTGGAGGATCAGCCACGCCTTTTGTTCTGGTCCTTGTGGTCGTTGGTTTGCCCTTGAGAGCTACTCTAGGTGCGTCGATCCCATTGACGCGACGGTTGTAATGGTCGAGGATGGGTGAAGAATTGTGGAGGGAGAGCAAGGCAACGCAAGGCAAGCCCTAAGTAATCTTCGGAATGAGCGAGATCAGCGAAGAGCACGTAAGTACCAACCATTTTGTTCGGGAAACAGGATGGAGCGGCGTGTGGGAACCCCCTTTCCCAGGGAAGATTAACACCTGATCCCCACAGGTTCAATTCAACCTGCTCTTCTGGCTTCTGAGAAAACCCGTTCTTCAACGTCATTCTAACCGCTCTGTGCATGTGACTCTTGCAAAAGGCGGAAAAAAGAAGGCGCAAAGCAAACAGACATTCACCATCATCGACGACAACGAGACCACCCTCCCATGGCCTCCTGGTTGGTAGCCGTAACAGGGAGCTGACACAGTGCCTGGCAATTACAGTAATACTATACGACAACCAACAATAAGTACTGATATAGGTGTGGTTACCGGTAGGTGGGAAGGAAGAAAAGGAAGAAGTCTGAATTGAGGATGGAGTACAACAATTCCAAGTCTTCTCGTTCCTCCAAGACGGGCAGTCTCAGTGGGAAGAGCAAAGGGATGTTTACATCTTACTTCCGCAACAAGCAACGCCGGGATGCCGATAAGAAGGAAGAACGACGACAACTAGCCGAAGAAAAGCTGAGAGTCATGTTGGCTCCGGTTCAATTCAGTGAGGAGGAAGAAGAGCGATTGCGAGAACTCAAACGGTACAAACGATGGAAGAAGCTCCAACAAGAACAAGAAGAACGCCAACGCGAGCTCAAATCCAAAGCTATGCCATCGATCCCAGAAACTCAAATAGTGACTCCAGTGTTACTGGATGATGAAATTCTTGTTCGAAGACCATTGCCAAGACGAAGACGCCACAGTAAAAGCAGACGACCAATGGTCGCCACACAACGACTGGTCCAACAAACCATGAAAGCACTTCATCAACATACGTGGGAACAAAGAGTGGCAGTGGTCACATCACTGATGGCACTGCTATTCATCAGCCTACACGCCGATATACTGGGACCCAGAGTCTTGCCCCAACAACTCTTTCTCGACAACAGTCAAGTGCCTTGGTACATAATTGTACTCAAAGACTGGGGCACGTTTTGTCACATCAGTACCTGCTCACTGATCCATTTCGCACTCTGCGATATTTCACTCATTTACGCCTTTGAGTCCATGGAGGTGGGGAACAAGACGGGTCCCAAAGTCAAGGAATTCTACCGAGAAAAGGTACATGTTGTGGTTGCGGCACTCTCTGGAGGAATTGTGGCACTCAGCATCTGCAAGGCGCTCCTGGAGGCATGGTTCCGCATGTTGGGAGAATTGCTCGAAACTGCCATTAGTTTGGTGGGTCACGGAAAAGGAGCTTGCACTTCCCTCTATCATAACATTGGATATGCTCCACAACATATTCTCAATGGTCTCGCCAAGTTGGGACACATTGCCATGCGGCCGTCCGAATGGATCTCCTCTGTCTGTGCTGGACTCGCACGCTTATTCACGGGGCTCTGTATTTGGATACTAGCTGTAGTGATCCCCTTTGACTCCGATGAACGACCCTTGGTGACGCGCATGATGGCACGATCCCACGAGGATCCCAAACAACAACAGCAAGAGCAAACATCGGGGGTTCTGCAGGAACACCAGGACAACAACCAGACTTTGGGGGAGACAATTGCTGCATTGAATGCGACACTGATCAACGTTACACTCGACGACAACAATGTGACTCTGGGCAACATTCCAAAGGCAGAAGAGGTTATTTACTGGCGAAACGATGCATTTGAGACGTGTCGGTATCTGCTCTCGCATTCTGCCTTTTTCCTAGTGTCACTGCTGGTCGTCATGCATTATTACACCCGAGGCTATCGACACAAGTCCAAAAAGTCAGCCTTACCCGAAACGGTGGGCAACGATGAGGCCGCCTTTCTAGAGGATCACAGCTCCATTGGGACAACACCGTCGTTGGCTCGTGATGAAACCGAACTACAGGCAAACTTGTCGTCGGACACGTCCATGGAAACATTGTCCACCATTGCCGCAACCAGACCAACCTCCATCACAATCACAATTGCAGCGGATTACTAGCGAAAGCAAAGGCAGGGATTTACGCAAGAGGACTTTCTGGGTGGGATTAGTTTGTTCGATGGGAAAGAGCAGTCAGAAAGTTCGTTGCGCAATCTGATGAAACGAAGCGGCTGTTGAAGGATGAGAATTTTTCTGATCGTGAAAGTGCCTTCGGGCACTTGGAACATAGCCAGCCAGTCACAGGCGGGTCGGAAATTCATTGGTTCCTAGTGATTCAAGTGATTCAAGTGATTCAAACAGATTGATGTTTCCGGTTCAACATGGCTTGTGTATGAGTCCATTGCATAGAGTAGGCAAAGAATCCAACACGATGGTTGTAGGTTGTCAGTACATCACATGCCTTTTATTACAAGTGACACCATCACTCGGTCTATAGTTGCAAAAACATTGTCTCTAGTAGCTTTCTATCTGCTTAGAAATTTCTAGGGAGTGTTGTCATGAGAGCACAAAATTTCGGGAGATACTTTGAAACGTAACTCTCAGTGTAGAACCCATGCTCCTTGTTGTGTCCCGAGACCAAATTGTGCGACAGTTCATGGGCGAAGACGACAAACCAATAACTGGAGAGAAACACGATTTGTGAGCGGTATCTGCCATCGTGATGGCATCACAATGGGCTGCACACAGTTTCCGGCACTTACCTGTAGCAATCATAGCTCTCGTACTTGTTTTGCAGGTAATGAAGAGCGTGAAAGAAGCGTAAATTGAAGTGGAGAGACCGATTGGCGTTGAATGCGATGGTGCCTCCTCTAGGATCATGAAATATGGCCACTGCTTTGGGATCAATTTCATACACACTGGCTAGTCTCTTGAGCACCAACGCGAACTTCTCAATAGCATCTTCATTGCTCCGCAGGAACGAATCAGATTCGGGGGAGTTGCGGGCAGAAAAGACGCAAACTCCATTGTGTGTCTTGCCATCTCCGCGAGGGCCTGGGAAAGCTTTGAGCGACTGGCCCGGGATGATTTCACAAGTACTACCGCGGTCAAGTTCCGCGGGAACGCTGAGAGGAAGAGCAAAACAAAGTGAGATACTCAGGAAAAATTGTGGGGGATTGGACCACATGAAATTTGAGCGTACCTTGTCATCACAGTATCCACACTCTCAACTCCTTTCGTGTTGACTGGGGCTGAAGCTGCAGCTGCGTTCTCTAGCATACTTTCCATATTAGAATGAGCGCTGGCATCGTGCTCAGGGGACACAGGGCCAGCGTCAGTGTTGGCGGACTGGGTCCCTGTGGACGGGCCCATTTGCTGGTGTTGGTTTTGCATGCCGCCTACTGCGGAAGCCGCCGCCGCCGTCGGGGCAACGCTTCCTCCGCCTCCACCCCGGAAACTGCCAAAAGCACGCCCAAGGCTATTCTTTAGCCCCCCTGCCTTGCCTTTCTTGGCTGGTTTCTCGGGGTCGGGAACCAATGCTTCTTGTTCAGAAGTCCGAGCTGGTTGGGGTGCTCTTGCTGCTGGTGGCGGTGGAGCAGCGTTTTTGCGTCGAGGGTAGTTGCCTGTAGACATTTGTTCCGCGAGTCGCCGTACGTCATCTAGATTAGGTTTGGATCCCATTTTCTCCTTGAGAAATTTCTCGTCTGCATCTGGGAACATTTGCTGGACCATCGTCATGATCTCGTCGGGAGCGAGCACCTCGTCCGTGTCCGCGGACTGGTTGCTGCTCGAATCTTGTGACCCCTTCGAATTCGATGTGCCATTGCTTGCGGTACCTCCAGAATTCGCAGCAGCAGTCGACGAGCCAGGTTGCACCGAATGAGCACCCACCGTCTTTTTGGCTTCGTTATTTGGTTTGCTTTGTTGCGGCGGAGGGGTGGGTTCCGGCTTTTTGGGCTCTTGGGGTGGTAGCTTAGGCTTCAACACTCGATCCACGGGGAACCCGCGAGCTCGTAGTTGTTCCAGTGGGGCCTCCAGAAGGGATGCAATGAAGAATGCGTCCTCAAGCTGACACCGTTCTAGGATCAAGTCACCAATGCTCTGACCGACGTCAAAGAAGTCAAGATCTTTGGTTACATAGAGCGCATTTTTTCGTTTGTCGAGTTGGCGGGAGCAACAAGTTGTTCTCTGTCGACGTTCCGCTCTGCCAAGAGTAAAAACAGCTAGCAATCCGTCAGCCTCGAACAGTGACAGTTTCTCATTGTCGAGTTTCTCGTGGGCATTTGGAACCAAAGCCCTGGACGTGACGTGGGGAGAAACAAGGAGAGGCGTGCGTTCATTGATCCTCTCCTGTAGGGCTTTGACGAGAGAAGTGTTTCTCACGGCACGACCAACAATCTCGAAGCGTTTTTCCACAACCTTTGAGATGTAGCTAGATCCGATGAGAATATAGAAATCCTCCAAATCAGATTCATGTGGGGCTCGATTGCCTGTCAGTTGATGGTGAAGAATACGTGAGGATAGCAGGAATCATCGGAATGCATAGGACTGTAGCTGTCTTTGTATGTACTTACCAGGAAACATTCTTCCAAAGAATGAATTGTCAATTATGAAAATATCTTCGGCTTTTGCCAGTTTGAAGCTTGGCTTTTCTTTGGAGTCGTCAGGATTGTCATTTAAGCTCGTGTAGGCGAGAAGAAATGGAGCCGACCTGATCTGTGGACTGACACGAGTAAACGGCGGATTTGCGGCGAGGCGACGCAGAAGCAAGCGGTACTTCTTCTCTCCAAGCGTGTCGAGAATGTCCTGCGGCGATCGCAGCAGCAACAGAAAGAGATCTCGAGCAGATGCCTCACTTTTCACTCCAACCGCAGAGAGAAAGCTACTGTATTCGACCGCCTTGAAAAGAAGCTCCGTCAAAGAGTCACTTTCGCCATTTGAGCTCCGGAAGAATACCTGGTCTGGGCGATACCACTCCACGATGCCTTCTTCGTCAGCAATGGGAATGAAGCTGACTTTTCGAAGGGAAACCAGAGATGTCTTGTCGAAGTCGGCAGTCTGGTTGGAAAGGAATTGAAAGATGAGGGAGAATGTCTTCAAGATTCTATCAGACAATTCCTTCTTGTTTTTGCTTTCTACTGAAGCTGACATCTTCTTGGCAAGTTGGACCAGAACGAGCAGCTGATCCAACAATTTGTCAGGCTTGGGTGATCGCGGGCACTGAAAGATTGTTGCATAAACATCGCTGGAGGCAAGCTTCGGGTCTACGACTGGGTAGCACATGATGCCACAGCTGACATCCGCGTAACACTCGACTGGGCTGCAGAGTTCGGATCGTTCCGCATCCGGCTGTAAGAAGCTCAGTCGGATGCACGGCATGATCTTAAACTTTGCTCTCCGTGCCCCGGAGAGTCTGTTATAATCTTGCTGATACACTCCGTGGGGTCCCATGCGTTTGCTGAGATAGTCGAGGCATTTGATCCGAGTCTCGTCATCCTTTACTCGTTCAGAAGTGTAATGAAGCACAGTTTCCAGCGAGGGACGAACGTGGCAGCCGAGTGCTTTCAGAAATTTTCCATTGGGAGACGAGGCCGCAAGGCTGTCTTCTGATGGCCACTGGAGGAGTCTGCAGAATGGAAAGAGTCGAAGATCAGGGTCTACGAGATGAAAAAGAAATGACATGGTTAGACAGGAAACAAAACCATAGACGTCTACGATCCATGTATTGTGACAAGCATACCCGGAAGAAACAGCTCCGAGGGAGCAAAGGTTCTACTTTCATCGTTCTCAGCGGGCAAATACTGAGTCTGCCGTAACATGTTAACATCCTTGTTTGTCAATGAGGCAGACCTAAGGTATTCCACGAGAGGTTTTGGATCCTTCGACCACTTGAGCGTGTCACTGAAGGCAACAAGGAGGAATGAGCACCCGCATGAGAGACGGAACCACCCGAACGATTGCACAAGGAGGTGTAGGCACTTACAGATTCTCAAAGAGAAACTCTATGGCTATGCTCTTTCGCACACCGAGTTCAAGCAAGAATTCATCCGTGATCCCTGCACTGTTCAAAGCTTTCGAGACCTTGTGGAACGATCCCATTCCATCAAAGGCCTTCAACTCTGCTGAATACAAGTAGAGATCTAGAGACAACAAACGCACGCACGCAGGACACATGAGATGATCCGAGCACCTATTGTACCAACGAAAGTCTGGCCTGACTTACTGCCTGGAAAGTCCGCTGCAAATTGGGTCGGCTCATTACTGTCAAAGGGGATGCATCTCTTGTCCGAGAGAAGGTTCTTGCAGAATCCGCCAAACACTTGTCGGCCGTTCCCGTATCTTCGGTGATACTCCTTGTTAAAGATAGTCAACACCGTCAAGCGCAGTTTGTCGTCTTCGGGTTGTCCCTTGTTGAGACATGGGTGCGCGCTCATAAAGTCCATCCAGATTTCCACAGGGACCGGTGAGAACCAATCCTGCAAGGCATCATCTGTGATTGTTCTCATGCCAATGTCATCACGAAGTGCATTTGGCAGTGCGGAAGGTGGCATAGGCAATGCTGGGTCGGACAGTGGGCCTTCCTTTTCGACGTAGAACAGCAGGTCCCGAAGAAATTTCATTTCTCTGCTTTGACTGTCAGCTTTGCCGCTTTCGGTATAGAACACAATAGAATCCTTCACCGACTCGCCCCTGGACCGAGTACCATGTGGATCAATATGACTGTATCTGGTCCACCAATTGAGAAAGAAGACGAGCTTGGGCTGCTCCAAAACGTCATCGGCAATTGCGATGGCGACGTCCTCCAATGTGATTTTCCGACACCGAGCAATAACATCATGGTACTGTTCGCAATTCATGTACACCACCTTTCGGATGACATTGTTCTGCACAAAGCTCTCCATGCCCTGATTAGGCAGCCGTGCCTGATCCCCGCGAACCACCCCAGAACGCGTCAGCACTGGAGGCGCCATGTTGGGCATACACCTCGAAAAGCCATTGGCAAGATTCATTCCCACCAAGGGGTCAGGAGTTGATTGTTCTGGGCAGAAACTCTGCATGAGAAGAATTGCTTGGCGTTCCTCGGCACAAAGTGGGCGTGGGTCTTGTGGATTGAGATATGCCGAGCCATCATCCAAGATTTCGGCGGCTGTGGTGACTACCGACACAATTTGTTTGGTTATACCCTTGGCCATGAACTTGGCAAATCCAAAAAGACCGCCACTCGTAGTAGATGCCGCATCATCACTTTCTGTTTGGTCAATGTCATCTTGTTCTACTTTCTTTGCAATGCTGGAAGCTTTTGCGTCTGCCGCTGCCTTGAACTGATTAGCAGCGATCTCTTTATCCGTCTTTTCTCGAGCCGGTGCGCTTTCTTTCCATTCCACTTCGAGCAAACTCATGGCGTGTTCTAGGGACAATCTCATGAGGATTCCACTAAACTCTAGCAACTCGGAATTGAAAGTACGCAGTGTGGGGTCCTGAAGATCAATGGCCTCACGTTCTACAGTTGGAACAAACGGAGCTGCCAAGTGCGCTGCCAGTCCCGTTGTTTGTGATGTTCGAAATCCTATGAAACGAAGAATGAGACGAGTTTTTAGCATTTGCAGTCTGATTGTAACGACGCGATGCAATGGGTTTGCTTGTGTACCGGTAACCTTACCAATAAAGATTCGTCCCTTTCCCATTTGTGGAGAGAAGCTCTCCGTGACTTTGTCAGCCTTGTTCTTTTGTTTTTTGGTATCATCATGTTGTTGTCCTCCAGCATTGAGAAAGATTTCCACATTCACTTCCTTTGGCGGTTTCTTTTTGGTGACTCGTTCCATCCTGCAGGGCACAAGTGGGTGAGTGTGGCTTGATACCATGCAATGACAACAAGCCAAACATTGCTACAGCATGACCATTCTTACCTCGTCGCCATTTGACTTCCAATCCTGGTTTTGGCAACGGCAGATACATAGCGAGCCTGAATACTGGAAGCGTCTCCATCGAGCAAGACATCAAACTGAAAAATGGATTCATTGATGGACTTGTTATTGTTGTTGAGATAGAATGTTCCTTGCGAGGAAGCGGTGACAGCTCCGTCATTGCTAAACCACGAAGACGATTGTGGTGGAGTGATGAGTGTGGGTTCCTTGATTTGTGTCTTTTGAATAAAGATTCGTTCATTGCCATCGACAAAGACTCGTATATTGCGCAGACAGCGTGTAAAAGTGAGCGATGCACAGAGGAACTGTCCAAACTCCACCATGCTCGGCAAGGCATAGGGATCTCTGCTGGGCAACAAAAAGGTGGTCCATGGCCTGCCACCTGGCCCCATTTCGGTAGAATTTTCCACGTTGGTGGCTGTTTTGGTCCATAGGGCATCGCCTCTCCACATGAACGCCAGTGCCTGATCTCCTGACATGACCAGTGGCTCTTCACAAATTGAAAACATGGTATAGGCACCCACGCCAAAGGCTCCTACTTTGGACACATCTGGGTTTCCTTCGGCAATTTTCTTGAGTCGAGCCCAATCTTGATCTCGAAAGGGCCAGCTGTGGAAACAAAAACAAACACAAAAAAACGAGATTGATGTGTGAGATATACTGCACTATACCGTATTGCACAGATGATGACGAGTGACGGAATCCGATCATATCGAATCAACTCTTACCCATTGTTTCGGTACATGACCTGAGTGACGGTCTGATTCATATCGCCATTGGTGGTAAAGTGAACTTCGGCATTGGTGGCGTCGGCATCGTTGGAATTCTGCAATAGCTCACGATAGACGGCTCCAGCCGATGCATACCGTGCCAAAATCTTGTCAATCAATGCCCGTTGGTTCACTTCGACACGAGAATCAGCGCCAGATTCGTTCACTTCTGCTCGGACGGCAGAGTACAGCGAATCCGCCGACATCTTGTTGTTGTTGTGTTGTTCTTGACTTTTGGTCGGCTGGTTCGTCTCTTTTTATGGGGCTGATGGAGGAACTAGTCTCTGTTGTTATATTGTTTTGTGGAACCTTTCCCGTGGCGAAAACATTGGATGCAGCCGTTGCTTTTGTCGTGAGTCATGACTGGAGGGACTCGCGACTCCCAACGATCAACGAAGAAGGATCTTTTGAGATTTAAGGATGGTGTACCGGTTGAGATTTAAGGCTCCTTCGACCATTTTGCCTCCACTCATTTTTCCTTGGATGTTGCAACATCTTGACTTTTGCGGACTTTGGATCGAAGGCAGTGTGAAGATCAAGCATATCAAGTCAAGCCGAGAAGAAAAGGGACCATGGCCAAGAAGTCCAAGTCAGGAGACAAGAAGAAAAAGAAGGGCCCCAAGGGAAAGAAAGCCCGTGAAAAGGCCAAGTTGGATCGACAATGGGGCGAAGAGGCATTTGATACGGGAAGAGCTTTCCAAAAGGGAAGATACAGTCGTATGCGGAATGCAAGCGATCTGAAGAAGAAGAAGAAAAAGCAGCAAGAGCATGATCCAAACGATGATGATGAGCAAGTGATGATGGAAGCGACCAAAAAGTTGGAACATGGTGACAGCAGTGGTGACAGCGGTGGCGACAGCAGTGAGGTGGAAGATGAAACCGTGGAACTATGTGGGGGTGCCTATGCCAAACTACTCAAGACAATTCAAACCCACAAAGACAATACCAAACGCGACAATCAGGATTCCGAGGATGACAGTTTTGCGGAATCTGACGATGAGGAAATGGAAGAATCCAACAAGGAAGAAGCAATGCAAGAGGTTTTGTCAGAGGATGATAGCAGTGACGATGAAAGCGTCAAAGGTGAAGCCACCAACGAAAACGGCAAAATGGAACTGTTTGATCCCTTTGGAGATCGATTCACAAGACAAGCAGAACCACTGCCTGAAGATGAAGAAAAACGAGAAAATGTCATTCGTAACTGGCAAGAAACCCTAAAGGTTCCCCTTCCCCACGTGGATCCAATGCTCGAACTTCAGGTTTCCAAGCAATTACTGCAAGAAATGCAACTCGCTGATGCTGCACTCTCTGACAAAGAAACTTGGAAGAAACTCGCCAATCGATCGTTTGACTGCAATCGAGAAGTATTGAAACGGTCCTGGAAGAATCAAAATGGCAACCGAAAAAGCAACTTTACCAATCTACAACGCGTTCTGTATCCCTTCCTGACGCGCTATGCCGACTGTCTCATCACCAACAAACCATCCAGTCAGGTCACAAACATGACCATTCTGCACATTGCCAATCACGTCCTCACATCCCGAGGACGGATCCAACGACTCAACCGCAAACTCAGGGCCGAACAAGACAACAACAATGACGACACTAGTAGTGATATTCGGGATCAAGGGTACACACGGCCTACAGTGCTGGTAATGCTGCCGACACGAGGAACCTGCCAAAAGTTTGTCCAACAACTGCTCCAATTGATTGGTGGCGATGACACTGTTCCCAAAGAATACCTCGATCGATTTGACAAGGAATATGGTCTCATTCCACAGGATGATGAGGATGATGGACAAGATCCCGTAAGAGCCCACAACACTAGTGAAGCTTTGAAGCGAAGAAGGAAACGAGTTTTAGAAGAAAAGGGAGCAGCCTGGCTGGAATTGTTTGGAGATGATGCGAACGACGATGACGATTTCAAGATTGGCATTGCCTTGAATGCCAAAGGGGTTGACAGCAACAAGAAAGAGAAAGCAAACGACAAGGAAGCAGCAGCCGGGAACAGGGTCAATGTCAAGCTCTACACGGACTTTTACAGCAGCGACATTATTGTATGTTCTCCACTGGGTCTCAAAATGGCCACGACGTCGTCGGAGGGAGGTGAAGGAGATGCCGACTTTTTGTCGAGCATTGAAATCTGCTTGTTGGATCGCTCCGATGTACTCATGATGCAAAACTGGGATCACGTCAATGCTGTGCTGGACCGAGTCAACCAGCTTCCACAAAACAACAACGAAACGGACTTCTCACGGGTTCGCAACTACCTTTTGGCGAATCAGGCATGCCACTGGCGCCAAATGATTGTGATCACGGAGGTTGCGGATCCAACCATTCTATCAACGTTTAAGCGATTTGCTAAGAGTAAGAGTGGCATCTTCAAGACCCGGCGCCGTATATTAGATGACGAGGGCAGCATTGCCAAGGTGATTGTGCCTATCCAACAAGTGTTTCAACGAGTCCCAGTGCAGAGTCTATCCTCGCTGGGCGACGATCGTATGAAGTACTTGACTCAGAAGGTTCTTCCGCCCATTCTACAACGCCGTCAGAAACGCACTCTAATCTACATTCCATCCTACTTCGACTTTGTTTTGCTGCGAAACTACCTGCTCAAGAAGGAATTTGACTTTGTCACAATCAACGAATACAGCCGTGTCAGCGAAACCAGTCGAGGACGTGCTCGGTTCCTTCAGGGTCGAAAACCGCTCATGCTCTACACGGGGAGAGCTCATTTCTTTCTGCGGCACAAGATAAAGGGGATTCGAAATCTAATCTTCTTTGGTCTGCCGGAGCACCCTGAGTTCTATGCCGACATGGTGAATGTTATCAATGAAGGGTCAGAGAACTTTAGTGGTGATGGTGATGAGGCGGAAGACACGAACAATGGCAGCATTGCTCTGTTTACAAGATACGATGCCCATGCTCTCGAACGGATTGTCGGGACCAAGCAATCTAGCAGGATGTTGAAGGGTGAAAAGCCAACCTTTCTCTTTTTCTCTTAGCTAGAGCACCCCCCTAAGCCACTCTTTTTAGATAGCACAAGGTATGAACTCTTGGTACAGAGCCGTTGAGACCAAACATGCATGGGTTCAATATTAAAGCTGCTTGCTGTTGCAACCGACCAGAGCCCCAACCCAAGGAATCAGTAGAGTGTTTGCTTTCTAGTTTTTCTTTCTAAAAGGTTTACGTCTATTTCTGATTCTCTCTATCAATGGATATTTCCCATCAAAGCTTTACTGGGAGACAAAGCCGGAGACCCCAACGTCATAGACCTCCCCATTGCTCTTCTGGATGTAAATGCTGGTTGGGTATCCCTGCTGGCTGTAGCTTACAGTGATTCTCTGAGCATTGTTAATGATTGCATCTTGGATGATTCCAAAGAAAGTATCCATGGTTGGAGGAGTAGCCCAGTAGATTGGGTTGTTGTTGCCGTCATTTGCATTGGCATTGACACCCCTGACAATGACAGTCCAAGGATAGACAATATTTTGAGGGTTGGGGCCAAACTTTTGATATTTGTATTCATAGTTCTGAATGTTCTGGCTCTTCCATTTGTTCCTGCTGGCATTCAACTGTTGGTGTTCCTGCTGCCATCTCTGATTTTGGAGGTTCCTCTTTCGGAGTCTCTGGGATTGGAAGCCTGAAATTGTGACATCATAGACCTCCCCATTGCTCTTCTGAATGTAGATATTGGTTGGGTATCCCTGCTGGCTGTAGCTTACAGTGATTCTCTGAGCATTGTTAATGATTGCATCTTGGATGATTCCAAAGAAAGTATCCATGGTTGGAGGAGTAGCCCAGTAGATTGGGTTGTTGTTGCCATCATTTGCATTGGCATTGACACCCCTGACAATGACAGTCCATGGATACACAATATTTTGAGGGTTGGGGCCATATTTTTGGTACTTGTATTCATAGTTCTGAATGTTCTGACTCTTCCATTTGTTCCTGCTGGCATTCAACTGTTGGTGTTCCTGCTGCCATCTTTGACCAAGTGCTGGTGTTGCTAACAATCCAAGAAGGCTGAGAAAGGCAAGCATGGTGCATTTTAAGGATTTGCTGTTGACCTTCATGATAAGTTCTTTAGTAGTTGTTTGTGATTTCTTTAGTAGTTGTTTGTGTTTGAGCTTTTAGTTTGTGAGAGGAGAAACGGGTAGCTCCATACATCGCAGACCGTTGGTGTGTTCATGCATGGGTGTAAACGTGTGAAACGAAAGAACGGTTCGCCTCTTGCGCGGTCACGCGCAGGAAGGGAAAATGCGACAAGAAAAAAAAAGGAGGAGGGGGGACGGACAGACGTTCACTCATTTGATCGCTTTAAGATTTTCCTTATTCGTTCCAATCCCATCAATCTATCTACTCTAAATCTAATCATTTCGGTCCCCTATTGCATTTGGTACCTCTACATTTTTAGCTGATCGGGATAGGTTAAAATACTACTTTTCTGTCTATTGCAGTTGGCTCCCTCATCTCCCGATCGAAATTTTGGACTTAGGGAATCCAAATTTCGTACTCTTCGAATGGATGGAGATCGAAAAAAGTCCACGCTCATACAATGCGATTTGAATGAGATTGTCATTGCACCGACCAACTGACAATGACAGCACTGTTGAATTCCAACCAGTTTGGACCGGCGCAGGCTGGTTTCATCAAGCGAGTTAGAGAAGAGATCGACAGAGACCTTAGGAACTACTTCAAAGCGCCGCGGCAATGGGATGATATCAAACCCAGCAGTGGCAAATACAACAGTCAGTTGTTAGACAAAACGACCAGCAAGAAATCCACGGCCGGAGGTTTTTATGTCAAACCAATCATTGCGTGGGTGCCACACCTGCTATTCAAGAACCATGTACCGCACTGTCCCTACTGCAAGAAGAATGACAAGGTCACAGTGACGCGATCACGTTGGATCAACTCACCCAAGATTTGCTTTGGTATAACAAGACACCGATATTTGGACACAAAACTGTACCCTTGCGACCGTTGCAAGAGGACCTTCGCTGGCTACAACAAGCAGTCAATGCAACTAGATGCTACGCTGTACAATGCATTCTTCTGCTATTATCTTGGTCATGGATTTGCTTGTGACGCAGAACTGTACAGACTGGTGGTGGAAGAATCGCAGACCAATTCTACGGCACGCATTGCAAAACGGCTGAGAAAGCTTGCCTATTCTGTTTATTTCGATGATCATCTACTCTACTTGACTGCTATTGGGCAGGACAAAATCAGGCCCAAGAAGAAGCAGCGTATTGATACAATCATGCAGTCGCAGTTCAATGAGTACGACAAACAGAAGGAACACCTCCAATCCATTCGTCACAGTGCAGCAAGAAAGGCATCTCATGCCCGCTTGGCACTCCAAACAGCCCGGGGCTTATTAGAAAAGGACATTGAATTCAAGAACATGGTGAAAGAGAAGGGGAACCACAACGTCCATGGTGCACGCAACGTTCTTCCTGGATTCGGTCCAACAAAGCTGAAAACTCTGATGGAAAACAACGTTAACTCAATGTTTGAGCTTCTTGCAGCCGATCCACTGGAAACACCAGGTGTAAATGCTTCGTGCCTTTGTCGCTGGCAGGATTGGGTGCATGAGTACCTGCAAGAGAAGCAGACTTTGGTAGATTGTCGCGAAGAAGAAATGATTGAAGCTGAACTGGAATTGGAGTCGGCAGAGGGTGCACTTCTCCGTTATGTTGAGAGGTATGGGAACCGCCGCAGACTGAACAACCCATACTCGCGAAGGGAAGAAGAAGAACCAGAGGAAGTGCTTCCTGCCTTCACCGATTTTGTTAACAAGCAAGGATACAATGGAAGGTTTCTTTCGAAGAGTCGAATAGACTCCATTGTCACCACAGTCTTCAATCATCGCAAGCAATTCCAAGATGCCAAGATGAAGAAGATTCCAGCTCGCATGCTGAAGATTGATTTCAATTACAAGCTCATCACCAAAATTCATGTCTGGACGAAGCAAGGTCAGAGTTTCGCTCCCTTCAAGTGTCTGGTGACAATTCAAAATGAGGATGCAATGACTGTTTTCTGGAAGACTCTGAAGCAGAGTGAATCCTTTTCAGAGATTCTGCCTGATCTCATCAGATTACGCAACCGTCTCAACAGGAATTGGCAAGCATTGCATGGAGTCGATGGTGCTTTTGGGCCTGTGGACCAAGCAATCAAGGTTGTTTATGTGGACAACTGTTGCAATGTTCGTGGTATGTGTCAGCGCTGCTTTCCTGGTGCACTGGTGAAGCTTGATCCTTTTCACTGGTTGAAGCGGTGGAATGACATTGTCAGCTCCCCATCATCAGGTGTGGCTGGAATTCTTCGTGGTCTGATGAGCCAGGCAATCTTCATTGTTGAACCGGAGGAGTACAAGAGAGCTGAAGAGTACTTGAAGAAGAAGCTGAAACGAGACCCAACGGTGAAGGAAACAATGAAGGAAGCAAAAACTGTTATCCCATGTCCAAGCATCCTTCGATCGAATGTGGAAGCAGTGATTCGTTATGTGCAAGCAAAGGACGCTGAGGTGGAAGCAGAGATGTCATTGCGGCAAGAAGGAGATCCACGACCAGCACTTAAAAGATTCCTCAAGCGAACTGGTGTCCGTGATGTCATTCGAAAACAGATGGTGCACATTGACAAGGGATGTTTAAGCGACCCACCACCTGAGCTTGTGAATGTCCACCGACAACATCCCAAAACTGGTCATGTGTACGTGGCAAGGGGCACCAACAGCAATGAGAATGACAATCTCTATTTGGATAAGGACGTCCTCACAGCTACCCACATTGGTATGTCTTACTTATTGTTGCTTTTGACTGGCACATCCGTTAACTCACCATTCAAATTTATTTAGGTATCCATCGCGGAGAACGGCTACTGTCAGGTTTCTTTGAAGAAAAGAATCATGCAAAGGGCGTCACTCGTCTTGGAGAGAACGATTATGGTACCTGTGAAACAGAGCGCTTAACACTTTTGAATTGCTATGCCAAATCAGTTGGTTTTACAGAGCAAGACCTTCCGTACAAGGATGTTCCGGCGCCTTCCATTTCTCCAAGCGATGAGACTGAATACATTGGCTTCCGGTACCAGCTACCACCCAACCTGACCGATGTGTCCAATCCTACGGACGTGGAAGGTCGGTCTACTGTACTGAGGGCTGATGACGACGATGCAGAAGAACTTGTTGGCTACGAGCATTTCCCTGGTGGTACAAACAGTACTAGCAACAGCGGCACTCTGGATTTATCAGACACAGTTGGCGATGAAGAAGATGTTGAGGTTTTGGCAACCGAAGATGAGTATGTCGCGTCTACTACAGCCCATCCTGACACTTTGAACAATGACGAATTACGTCTTAATCAAGTGGAGACAGAAGCTGATGTAAGTGACCGGGACAACAGCAGCTTTATTAAGGCGAATTTGAAGCTTCTTCTTCCAGAAGAAAATGGACGTGAGACAACTCTACAAGCATTTAAGCGACTTGCCAGTCAGCAGCCCTGGTTTCCCTTCCGTGATCCTCTCAGTTCCACCACTCCAAGTGAAATCGAGAGAGAAGAAGCGCTGCTTTTTGACTTGTGGATGGAAGAGCGAGACTATGGCCGCCAAGTTAGCACTGGTCGCCGATCCTTCAACCAACTCGCCAAAGACTGGAATGATGAAGCCTCAAGGCGGTTTACCCTTTGGAGCAAAGGTGATCCAATTGTCGAAATCAAACCAAAGACCACTTTGTTGTTGCAGCAGTACTATGACAAGTTACAAGAACATCGATCCCTGGCTGGTGTGCTTCCTGGGCGAGATGGCGACACGGCACGTGCAAGACTGCGAGATACCTTGCGACAAAATCGACGTCAGCTACCGGAGACCGCTGTTCCCCATCGTTCACGGCCAACTCAATATGCGAATGGGCGAGATGGTGTTACTCCTTTCGGCAATCCTACAACTCTGAATGCTGATGTGGCGGTTGGAGCAGTCAGAGCAACTGGTACTATTGATGTTGCCGGTGTGAGACACCAACTTGTGCCTCACACCATTCGACAGCATGAAGAAGCGCCTCCAGCAGCGCCACCACCACCAAAGAGGATATTTCGAAGCAGGATGTTTTGCTCTGTTTGTGGCCATAGAAAGAAAGACCATGTCACAGAAGAGAAGGCTGGTAAGAACTGTGTAAGAAACTGGTGTGGCAGGTGCCATGAGCGAAAGGATTGTCATGGAGAGGATGATGGATTTGGTCCTACATGCACCAAGGAAGCTCATGCGAGAAGCCACTACAAAGATTGGTTTGAATACAAACAGGTGAGTTTCTGCTACTATTGTTACTGGTTGACTACTTGGATAACAAACTCCAACATTTTCTTTGCCTCTTTCAATTACCAGCGCTGACTACCTCATCAGGCCCATCCAAGCTCAAGTCAACCAAGTGCTCATGAGTCTCTAGCACTCCAAATCCATGGAGATGGTTGACACAGCCCTCCAGGTATTCCTCAGTTTCCACAGCCAACAACTTGAAAGTGAGTTTGTCATTGTAAGTCCTGTCAAACCACTGACTCCAAGCCTCCATGCATTGCTTGTGCTCACTTGTGTAGCCATGGAACCTCTCTCCTGTGTACTCCAGAGCCAGCCAATACAAGCACCTCTTGAACTTGGCAGCCCTGTGAAGGAACATCTGTATGTCAATACAGTCAGCAAGCATTTCAAGCACAAGACAATACCACTCAATGCTCTTCTGACTCCCCCAATTTTCCATGGTATCAATGATCTCATTCATGTCAGGAGGCACTGGCCTGGCTACTTTGGTCATGATGAGGTCTTCCAACTGGTATGGCTCAAAACAACTTACTGGTACACAATTGTAGGTGTTTGGATGGACAATTTGATGCCCTTCTGCTTGCAAGAGAACATATTTCAGTTCATAGCTGCGCCTGGTTGCCTTCAGTTCATTGTAAGGGTAGACACTAACATCCACTAGCCACTTTGAAAAGTAAGGAGAAGCTTTGATCCTCATTGTTCAGTACTTGTAGTGTTGACTTGGATTGTTGACTTCCAATGACTCGACGACGTTTCGCACCTTTTCTTCACGGAAACAATGACAAGGTACGTTGGCGCGAAATTGTGAGCGCCATTTCTGAAGATACGATGCACCTCTGCTTCAATAAGTCTCCATGCGTTCTCCAGACTCACGAGAGTTAGATGGCAAAATTTGAATCACTGTGGCGAGTTGTACTGAAGGTCGAGTTACTTAGAGAAATTAGTCTGGTATAAAAATTTCAGTACTTTGGCGATAAAACCTACCCTGCGTCCAGCCTTAACGGAGTTTAGTCACAGTGGGTCGAGTCCCAGTTCTATTCTCGTGATTGCGGTTTTAATGCATTCTTAGCATCTCTTCTGGCTTACGGTACTTCATTCCCACCATATCACAACGGCATCAACGGCTTCCGTCGCTTCCTGGATGCACAAGCAGCATCGACACATTGGTCACAGCAAGCACACCTCGATCGGATCCAGAACGAGCACAGCACCTGACAACTCAGCAAGGATCGTGACAGTCCTAGAAAAGATTAGTGGATAGACCAGAGTGTCACAAGAACAACAAGAATGTCAGAAAGGCAGGAATCGGGGTCCTTCATAGAGGAAGATAACTGCAGTGGTCAAAGAGAAGAGGACGAAAATGGCGACTTTCCTATGAAGACCTTTGGAGATGATGAGGACGACGACGACGACGACGAAGGAGACAAGGGCGAAATGGACTATTCGCCTTCGACCGGAGTAATCTGTACCGTCCTTACACCTACTCCAGCCATGACGGAGGCTTCGGAAGTCTCAACGGCGGATGGTCACTACGATAGTAGTACGGCTTATGCTCTGAATCTTCGACGTGACCAACTTTATCATCAAATGTTCCTGCTGTCCGTTGCGACTGCGGCTGCTTGGGCGGTTCTGATTGCGACGCTGCTCCCATGGAATGTTTTACTGGCGCTGAGTGCCGTGGCAGTCTCTTCGGGGCTCTTGTCCTTCGTGGGATTCCAACGCTTCTTGTTGGAGTTCCGACTGGTGTTGGCTGGAGATGGATTAGTGCAGTTCTTACCGCAATCCATGGTGGATCAGTTGACAAACACTTCGTTGCATCAGTTCATGAGAGATGACACGTTCTTCAGAGAGTAAGTTGGGCAGAAGCGCGACGAAGCAAACGATGAAGACTATTTTCTTTGGCGGATATTTCTCACCGCACGCTCTTTTTCTGTTTTGTAGATGGGGTTTCATGGCAATCTACCTTGTTCCGGGTATTTCGGAGGATCAGATCAACGCATATATCCGTCGTCTACCACGACATCGTCGAAACTTGTTGACTCGACCTGGATTGGGACACTTTTTGGGCGACCCCGTCATGCGGGTTTTGGTGGGAGAAAATCGATGGCAACAACAGGCGATTGTAGGAAACACCATTGAACATCCCACTATGCAGGTTTCAGAAAGGGCAGCATCTGTTCCTCGGGCCCTGTTGGAAGGTTCCAATGATGAAGATAGTGAAGGAGACGAACAAGAAAGAATCGATGGTTCCGTTTCGGGGGTCGTCGACTCACCTATCGTCGCGACACGCTCCTTGATTGCTTCATCACCAGAAACAGCAGCTGTAGCGACAATGGCAGCACGTGCTCTCTTCCCGCCAATTCCGCGAGATGCAGGAGACGATGAGGCCAGCTGCGACAGTGATGACAGCGACGACAATCTGCTGATGGATCCTGCTGAGCTGATCGGGGCAGCCATTCAAGATGTCATGATGTCTTATGCACGATGGGCGGGTACTAATGCTTTCTTGGTGACTCATGATTATCTTGTTGAGCCTGCCTTGATTGCATCCGGAGCGACTGGTCTCGGAATGTCTTTTCTTTCTTTTGGTCTCGGCATGTGGCAGTACAGCAATCGCCCTCGCACTAGTTCCTATCAACAATCTTCAATGTTCACATCGGGGTCATTTTTGATTGGTTCGGGCGTCATTGGAGGTTTGTCGGCGGGAGCACTCATCTACAGTCGATCCGCCATTCGGAGTTTTATCATGGGTCAACCACCAACCCAAGCAGCATCCAAATCAAGGACGAACCCTCAACCTCCAAAACCCAAGCGGTGAGGTTGAGTGAAGTAAAGAATGGTCGTTCTAATGCTGGTTTGGGCGCATATGGTGTTGGTGGCTTCCGTGATGACTATCATTTGGAGATTAGTGTACTTTCCACAATGAACTGAAACAATTTTGGTCGATTTGTTGGCTTTCTTAATTAAGCAGCACTTTTGTAATTTGGCAAGGAAGATGAGAGGAAGCCATGACTGTCCGCAGTCGTTGTTGGCACCTGGGTCTGTTGTGGGAGGTTTGGGGATACATTATTTCGCATATCATCTTACGACTACAAACTAGACAATGGAATTGGCATGGCACCAACAGTTCCTCCATCAACATTCAAAATGACTCCAGTACACCAAGATGATGCCTTGGAACTCAAAAAGATTGCAGCTCCGGCCATATCATCTTCCTCTCCCATGCGGCCCAAGGGAATCTTGTTCGCGAGCGCCTGAGCATCGCCACCCCATGTAGCCAAGCCAGCACTCATCCGACTCGGTACAAATCCAGGCGCCAGAACATTGACGGTAATGTGCTTGGGTGCCAACTCCCTTGCCAGATCTTTGGTCAAATGATGGACGGCTGCCTTGCTAGCGTCATAGGCATGTGTTGGTGCTTCCTACGGGAGGATAATCAATCAAAAGGGAAAAAACACATCAATACCCCGGTTGAATCACACGTAAAGAGCATCGTGTTGCTTGACTTGGATTTGCTTACCTGAGGCACCATTCCAGCCACTAGAAGCACATGCATGCACATTCAAATGCCGTTAGTCGGGCACAGAACCCAACAACAATTTTTATTTCAATTCGTTTCAATGGAACTCACCACTTCCAATGTTAATGACGCGTCCAGGATCATCTCCCGTTTCTCTCTTCAACAGGGGGATGCATTCTCGTGTCAGGTAGAAGAGACCCTTGACATTGAGGTCAAATACCTTGTCGAAGCCCCAATTGGCCTTGCCGGAATCGCGATCTAGGGGTTCTCCCCAACTAGCGCCGGCATTATTGACAAGTACATCAAGTTTATTGTCGAATACCGATGCCGTGTGACTGGCCAAGGCGACGCAGCCTTCTCGGGTGGAGACATTGGATGCAACGTACTGTACATTGTCCGACTTGAGACTCTCGGCTGCTTCCGCACACGCCTTTTCATCTCGACTTGTCAACAGCACTTTGGCACCGGCGTCTACGAATCCTTTGGCAATCATCAATCCAATGCCACGGGATCCCCCCGTCACAAGGACGTTCTGCCAGAATTAATGAAACAAAAGATGAGTCTAGATAGAACCTTGTACATCGAGACAAGTAACGTCATCGATGCAGCGTACCTTCCCAGCCACCGAAAACAGGCTATTCAACTTGGTTGCTGCGGACATGGTCTGATCTTCTAAAGGTTTGTGCGGTTGTCTTCTTTAGCTGCTGGTCTGGGAGCAGAGTAGATCAGGCTATAGCTAGCAAGGGTCGTGTCAAGAAATGGCATCTGCAAGATGATGACTTCGAAGATCCGAAGATCCAGCATCGAATAATAATATTATTGCTATTTTAAGTTGTTTGGAAGATGATCGCAGAGGCGCACTGCATCATCTACTAGTACACATTCTGTACATGTACCGTACGGTACACAGAGTGGGTGCCCTTCCATGCAATGCACCCCTACCGTACTTTGAGTTGACTATCGATGATTTAGTTAGCTTTTCTTCTTCTTTTCTCTGCCTTGGAGTGGGCAAATCACATTCTCTATTGCCCATACAGTACCGTACCGAGCAAACAGCTCGTTCAGTTCTTTCATTTTTCCTATTCTGTGATTAAAGTAGTTAGCTGCCCAGCGATTCATGCACTAGAGTAGGAGAAAGCCATCAAATATCCTGGTATACTTGTTTTTAAGTTTCTTGTGAACGTGAAATCCTTCGTCACGAAATCATCTTTTTTGTTCTGCACGTGTCATGAGTCGAGTCTGTACAAACTGAATCGAATCCTCAGAAGGGCGCTTGGCCGCCTCACCACTACTTTACCCCACCACGAATGGCTGTTCCTCTCCCGCGTAGATCGAGATGCGAAGGGGAGGGTTTAGTCCCCCATCTTCAATCTGCAGCCCTTCAATGTAGTCCGAGTCAAACAAACTGTACTGCATGACACCACCGACTCCCGAGTTTGCATGAATGTAAATGATGGGCAACTCGTAAGATCCCAAGAATTCTGCCATACGATTGAAGAACCTTCGTTGTTGAGGTCCCGGACGAGCATTGCCCATCAGGACAATCTTTTGGAAGTTGTCCTGATTCATGGATACCATGGACTCCATCCAATTGACATTGTCATTCAATCGTCGAGTCCACTCCTCTTGGCTGGTCATGCGTCCTCCCACAAGGTGCAATCCCAAAAAGAGGACATCCTTGAAGAGAAAGGCAAAGTTCTCCTTTCGACGCATTTGCCGGTTGACGATAAAGTTGTGATCAAAGTTGGCTTCAAACGATTCAAAGTTGGCTTGCCATGTCTCCCAGGCATCGTCAGGATTGGGACAGTTGTTCCAATCTTCTTCGCCAGGCACGATAAACATGGGAACAGGACTCTGTAGGAGGACATCCTTGACGCGAGAGTATCGTGATTCCGAGCACAAGGTGACGGCCGAGTTCTGAATGTTACCCAAATGCGCCACAAAGTGAGCATCACTGGGCAAGGCTTCGAGATCAGCGCTGAGCTTTTCTTCTTCGCTACTATCATAGGGAGAGTCGGACGTGACATAGAAGACAATGTCTGGAAGACCCTCTTGGCCTGCCGAGCCGGTACTGGTTGCAGTGGAAGCAAATGTCTTGGCAGCCTTTGTCTGGCCTGCTGTTGACCGAGAGACAAGCATTCCAATAAGGAGGCCAACAGCGATACAGAGTGAAGCAGATAGGATGGCCCAACGACGCTGCTGTCTCTTTTTGCGTTCCAATTGTTCTTGCCACGTCTTGCGGGGTTCGGGAGGTGTCAAGGACCTGCCATTGGAGTCTAGATCACGGCTTCCAAAGGCCGCCATGATGTTGGCTCCTCTATCCAGATCGGGTGAGTACGTAGTGGTGGCAGTGGCAGGGGTGGTGGTGGGCTTCTTTCCAAAGCCGTCACGAAAGCTGAATCCACCAGATCCAAAGACGCTAGGCGAATCATGAGGACTGGCTATGAACAGGTTGCGGTGAGTTTTGACTTCTCTGTCAGTTTCCCGTTCCATGTGATTGAGGACATCTTTGACGTTGGCGCTGCGACTGCGTCCGCCCGACAAGGCCAATAGGGTGTGGTCAATAGAGTACCTAGAGGACCACTTGCTTTCCTTTTTGGGCATGGTTCCTCCATTGTTTTCCATTTCAATGACATCGACGAGGGCGTCTTCTTCGGCATAAGAAGGGATATTATTTTCTTCGTCATCTCCGTCTTTACCGGGGAAGGCAGATCGAGGACTGGAAGTGTAGGAGGCAGATCTGGAAGAACGCTTGGTGAAGTCAAGTCCAGCCAAAGCGGAAGGAACGCGCTTGGAACTACTGGTACTGGATCGGCGGCTGCTGCTGTTACTGCCATGGCCTGATCCCAAGCCACCGAGGCTACTGCGACTTCCGCTAAAGCCACCACTGTAGGAGGCAGAGAATCCGCCACTCTGCGTCTTTCGGACAGAATAAGGCGTCGAGAGGTGATCGTCGGCAATCTCCAACATTTTCAAGGCTTCAAGACGAATGGCTTCATCATCATCATATCCCTCTTCACTGTCTTCATCAGATTCAATATCACTCGGAGTTGACATACCAGAACGCACCGGGGAGTTTGCAACTCGCTCCGCCGCAAGCTCAACAGCCCTGACATTGGCTTCGTGAGTCTCCGACATGGTCGGATTTTCGTACTGCGCCCAACGAGAAGGCATTTCTTTGTTTGTGGAACCCATCAACTCATCCTCATCCCAAGGGGGGGTTTCGTCAGCCATCTTCAAAGTTATCTATCAGTACTTCTAAAGTCCGTTGCACGCAACTTATACTCAAGGAAGGGACTAAAAGTGGCGGTTGTCAAAGACAGAGGCAGAGCATCCAGATCAAATGCGACGAATCAATACAAAAATGCATCCGCCAACACAACTGTTACCAAAATGTTTGTAGTCTTGTTGACATGAATCACACGATTCGCATAAAATATTTAGAAGCTTCGCGGCGGAGCCCTCGGTTTGTGTCCAAACAATGAATTTTTTGGTCCTAAACTGTCGGGAGGCAAACTAACGGTCGGCATTCAAGCTAACCGGTGGTGGTCATTTTTTCATTCACTGACGGTAGTCATGAGTCGAGTCGAGTCGAGTCAGTCGACGAGTGCAGTCGAGTCCCGGTCCGTACCGGTACATGTACGAGAAAGTCCGTGGGGCCACCCAACACAATGGTGACCGACAGCCAAAATTCACTCTTTGCTGAAATCGTAGAACTCTATTGTTTTGTTCAGTAGTTTTAGTTCTTTGTACCAGTCCTGGTATTGCTTGTGATCTCTGGGGCACAGTGGGACCTGAACTCGGCGTCGTTCAATGTAAATGCACCGACGCAACGCACGTCCTTCGGTTCAAATCGAGGCTATCATGTCATACATCATACAACTAGGCTCTACGGTAGCCAGCTAGATCAGGCGAGGGGGAGGCTTTGTCAAAAAGGCAGTTCCCAGTTCTTCTTTCTTTCTGGGCTGAGGACGCCGGTCTCCGTAGTCAATCGAACGGATCTTTTGCTCATACTTCCAAATGCCAAAATACAAATCGAAGAGAACGGGAAGTCCCAGCAACGCAATGTTCGTACACAGTTCAATCCCTTTCACCCTTCGGTAGGTGCGAGGATGGAGCAGCTTTCCACGTAACGTCATCATCTGCTCTTCTTCGACACACTCTCTCCATCGCTCGTGCATTCCGAGGGTGTCGTTCCAGTACTCGATTGCGTTGCGTCGTGCCGTTTTGCGAATAACTCGATGTGAACTCCACATCCGCATCCGGGCGTGGCTTGAATAGTGGCAACGAGACGGTATCTCTACGACGGAAGCGGTGGAGGCAAAACGAACTGCCTTGGTCGACATTTTGTAAGCATCGTTTTCCGGGGACGGCTCGGACACGAACAGAACGGGGACTTTGTAGACTTCGAAAGGATGAGTAAGACGCGCAATGGCTGTTGCAACCATGCGTCGTTTCTTCTGTGGCGTCCGTTCAAGAGAGCGGCCGATTTTGCTCAGAAGGCTGTTTCGAAGACGACGACTCATGCGAAACTTCGACTTGCCATGGCCGCCAATCTTCTTCTTGTTGAATATCATGGTCGGTATTACGACCTTACGATGATGGGTGATGCAGTTAATGTTACGATCGAGATTCCACTGTAGTAACAAATGGCCACAGTACTTTGCTATGAGACCGTCGCCGTACCAAGCAGCCACTTGGGGCTCGCTCAAAAGAAACGCACCGTTACTTCGAATTCGAAATGATTTTCAAAACGATATTGAACTTCAAAAGCTGGGAAGGATCAGAATGATGAATGATCGATCGAATCAGCCATCCTTGTGAGAGAGAGCTTGTAGGAAAACGCGAAGACGACAAGACGAAAAGCAAAAGAGGACCGAATGAGCTCGTTCGACAGAAAAAGTGTGAGGCCTGAACTCGTCCATATCGACTGGCGTGGATGACAATTCATGACTGATTATTCGTGACAGAAGTCAAAACGTTCCACGCTGTGCAGGCGTTGGTACCTGTCCTACTAGAGCGACAGTCCGGTGGGCCCAAGCCGCTCACAAATTTTGCCCACACCTTGAGGTCAACGATTTCATTCATTTCCATCATGACGAGTTTCGTAGGACGGAAGAACGCTTCAGCCAAGACCATGGCACCAACAGCGCGTGTGACTTCCAAGATCGGTCTCTCCCCTCTTCAAGAAGCCGGAAAGCGTGTTTCGAAGCTACGCCTCTCCTTGAGAGACAAGAGCGGTGGCAACCTCAATCTTTCGTTTCGATCGCGCCGTGGAGTGAAGGTATCGATCGATCCCGAGCGCATTGCTGTGCCCGAGAATGGACCATTTTCGAAAGGTGTAAAGGTGACTATTGATCCCGATCGCCTTGGGCCAGATACTTTGATTCGTGAGGAACGAATGAAGAATCACTGCGGAGAAGACACCAACAGCCGCGTTCAATTTCGTACCACCGTAAGCGTCAAATTGATCCCTTCTCACCGAGAACTGCGCCCTGATGTAAAAGCAAAACTTTGGGATTCTAAACAACTTCGACAAGCGAACGCGATTCGAAATCGGGCCGAATACATGTCGGATGGTCGCGATTGGCGGAACTGTGCCGAGGAGAACGACATGTTCATTTTCTTCGGAGAGCTGATTCACCCATACACAGATGCAATCATGATGGGTGAAGCAGCCGAGTACGAGAAGCGGCAATTCGCGCGCCTTTCAAAGAAGAAGGAGGAGTCACAGGTGAACATGTTGTGTTCAAAGAAGGAGGAGTCACAGGTGAGCATGTGGTGTCGTCTCGGATTTGTTTTGATCGCCATTTGGCTTTTCGTGGCTAACTGTATTTGTATTGTCCATGACAACCAGGAGCGTCCTCTTTCCCTCAAGCAACGATTGGTAGTTCTCGCGAGTGGCGTCTTCTTTTCCTCTGCAGTGGAGAAGAAATCCAAGCGTCGCGAGACAAAGGAGAATTTCCTTCTTTCTTTGGCTCGCCAGAACCATCAGGCCATCGGGGTTGCTACTTAATTGAAAGCTCAAGATAGAAAGATAAACATAATTTTTAAAGAAAACAAAATACAAACGATAGATTCTAGTTGCTGCTCTTTTGCTTCGGTTGACGGGAGGGAAGATATGCTACAGTACAGTACCGTACCGATACGGTGACCAGACTGTGCTTCCAGTACCGGTAGTTTAGCAGCTGTGCGTCGTCGACACCTGTGTCTACGATAGTTCGTCGCAGTTGCCACTTGCACTAGCTAGCTCGAATTGTCTCTTGTGGGCTTCTGCAAGTCCCATGCACTCTTACGCTGTGCGAGCTTGCCCCGATTCGATTCATTCTGAACGAGTCATCGCATCAACCTCCAGGATACAGTAGTAGAGAAAACGAATGTTCCTGAATAAGCAAACCTAATCAACTATAGCACCGACCTAGTGTCCAATCCTCCACACAAAACTACCACTACTTTCACAAACCCCGTTGAATGCTGGCATTTTAGTCTGCCTTTTCTTTGGACTCAGAGGGCTTGGGCGCCAATGCACGGAAGATCATGGGGCTGGAAAGAACCACGATGGGCTCAATCGTCCACATCAAGTCGCCGGCGAAGTTTCCTTGGTTTTGGGAAATAGAACGTCAAGGAGGGCCAGCAGGGAAACGGTTAGAAAGATACCAGCCATATGCTGTCTTTTGTCTGTCTGAATCAACCAGCTTGACTTGACTCGACAGTACCAACATCGAACTTACCATGCCAATCTGCCATTTCATGAGTGTGGTAAAACTTGAAGTATTTCATCCATCCTGGTTCATTTTCTTCGTCGTCAAAGTAGAATACAATAACTCCCATGAGGTACCCATAAAAGGCTATAAAGTTCAGTACGAAAAAGATGAATTCTCGGTATCCTTCCATCTTGGTTGTGTGAGCTTCCTGTCGAAGTCGCTCCACAATATCCTTGAGGGCTGTTTGGCGGATTTTGTCTTCTTTTTCTCCATCATCTTTTCCACCACGATAGATTTGCAAAGTACGCTGTACTTGGTCAGTCTCTTGCTTGATATCCTTTTCATCGCCATCGCGTTCCTTCCAAAATGGACTCCATTGGCTCATGAATTGGTAGGTTATCAAGTTCATTGGTGGTGTGGTCATTGTTTCCTTGAATTTGAGTGTATCTGCCAATTCTAACATGGAATTTGCGGATCGCAGCTTTTCCAGTCCATCGGCAATCATGTAGTACAACAGGACTGCCAAACAAATCTCCATGACAGTCAGAGCATGAATGAGACCATATACCCCTCCAATCCACGGTGTTTCCGTGACATGCCAGGAATTTGAAAAAAGCCAAAAGAAGGCTAAACCAATAAAGAAACACTGAACACCAATGATCATCTCCTTGATGGCAGCCTTTCCGTCCTGGACCAACCGGGCTGTCACCAATCGTGATGCAATTTCATCATTCTTTTCAATAGGACTGCTGGACACTTTTTTGGGACGATTTTCGAGCAATTTTTGGACTCGATTGACCGTTTTAATGCCATTGAATATCATGGACAATCCGGCTTTGGATAGAAAGATAAAGGGGTATAGCTGAAGCCAGGAAATGAAGAACTCCAAGGGAGTTGTCTTGTCGAGGGGAGGAGGGAACTCGTAGTATTGAGCCGTCACATTGTGGTCGTACAGGAACCTGGGGCCCACCTCCAAGTCCTTTACACAGCACAACAAGTTGCGAGCAAACTGCACGTAGTCGTTCATTTTCTCACCACCAAAGAAAGTAAAGCAAAGTATTCGAGGTTGTGAGGACAAGTGGACCGAACTCTATTGTTTGTTTGTTCCTTGTTCCTTGCGTTTGGCAGTCGAAATTGCATGGATGGACGAAACCTCCCTCCAAGTCAAAGTTCAACACCCCTCATTTTTGCTTCTGACCGTCTGTCCGTAGCTTGTCAAATCAGCCCGTCTTTAAGCCGGCGGAAATAACCTTTAACCCCAACACCCCAACACCCCAACCTCCGCAACAATGACAAGAAGCCTCAGTCTTCTCTTGTGACGAAGATCCGAGACATCTACTAGTATTCATTCTGTTGATTGGCGTGTTTCTGGTTGCTGTTGTACGCCTCTGCCTCTGGGACTGCTGTTGTGCTTCTTTGAACTGACGAGACTAACTATAGCAAGCTAGCTAACTATCAACATGCCCAAACCGCTGGGGCCCACTGGCTTCGGCGAACGCGAATTGGCACGAAAAAAGGCCGAGAGAGCGAAGGAAAATTACAAGCGAAAACACGATGGTGACAACAACGACAATGACAACAGCACGACGGCAAAATTGAAGAAAAGCAAACAAAATTTCCAAGCCGCCGCAAAGAGCAAATCGTCTGTTGCCTCCTCCGCTGGCAGCAAAAATAATGCCGAAATAGTTGGCTTTTGCGATATCTGCTGCATGAATGAAAAATACAAGCAAGAGCAAGGCTTGGTCATGTGGAAATGTCGAACGTGTGGCGTTTGTGTCCATGGCCATTGCTACGCTGGACTCGACGATCCTAGAAAGAGCTCGCCAATGCCTGACTTTGAGTGTAAAGCGTGCGAGTCTGTCGGAAAGTCGTTCAAAGTGCGAGAAATTCAGCCGTTTACTGGAGAGCGGTTGGTGGTATCACAAGATGAGCGTCCACGTGAATGTTGCTTGTGCTCTGTGGAGGATGGAATAAGAGCCATGCATCCTGTCTATGACCATCATGGACCCAAGGGACGCCAGATTTACCTGCCAGCAAATCCAGAAGAAGGGAGACCACGACGCTTGGCGTGGTGTCACACAATGTGCGCCCAGTTGTCTTCTCGCTCGGTGTGCATTTTTGCTTGCCTGGAGGATGGATCTTATGATGCCGGCGATGAAGAGGAAAACGATCTATTGCCCGACGACGAATCGGATAACTCTGACCTGGATCGTGAGGAGGACGAAGACCAGGGGATTGGCCATTGGGTTTATTGGGGATACTTGCATCGGCAACTTGGGAAAGAAAAGACGCATGGAGATGACTGGACCAAAGAGATGCACAACCAAAAGATGAAAACTGGGAACTGTATCTTCTGCGGCAAAGACGACAAAAAAATGGTCGATTTGAATGGCCACAATGTGTATCAGTCGCTTCGAGTTCCTCTCCAATGCAGCGCCAACAATGTAGAAGCGGGTCGGCGGGAACTCTTCAAATTCCGAAAAACCCATCGGGTTGACGAACCTTGCAGTCAGCCACTACATCCTGGGTGTGCCATGTGGGGTCGCAACGACGATGGTGAATACAGCAGAGCACGACGTGCCTGGTTTCTTCCTGGAATGACTGGCGATCAAGACGATGTGATGGAATGCTATTGTGACATGCATGCTCTTGATCTGTTCAAATCGAACCAGGAAGGATGTGATATGGAAAAGAAAGTCCCTGGGCCATTTGCAACTATTGTGGGGTCGCCAACGAAGAAAAAATCCCCAACGTCACGCAATGCAATCCGGTTGCTTGATTCCGATTCGGAGTCCGATGAGGAACGAGGGCAGTATATTAGACAAGTACCACGACGTCGGTTGGGCCAAGCAGGGCGTACTAAAGTGACAGCACGTGAACCAAAGGCTACAAGCAAAGCAATCTCAAAGAAGGCAGCAAGTTCGGGTAAGCACGAAAAGGCCAAGACCAGAGTGGTACCAAAGAAGAACAAGAAGAATACTGTCGACCCTCTGGCTGGTAATAATCTAGTCATTGAGGCCGACACAAACCAGAGACGACTGCAACAACGACAAACAGCAGGAGATGCCAAGCAGATCATGAAGAAGAAGCATGGAAGGCTTGTGGAAAAGCGAAACAGCAACACTGCAACGGATCGTACTGTGGCTTCAGCAAAGGAAAGTGCTGGAGAAGTTGATGTCGATGACTTTGCCTTTGCGCAAAGACTGCTGAAAACATTGTGGAAACTCAAAGAGAAATGTGAAGCCAATGGAAAAGCTTGGGATGCAACTGTCACTGCTGGGGTCCGAGTGAAGCAACTGAAGGAATACATGCAAAATGGCGAACGAGAAGCCTTTCGGAAAATCTGGGAACACGTCATGAAGGCGGTAAACAATGGCATTCGAAAACTCACAGTAGGAGAAGACGACGAAGAGGAAGAGCTCAGTGACAAGCACCGTCGAAAGAAGGCCTCGCGACAGCAGATTGTCGAGTCCGACGATGAGGATGAATTCCATGCAGTCCACCGAAAGAAGCAGAAGCCTGCGAAGAAGGCCTCGCGACAGCAGATTGTCGAGTCCGACGATGAGGATGAATCCCACGCAGTCCGCCAAAAGAAGCAGAAGCCTGCGAAGAAGGCGTCGCGACAGCAGATTGTCGAGTCCGACAACGAAGACAATCACGTCTCTTTGCACCCGCAAGACTCTGCCGTGTTGGAAGAGATGTCATCCCAAGGCAAACCAAAGGCTCGTGCTGTATCCAATGGACCAGATCAAGAGACCACCAACGAGTCCCAACAGCAGGAATCTAGTGTACCGGACAAACGCCGGTCCACCCAGGCCAACACCAACGCTGGTACTAGTACCCAGGACTCTGTCGAAGACGACAAACTGCCGGACAGCTGGGAGGCAATTGCAATTAGTATAGCCAACGACATTGGGGCGAAACTCCAGCAAAAATTTTCGACAGACACAGATACCATCACGGATGAGAGAACACAAGAGGTAACACAAATCCTCAAGGATAGTAGAAAACGCTGGCGAAAAATCTGTAGTCTCCCTATAAGGAGCGACTACAACACTGTTTGGAAACGGTCGGCGGCATTGCTAGAAGCAAAATTTGAGTGGTTGACAATCAATTCGTCAAGAAGCAACCAACAACCAGCTGAGAACAGAGCAGAAACAGATGAGGCTGCAAGCGCAACCTCGGGAAGAAATGGCTCAGCAAGTCTCCAGGCTGCTGAGAATGCCAACGAAGCTGACGCTGCAGAAGCCTCCACTATACATGCCTCATCTGTACATGGGTCTGAAGCTGCTTCGAACAATGCCTCCAATTGTACCGGTCGCTACCAAAGTGCCCACTCGTCCGAAGGTGGAATTGTTGAAGACGGGCACGACATGACAACTGTTCAAGCCAGTCCTCAAGGTCATTCGGATCCATCAGGACAGTCACATCGAGAGCCTGGTTCTGCACTGGAACTGAACCAGGAGAATCACCAACTCCCACAGATGGGTCAAGTGCACCCCCCGCCTCCCAATCCCTGGGCGCATCTGTTCTATGGCCCTCCCTACTACAAGAAGGCAGGATACATATTTGGTGAATGGGATTCGTATGAGGTCAAAGAAGTTGAAGTGAACGAGGCCGGTGAAATTGTAGACTCCTAGACAAACTGTAGCTCGAGACAATGAGAAAAGGCGGCAAACGAGTCGTGATCGGATTCCACAGGTCGTGCAAACGAATCTGAGCCACGCAGCGGTACTTTTGAGCCCATCAATGGTAGTACCGGTGGACCTTTGTTTGGCGGTAAAGACTTTATGATGTGAGAAAGGTATGAGAGAAAGATTGATGTTTGGAGTTCTTGGGAGACTTGACCTATAATTTACGATGTATAGTCTTCGAGATAATGCTGCTATGTCTGTGTTACTTGCTAGATCAGAGGCATTGGCCAGAGCTCCCAGCAACTGCTTGTAACTTGGATCACAGAGACACCTTGGAAGCAGGCCTCGAGGCTGTCGAAACTCCTCCGCGTTAAAAGAAGTCCAGTCAACTACTAGTACTCTTGACGGAGCCAACATCATCGCGGCGAGGCATGTTGTGGAGTGCTTCCTACAAGTGAAGGCAACGAATGTGTCTGTCGAGACGTATAACTTTTCTACCGGACGGGGTCCGGATTTGGGTGCTTGGACGCTCGTTGCAGATATTTTGTGGCATTCATTCTTTACAGGGGTACTCGTACTGTTATGAATTTAAATTATTGACAAGCAGCTCAAAAAGGGAGTGTCAGCTTTCACAGGCATCCTGCTACCCGAGCCGTTCGTGTTGTCGACCGACCACGGGTTCCTGCCACCGGTATGTTCTGTGTCGAAGCTGTATCGAGCATGCTTCCGCGAAGGGGCCGCGAGAGCAGAAGCGACACACGTGGTCAGAAAAGCAATCTCTGGCCACGGTGCCATTGAACTCCCAGTCAACCCCTACTGTGCGGAAAGGGAAGACACCGTCGCCATTCTCTTTCCAAACGGAGCCAGGCAGTGGGCAATCTCCTCTCTTTCCTCGGCATCCCAGGTCTTGATCTTAGACACAAAGGATATCGTAGTTGTAGCGAATCAAGAATATTGATATGCTAACGAGGATTGCGCCCGGTATTATCAGCAAGTCTAGCAGGTTTCGGATACTAATTAATCCCATGACGGTGATAACAAGGTCTCCGGTGGCCCTTCCTCCCTGCAACGAAAAAAGTATACGGAGAATGAGGCGGGGTCCTACAGATAGGTTCAATGACAGGCAGCAAAAGGAGATGCCAACTTACCGTTCCAACCAGAGTCGCAAGAAGACCCGAATTAAAAGTTCCAGTTGCCAAAGCAGACGGAACCACCTTGCTCATGAGTGATGCTACAAAACTCTCACAGGCCTCAATTCCACTGAAGGCAATCAAACTTCCAGTGATGTACTTGATAGGCCCCACTGACAACGGATGGTCCTCGTTGTAGGTATCATTGTCATGAGAGATCAAATCCGAGGGGTCAAAGAGGAAGGCCATGCCACCAAGCGTGATGACAAGAAAGCACACTGCCATGAATCTGTCCTCGTAGTAGGTCGAAAGCCAACCCGAAATGGCCGAGACAGGTATAACAATGAGACCATTCACCAAATGGAGTGTCCCAACGTTCTTGATGCTCCATCCGTATCTATTCTTTGTGACGATTGATGTCGAGCCAACGATGCTCTCAAGAGCGATTCGCTTCATGAATATCAAAGACATGGTAATGATAACCGGCGTTGTGATATGTTGAAGACACGAGCACATGCGTTTGTTTGTGTAGCTGTCAAGGTCCATAAAGTAGGTTGAAGCTGTCTCTGTGTCACCATCACTGACATCCGAATCGTAGCCATCTTCGATGGTAAGGGAAGTGTCCTGTCGGTCCAAACCTCCTTTGCTGTCATCGGACGCTTTGCTACCGCCTTCTGACTTGGGGCTCTTCGTCATTGTGCTCAGCGCTTGAAGTGCTTCTTCTCGTGTCTTCAGCTCATCTAGTCCACATCGGATGGGCTCCTTGAAGAATAGGATGATGACGACAGTGTAGATGCCCCAGCAGAGAGCCATGAAGTAGCCAGGTCCAGTCATTCCGTTGAAGTACTGTTGTTCCAGAAAGGGAACTGTGAATTCAAATTCCGTCATATTGTCCAGCAGAATTGCCATTCCAGGTCCAAGAGCGGCGCCGAGAGCGGTTGCCATGGCAAAGGAAGCACTCGCAGCAGTACGGAGGGAAAATGGAGTTGCATCGGCGACATATCTCCTGTTGATGATTCTAGGGGCACCCAAACCAGTCAGAACTCGTCCCAGTAGGCACATTGTCATGCTGCTGTAGCTGTATGCATTGGCGTACATGAAATTGCCGACCATTTGTAGACATCCTGCAAAGATAATGGGCATTTTGTAGTTGTAGTTGGTCCAATAGGAATATCCAACGGCAGAAAGCATGGCAAACCATGGTGCTGCCCCAATCATGATTCCAGACAGTGCATCACTGCTGCCCAGGGCGTTGGCATAGTAAGCGGAACTAGGTTCGATGATGTAGTTATTCATCATGAAAAAGAAGCAAGAGAGCAAGTTCAAGAATAGAGGGAATACATTCTCTGGGTTCAACTGCTTCAATCTTCTCGCAAATGTGTCTGGATATTGTGCTGTCTTGGGAAAGCTTCTTGTTTCTCTCCACTTGGCAACTGTTCGGAGCTCCGCCTTGAGGTGGCGACCTTTCATTAGTACCTTTGGAGAGTGGACTAGCCCTCGACTTTGAAAGCCAAAGAGGAAGTACTGTCTGACAGTGGCAATGACGCGTTCTTTGAAGACAACATGTCCGGCAACAGCCTTGTCCAAAGCATCGTTTGTTTTTTTGAGCAAATGCAACATGCATTCGCTTTGTAATGAAAGTGCTTCTGCTTCCATAACTTTTCCTTTTTCTTGCATACCCAACAGCAACCTCTTTTCAAATTCATATAGATTCTTGAGTTGGAATAGTGCGTGTACGGGATGCCTCCTGCCTAAAATACTCCGTTGCAAGTGCCATTCGGACAAGGGTATTCCATCAAAGGTACGTCTAAATCCGTCGTATCGAATAAGCACCTGTCGGAAGGTGATGATATTGGTAACACAAAAGGCCATAGTCTCCAGTAACTCTTGTGCGGCAACCTCAAAGCTGTCAGCGGCAACTCGAGCTTCCAATTCTTTGATCAGAGTTTCGGTAAAAAAGATTGCCGATTTAGAGATTTCTGCCTCGAGCAGTTCGGAGAACTCTTGTCGTTCCATGATGGAGAGCCTCAGAAGGGCATCTTCTCTATCTACCAGCAGTCGACAGGAACGGCTGTCTACAAACTGAAAGTACCCTGCTTGATCCACTTCACTTCCCGCCAAGACTTTGAATTCTTCAGCTGACAACGCGCTGCCAAGCATTAACTTTTGAATTCGTCTCCGCCGCTTGTAGAACTGGCGTAGCCTTGCTTTCAGGCCGCCGTAATCCATATAATGTTGAGACCACTCATCCCGTGTGCTTCGGCTCAAGTAGAGCTCAAAGCTTTTCATTGCGAGAGCTATTGGAATCCAATCCCTACACCTGCGACGCAAATCCCTCGCCGCCTTGGAAACTCGTTCTGTGCTTTGTAATGCTGGAAGAGAATTGGTCAGTCGGTTCTAGTCATATATCAACGACAACACGCTGGTCTCATGGTCGCAAAACATTCATTCGATGTGTTATTGGTAGCGTGTGCCTTGGGGCGTTTTAATAACCGTAACACTTTTTGTTTTGTGGCGCCAATCAGGATCCAACGGTCACCCTCCCCTCGGACGTTGGAAGCACGGCATGATCGTAATTAGAGATGCGCAAGGCGAAGCATGTGCACCGAGGAGCTCCCACACATCTATCTCACAGCAGCTCTCACAGCAAACATTCCAACGGTACCCGAGCTGCAATTTAGCTACTGCACTGGTTCATGATGTATGTATGCATATACCCAAGTTCCACCATCAAGTAAGCGCAGGTGGTACCAGCAGACAGCTTGCAGAAGGTTCGTTCTCAGCCGAACACCCACAGAACAATTATTATTCTGAGCGCACCTTTTTTCCAGTGGTTGGAGGAGACCCCACAGTTACTGTACCGGTACCGGTACGTAGCTTCCGGCATCCACTGGACTGGAACAGTGCGTCCTAGAAAGTCAAGGTTGCTCTCAGCACTATCTTCATCAATCCCCATCCCGGACTTCTTAGTCTAGCTAGAAGCATGACAAAGCAGTACAGTAGGTATACGAGGTGGTAGCACGGTACCCGTCTATTTGTGCAGCTCGTCTTTTTTTTTAAGCTGGGCTTTCATTCGCTCTGACCCTCGTGCATGGCTGTACCGCTACTTTCTTCCCTTGTTTTTCACTGTGTATCCTGGCTTGTGGCTCAGTCACCGTGGATATACATCTAGCAGCCAAATACATGTTGTACCGGTATGGGACCCCTTCCTACATGTAGATTACACGATACCATGCGCAAGACAGACGGGACGAGACGCTACTTTCCACGGTGCCTCCTTCAGCTTCCCCTTGATGGTGCCTTGCATTTCTGTTGCGGCACTCGTCGTTGCATCGGACCGAGCGACAAGGCTCCTCCTCACCACGGACGGAGGGGCCAACCGTACAGGTTCCTGCAAAAGGAGCCACGCTATGTACAGTAGCAAAATTTGTTTTTAGATTTGGATGACGTCAAACGGCCGCCAGTGTATCACTTCACTTGAGTGTTGCTTTATCTATCTGCCCCAATGCTTCACTTGGATGTTACGTGTCGGATTCAGTTCATGGAACCTGACACCCTCACAGTAAACGATGTTGTCGTCGCAAAACGACGCCAGCGTCGTGCAGATAAAACCAGACGGAGAGGATCCGGGGTTCATGCTGCATACTCTCGTTCTCGAATGGGCATGGATGACACTGACTTCATGGAATCTCGAATAGACCCCCGCACTGACGATGCCGACGACTTTCTGGAACCTCGAAGGGAAGATCGGACAGACGATCGGAGAGATGACGCAACCGATCTCCCCGATGACCTCAGATTGCTGTTGGGAATTGCAACCAGCCCTACTTGTGGGGTATAAGGATCTCCGTACGCCTCTCCATGCATCACGATCTCATCCAGCACTGTTTGAACGCTGGCAAGGACGCTCTTTTGCTGTTTCTGCAGGTAGTCAACTCGTTGCTGCAATCGAAGGATTCTCTCTTGCGCGTCCTCTTTTTCCTCGAGCATTTCCACCAGATGTGTATCGTGTTCAATGGCGCTCACGGCATCACAGACGACACCAATAATGAGGCTGAATAGGATGAAGCTCGTGAAAGTCAAGTAGGTGCTGAAGACAAAGTATGCCATTGGATACACCGCCATGACTTCTCGAACTATGTTTGCCCAATCGAGTGTGATCATTTGAAACAGGGTGAACGCAGTCAAGTCGAGCCGCGAAAAGTAGTCTACTTTTGTGACTCCCCGTTCGTACAAGTCTCCAAAAAGCACAGTCACCATGACAGCGTAAATGTACATGATCAAGACAAAAAGACAGAGAATTCCACCGAGTCGCGGAACTGCTTCGATCAGGGCTTCACAGAGTCTTCGTAGAATCTTGATGCGGGCAATGAGACGAAGAGTCCTCATGGTCCGAAAGACTTGCAGCGAACTGAAACACCAACTGCAAATAACAATGAGAAAGTCGAATGTCAACCATCCGTCCTTGAAGAGATTTCTGCCGTGGAATATCAGTTGCATAGCAGATTCGGTGGTGAATAAAATGAGAAATGCCAAATCGACTTTTTCGAATTTGGCTTGAATCTCTGGATTGTAGGTGACAAAATCAAAGGTAGCCAATCCCATCATGAACGCGTTGGCGATGATCAACGTAACAATGAGCGCTTGCACGTAAGGATGATTGATGATTTTGCCCGAGAGGATTCGAAGGGAAGTAAATGCATTTCGGAGAGACTGTTGGAACTCTGGGGACGGTGTCAAGTTGAATCGTTTCTTCTTGTTTTCTTCACGAAGCATTAGGTTTCGTTCGCTGCTTCCCAGGTTCATGGAAGACACCTGAACAATCTCCAGGTCACCGCCGTCGGACGAGGAATCGTCATCCCCTTGAAAATGTATTGAGTCATCACTACTACTGTCATCCAGCTGCATGTTGTTGTTAGGTCTCGTGTTGGACCCTCGCACTGTCAGAGCCTGAGACTCTTCCGAAAAGTCTACTTTTTTCTCCTCTTCGTCCTCAAGCTGGTTGCTGTCGCTGTGATCGTCTGGTTCATGTGTTTGGGACGTAAAGCAAGTTTCGTTCGTGTGGGAAGTGCGACAAGTGTTGCTTGTGACGTCGCTCTCGTCCAATTTGGAAGGACGCTTGCTGGGGCTCGAACGCACAGCTCTTCGACGGATACGAGACGGGGACGATGAAGAAGAAGAGGAAGCAGCTGCGTGAGAGTCACCCAGCGACGCTTCGTCGGTTGCTTCAATATTTTCTGTGTCTCCGTCGTCTTCGTCAAGTTTTGCGTGTTGTGGTTCCTCTTCTTCTATCACAAAGCTACAGCAGCTGCTGCCCTCGTGGCTGTGGTCATCGTCGTCATCTCCACCATTCATGGGAGCGACAGCCCGATTCTTTCGGCCCACGGTAACTGCGGAGTGATTGGAAGAACCTGTCAGAAGAGTGCTGCTGGTAGACATGTCCGTGGCGGATTCACAGGCTGTTGTAATCGTTCGCCATGATCTCAGTTTCAAGCCTAGTCGATTGCTATGGTTGATGAGCTGCTGCTGTTTCTCACAATCAGGATCACTCAAAGGACTGCTACACGAACTGCTATTGTTCTTGAGGCTGACTGCTGCGGCTGAACCTTCCGATCCTGTGGACTTTTCCAGAGAAAAGTCTTTCTTGGCCCTGACAGGCTTTCGTCGTCGCTTTCGATGCTCTGCCCCTTTGCTAGACATTGTTGCGCTCGTTTTTGTTGTTGCTGGTTCGGGTGGTATTGCGGCTGCTGGGGTCGCTTCGCTGGATATGGGGCTCTGGGAAGAAGCTCTGTCTTCTTCCAAAGAGAGAGCATCACTGTCCCCAACTTCATCCACTTCCCCAAGAGTGCTAGTAGAGATGTCCCGAAAGACAGCTTCCACTTGTAATTGGCTGAACTCAGTCGAAGTTTCTGCATCCTCTTTCTTGAACGAGATTATGTCTACTCCTCCCATGTCGAGCGCTTCGGTTCCCATACTGTAGTCCTAATATCTGAGTGTTCTGGGTCGCCGCATGAGTATGCCAATGGTGATGGTCAGTTGCTTGCTACTAGTTAACTACCGGTAGCGGAGATAGAGGTGAAGCGACACCTTGCCTTCCCAGTTAGTTGTTGCTTTTACTAAAAGCAGCAACAAGATCACTTGGCTGATTCAGCAACCAGTTATACCAGGTTGCCTTCTTGCTTTCTTACGAAATGGTTTGCCGTTCGCCCAACTGCTGGCGTCTCATCTCCGATTTATCCTGTGAAAGGGTGGCTCTAAAAAAAAATCAGAGCGGCCGGGGCTGTTCCTGCGGTCTTGAGAGAAGTGTTGCTGTAACTTCTTTTACCGCATGGAAAGGTACAGGCAGCTTCGTTTCTATCGATTCAAACGCGAGCCGAACTTCTTCGTACATTTCTACACGAGCACTCGTAGAAGTGTACCAGAAAAGCCGGCACGCGTTTGAATCAGAAAAGTCGAAGCTGCTCGTAGACTAGACTATTAAGAGACCGTGTGCGTACGGATCAGACCCTGGGCGGCCAAAAACTTGATGACGTAGGGTGCGCATGTAGGATGCTTACCAGCTTTGAAACCTTATAAGGCAATTTTTTTCGGCAACCCATTGTTATTCATCAGCACGCAGAAACAACCCTATACACTTTAGAAGAGTCTACAATGAGCTACTTGGCAGAGTAAATGGAGGTTATTGCTATTGCTGTTGTAGTTGTTTGTTGCGATATTTGTCACAGTGATTTTGCCTCCAAAGGCGTGACAAGTCGGATTTTCCCGGATTCGATCTCGACAATGGCCACCGGACATCAACTCGACGCGACGACGGCATCGGTAGTAGTAGTAGTAGTAGCAGAAGCAGTTGTAGTTGTTGTAGTTGTAGTAGCCGTAGTAGCAGTAGCAGGATCGATACCGGTACCGGTATCGTCGACAGCATCGTCGACAGCAGCAGGAGCGGCAAGAACAACAACAAGGGTATCGTACTCTACTAGGGTTAAGTTTCTTAGAAAATTCGTCCAACCAGTAAAAAATGGCCGTTCGCGCCAAAATTCCTCTGATTGGTATGCGCACGGTCTCTTAAAAGCCGATCCATTGAGCCAACTTCTCCGCTTCCTGGGCTAGATCAATCATTATTTGTGGTTTGTAAGAATGCAATTACCCCGATCGAGAGTAGTCCGCAACTGATAACTGATAAAAATGAGCAAGTGGGAAGGATGTCCAGATTTAACGCTACAGGATCCCCCGACACAGTTTCGTAGATTCCTTGAATCTCTCAAAAACACAAGCCGCCAAAGATAGATGATGTCGTCAGCATTACGTTATGACGTGGAATCGACCTTGTCTTTCCACGACGCGACACCAGCGGAGGCACCACGTTAGCTTGACGCTTGACAGTACTGTACAGCGTAGCATCATCTGCCTACAGTACTAGTACTATCATGGCTCCATGTGCGTCGATTTGATTCCAACATTCTTTTTATTAAATCTTGTAGCCTAATCACTTGTCAAAATTGATGGGGGCGTCGTTTGGGACCGTGCTTCAAAACTTGGGCGGGGCAGCATTGCAATGAGCGCAGTTGCTCTTCTGGACCTTTTCAGGTAATTTCATTTGCTACCTTTGTTGGCGGTTGTGTTTGGAAGCGCTGATAGCTAGCACGGCTAGTACAAAGTGGGTTCCATGAAGCAGAGTCGCAAATCATCCTGCAGTTCTTCTTTCTCAAACAGTGCAACCGGTACCGTACCTGCCTGGTACGGTACCGGTACCATGACGGAATCTTTGCCCATCCCTCTCTCAGACTGTTTGTGTCCATGTTGGTGATCTCCTACTAGAGTCTTACCTGGTATTACGGATGTGCTGTGCGGTACCACTATGGGTCAGTGTGGCGGCACCTTACCAATCAGTTCTCAACTGGCAGTACTAGTACTTTGAGATTGTAGATACCGTGCTAGTAACCCTAACTTAGCTCTATTACTTTTCATTCTATGAAGACTTTGAGGAAGTCAGAAGAATGTCTGAAAGTGTAGCTTAGTGACTTGGCTTAAATCCGGTTGGGAAAGTGCATTCACTGTCCTGTTTTAGTACTCTGCGGCAGAGGCAAACAGCGACACCGCGAAAAGCTGGGGGCAACAAGGGATCACAATGAACTGTTTCCCGTAGCGTCTTCTTCAAGCAGTCAGAGACTTTGTAGGCGGCTCTATCTGTTGGTTCATTAGTCAGTACCATAGCGGACGTCTAGTTGTTGGGACTTGGAAACTGTGCCTTGATCGCGGGATATACCTTGGAGTTGATTGTGCTTCCAGAAGTTTGGAAGGGTAGCTTTGATACCCATTTTCGAATCACAGCACAAGTTTAGTTAGTTCCCAAGCCAAGCTCTGTGTTGGACCAGCTGTTGGACCTCAGTTAGGCGTGGTTATCCAGATAACAATCTGCGTGAATTTTTCTTTTTGGAAGAAGGTTAATTCGACTCCTCAGGAGGAATTCAATGTCAAACGGAGATAGTCATCATCATCAATACCACGACAACTACAGCAGTAGCAACAAGCAGAACAAGACCATGCAAGAACAAAAACCCGGTCGATCCATGAGCAGCACCGGGCGCAAGAGCAGTAAGATGCTGCAGCCTCCCGCCATGGACGATATGGATCAGTCCGAAATGGATCACACCAACGCCAACGATGACAACGATAACAAGACACCCGCCGATGATGATCGCAGCCAAGAAAGCGCTCGTCACGAGAGTCCTCGTTCCAAGCTACGAGAAGCCATGGACATGATCAATCAGTTGCGTTATCGGTGCGGGACCATTGTCAACAATGAAAATGTCCAGTTCTTTATCGTCATTTTGATTGCCGTCAACGCTATTATGATGGGAGTGGGAACCTTTGATTTTGTCACTGAAAATCCAGAAGTCGATCATGCATTCGAAACCACCGACAAGGTCTTTCTGGTCATATTTACCATTGAGTTGGTCATGCAGTTCATATTTCATGGATGGAGGCTCCTCTTGGATGGATGGCTCGTCTTCGATTTAATTGTGATTGCCATGAGTTGGACTTTCTCACAAGTACAAATTATTCGAGCATTCCGTATTTTCCGTGCACTGCGTTTGATTACCAGAATTGAAGTCATGAAGAACCTGGTTCTAGGTAAGACAACATTCGCTTATTTCGTTTGACGTAATCTCGTTTGTTCTCACTTTTTTCAATTTTTCTCTCTACTCCCAGCCCTCTTCGGAGTCATGCCCCGAATGTGTGCCATTGGTATTCTCCTCTTTTTGGTCTCGTACATCTTTGCCGTCATGTTCACACAACTATTCAAGGACCTTTACGCTGAAGGAGCCACCAGTGAAGATTATTTTGGAAGAATGGACGGAACGTTCTTTACACTCTTCCAAATCATGACACTCGATTCATGGGCCGACATTGCGCGAGAAGTCATGGTCGTACATCGATGGGCATGGTTGCCATTCATCTCCTTTGTCATCATCACCGGTTTCATCGTCGTCAACTTGATTATTGCCGTCATTTGCGATGCCATCTCCGCATTGAACGACGACGAAAAGGCCAAGTTGGAGGGACAATTCGATACCAACAAGGCACAAGAAGCAGACGAAGATTCCCAAAATGGAGATGGGGAGGGAGCCAACCTACCCGAGGCGGATGTGCAAGAACAGTTGGATTCGCTGGAAGCGCAAGTGGAAGAATTGACACGAGTTCAAGTGCAAACGCTTTACACCCTCGAGTACCTGGCGCGACAGCTGCAACGATCGAGGGCCATGGAAGAAAGAAACGAAGGATTGTAATAGTATGCAAAAATGCAAGCAGTAGCAAACTGCTATCGCGACGACGACGAGGAACAAGGGCAACACGGCGGTAGCAGCACAAACGATTGGATATCGTTCTTTAAATATTACTAGATTATTTTCATTTTTATTTGTGTTATCGTTTCCTGCCCTATGCCGTCGGAGAATGGCATCCAAAATTGCACAGTTGCGGAACATATCTCGCTCCTTACTCGGCGTTGATGGGAGCAAAATGCTCTGCCGTCTCAGCATTGGCTTTCTTCTCCTTGATGTACTGCACGATTGCTTGATATTGAGCGCGAGCATCGTTGATGGCGGCAGGATTGGAATAGCCCATACCGTTGCCTAGATTGCCAAGGTGCTCCTTGATCAAAGCAAGAAGGCCGGTCACATACGCATCTGTGATTACAGGACATTTCTGTTCGAAAAAGGACAGATAATGGTCGAGCAAGTCCACAAAGAGATGGATTTCTGCCGGGTTGGTAGAGGTGCAGGCATCGGCGAGCTTCAACGATCTCTGAAGACATTCCAGCGCTCGTTGTTCGTTTCGGTATGTCAAATGTGGGTGTTCCGCAGGGAAGAACAAATGAGAGCATTGGGCCACCAACGTACACTGGTCCGACTTCTTCAACATCTTGGCAGAATACTGGGCTGTCTTCATCACGAGGCCCTGATAGTCTTCGTCGCTGAGAGATCCGCACTCCAAAAGGGTACTCATGATGCAAACGATGCAGCGATGCTGAACCTTCGAGTCGGCGATGCCTTGCTCGAAGATCACAAATGCTTGAGTGATCAGTTCGTAGGGCATGGGGCCGAAAGTGTCCAACAACAGAGGGTTCGGGTCCTTCCGAGAGCCAGCGAAACGATCCGCTGTCAGTGCAGCCTGCAGGTAAAGCTTAAATGCCATCTCGACGTTGCTTGAAGCAACCATTGCAATTGTTTGCTGTATAAACACAAACAGCTTTCGGCAACTGAAATGTTTTTGTCGCCACGATCAATATCACAAAGGTTGAGCAATGCATACTAGTAGGGGGAAAGGCAACGGACGAACAAACAACAAAGATAAAAAAACGAACCTCACTGTCTTCGGTGTTGGAGGAGGTGCTGAGGGAGCAGGAACAGGAGCTGCGACCGCCACGTCCGCGATTCCATCCTCCTCCTTGGGTTCTTCAGCCGCCGCAGGTGTTGTCGACTCTGGTTCTGCATCCTCTGCAATGGCCATTGCTTCAGCCGAATCGCCACTTTCTTCCTTTTTGTCTTCCTCCGAAGGTGACTCCTCTGCAGTCGTTGTAGCTTCTTCTCCCATTGCCGGTGTTTCTTCCGCCGGTGCGGTCTCCGCGGCTTGAGCAGCGTTGTCTGAAACTTCTGGGACCCCATGCTCAGCTGCGAACACACGCTGAGCCAAACGAAAAGTGGCAAAGACCACAGCCACCAAGGTTTGTCCTGCGCGGCTAACGCCGCCCTTGTTGATGTGCTGCCTGGCAACCATCAACATATCGTAAACCACGTCAGTGTCCTCATGGTCAAGTAAATGAACCAGTTTGCAAACTAAAGCATTCTCCGTTTCAGCTTGCCCCTGTGGCTGACCAGGCATTGTCAAGCCCATTTGCTGGCTACCGTATACATCGCTGATTAGTGGCTCCACCATTCCAAACAGCTCCTCGATATCTTTGACACACTTGGGTGGAGCTGCGGCATCATCGACCGCCTTCAAGAGCTTCAAGGCGACTTCCCGCCGATGTGCCCATGGCAAAAACGAAAGCAGTTCACCGTAATCTGGCAATTGCAAGACTTTCATGGCCAACGAGTCGAGAGGAATTGATAGCAATTTCTCGAGTTCGGCAGTGGAAACATCATCCAGTGGTTTGAACGATCCTGGAACTTCTGCCATCGTCCCTTCCTGCAGTTCGTAGGACGCATTGGCTTGCTTGAGAGCCGCAACACAACCTTGGAGGCAGCGATTGACTTGCTCCATGTCCCCTTGAAAGCATCGTAGCGAGAACGACAGTAATGCGGTTTGAAGACGAATGACTTCCTTCGCACCCAATTTGGGCCCGCGAGCATTGTAGACGTTCTGAACGCACTCCTCAAACATGGGGAAAGAATCTTGCGCCATGTTTTTCTTGACCTGATTCGTGTCGGTTTCGTCCAATAATTCTTCATCTGCTAGATAATTTGCCAACCGGTCCATGAGGCTCTGAAGAATTGTTCGAACGTTCACCTTGTCCCTCAATTTGGGGCACACTCGCAAGAGAATCGGCAGCGTCTCAATGTGATATTCGTCGGGGAAGACTTGGGTGATGCAATCAATTAGATAAGCCTGCGCCAAGGGATCCCCGCACACCACGATATGATCGAGCACAGTCGGCAAGATGATTTCGCCATAAATCTTGGACGTGACCCCTTCGAGTTGCGACAGACGCACTAGATTGGTCCCGACCAAAATCCTCAGCTCGTTGCGCTGTCGTTCCCTTCGTTTTCGTTGGTCTTTACTTCTTCCGTCACCCGCCAAATGTTGAATTCGTACCCAGAGTTTGTTCATTTCAATAAAGTTTGCCAAAATGAAATGATACGAATCCGCGACAGTCCCTGGTTCTTTTTCTGGTGGAACCGACGGAGTGACCTCTTCTTTTCCTTCTTCTGCTGCGTCCATGGCAGCTTGTCCTGCCAAGGGTGTCGTGTCGGCCGACGAGTCTGGCAATTTATCCCGAATCATTTGCAACAGATAATGCCTCAAAAAGAGTCCTCGGACGGGGTTTTGCACGCATTTCGTGGCTTGCATGAGATCGTTCATGACCCATTTGGTCCCCACTTCGCCACTCTGAATCAAAGCACTCCCGGCACAAATTTGCAAGTACAGCCTTGGCAATACTTGAGGACAGTACTGGACGCAATCGTACAATTCTTTCATGGAGAACTGTGCGTCCGCCGCCGTGGGTGTGGCAGTCATGGTGATGGTGATCCGATTCGGATCGACCGGTTGTTGGAGTTGCTGCGAATGTCCCGAGACCGTCATGAGGTACTCTTCGAAATTAGGCATGTCTTCCAAGGCTCGCATGTGAAGTTCGTAGTAATTTTTGGGATTGAGTTGTGCCGCTTCTCCTCCCGGTGGCGGCGCGTTGGGGCCAGGATGTCCCGCTTGATGATGCGAGGGTCCATGAATTTCTCCCAACTGCCCGACCATGAGAGATGCCCGATCCAAGACATTGGGTAGATCGTTCTTTTCAATCGCTTGACGCATGTAATATGCATGTTCTTGAACCTTTCGAGTGGCATCTGTGAGGAGCCGATTCTGCACGGCAATTTGTGCGGGTGTTTCGGCCCACGACGGTTGTGGTTTTCCACCCGGTATCATGGTGGTGACACCTGTCGCCGTCGTGATGACCGAGGCACCCCCGTAGGACGCCATGGATGGCGTTTGAGGAGCCTGTGGGGCCGATGACGGGAATTGAGAAGCTGGTTGCTGCTGCTGTGAATATTGAGCTTGGCCGGGTTGCTGCTGCTGCTGTCCATACTGGGATTGCTGCCCCATTTGTTGCTGATTCTGCTGAAATTGAGGTTGCTGCTGTTGGTTATTGTACTGTTGCTGCTGCTGACCATAAGGCTGCTGTTGGTTTGGTTGCTGTTGTCCATACATATTTTGCTGCTGCTGCTGTTGTCCATACATGTTTTGTTGCTGGGGCTGTCTGTAGGGACTCTGCTGTTGTTGTGGCTGCTGCATCATTCCCGCCTGTTGTTGAGGCATCCCAGTAGTAGTATTGGAGGAAAAGGCTTGAACTGACCTCGCCGCAAAGGATCCAGGAGCGGGTGATGACTGAACACTGCTGTTGGAAGTCATTGGTCGTTGGGGCGACGGTTCCATGGCAGCTGTACCGGTAGGCCGATACTGAGGTCCAGGTGGAGTCTGTTGTGGGAACCCTTGCTGCTGTTGTGGCATCATTGAATTAGTTTGCATCATGGACGACTGGTGCATCATGGAATTATTATTTGGCATCATTCCTGGTTGCTGTGGCTGGTACTGATTATTAGTAGCCTGCTGATTCACCATCATTCCTCCTGGCTGCTGCGGCTGCCCCATGTGAGAATGTGCTTGGACCGATCGAGCGGCGAAGGATCCAGGGGCTGGCGATGTAGCTCCCGAAACAATGGAAGAGGCACCATAACCACCCGAAGCCGTGCTGTTGTTGCCCGACTGCCAGGAAGACTGCATCATGTTGGGCTGTTGTTGTTGCGGTTTCTGTGGCTGCTGAAGTCCACTCGCAAACTGGGTGATGCTACCCATTCCTGGGTTTTGATTCATATTGGGCGGCTGGACAATGGTCGCATTGGCATTGATATTGTTGGGTGGGTAGCCGCTATTAGTGGGAGGCTGCTGCCCAAAATTGTTGTTGTTCGTGTTGAAGTTCCCACTGCCCATGGCGTTGTTGTTCATGCCAGGATCGTTCAACATTCCTTCTCCAATGGTTCCACCCATCGGACCCGCGCCCCCATCGGGAGGAGGAGGCGGCGACTGCATGGTTCAATGGCTGTTGGCCAAAATGTAAGATTCACTCTCAATTGGATCTTGGATCTTGAGACGAACGAAGCAAAGCCAATGCAGCTAGAAGATTGTAGATCCAGTTCCAGACTGCAGCTTGGAGGTCGAGATCGCTAATAGCAATATAACAGACAGTCTACCGTTGCTAGCTAGCTATAGTGGAGCGAACAAACGACGACGATATGACAGCTCCTTGTCATTGAGCCGCTGCCGCCATTGTGGAACTTCGTTTCAGTCATGAAACTTGGGAGCCCTGGTTGTTGACGGACAGACTTCACTTGTGCTGAAATTGAGAAGCCTGCATGGTGGACAAATAGCAGTGCTTGCCTTCACATCAGTTCAGAAGAGATTGACTACATACAGGCCAGCAATTTGAGTGTGTACTGGTAATTCAGTATTGCAATATCCACATCGTCAGTATCCTTGGTAATTGGCACAGTTTATTATCATCTTATCACCAAAAGGCTGCAGGGAAAGCTTTTGGGTTAGTCGGTCATCTTCCTTTCTTTAGAAAGTTGGTGCGTGCAGTGGAAACAAAAGATAACGATCTAGCCACAGGTTGGATCGCATATCCAAATGGCTTTTACTGGCTTAAAACCCATGCGTTCGCGACTCATGAAGATCGCGAAGGTGACGACAGTGTTCCATCGTCATCGCACCGTCCGTCGCTTTTTGTATTTGTGGTCTCCTGTTGTTGCAAGTCCTGTTGCCAAAGCGGATAACCATATCGACCATGTTCCGACTCGCAGCCTCCACAGCCGTCAAGAGGGTCTCTACAGGAGCATCCCGAAGGTAAGCCGTCAAACACAGCTTGGAACCAGCGCTATCAGTGAAGGAGAGGATAAGATATGCACGAACTGCTGATCGGCACTTTCCTGCGAACGCCAACGAGAGTGCACGGCCGTAGTTGGTCATGGACCGTATTGTAGCTTACCGTAGCGTAGCCAATGTTGTCTCTACAATGCCTCTTTTTCACCTAGAAAAAGCATCAGAATAATTATCTCACCTCTCTTTTTGTTGCTTCCTCCAATACATTACAATACATTAGGCTCCCAGCAATTTCCCAAACGGCCTTCAAGGGATCCTCTACTATTGAGATCGCTCCTCAGGCCCAGCTCTTTCACGCCACTGCTCGACGTGAAGAAGAAGCCAAGCCTGCTGAAGTTGAAGAAGAAAAGTCAGGATGGTGGGATCCTTTGTACGCCATTCCCCTTGGTTTCACCTTTGCCATTCCGGCCATTCACAATGAATTTTTCATCGTCAACGAGGAAACACAGGTGGGTTATTATTTATTTGGGTATTCGTTCGTTTAGCTCGTAGAAGTGATGTTCTGTCTCACACTTCCTGTTCCAATTTTCGTTTTGTTTTGACGCAATACCGTAGTTGACTGGCGTCTTCCTCTTGTTCTGTGTGATTGTTTACACCCAAGCGGGAGAAATGATCCACAAGGGTTTGGTGGAAAAAGCCGATCAAATGTTGGCCGACCAAAACGAATTGGAGGATGCCGTCATTGAGTGCCTCGAGGATCTCTACCAAGATATCGACAAACTCTCGGGAACCCTGGTATCTGATTTTGAAGCCATTAGCCAGGCCACCGAAGCAACATACGCCAAATTGAACGCCGCTGGAGCTATCAAGCCCCAGTACGACTTCAAGGCCCAAGTGGAACGTGTCCTTCATTTGATCGAACAAGAAGAAACCAACGTCAAGGAGAAGGCCAAGGGCGACCTCATGGCCGAAGCCACTACCGCTGTTTCAGATAAATTCCTTTCCGATAAGGCTATGCAAAAGGCTTCCATGGACTTGGCTTTGGCCAAACTCAAGGGAACCGCCAAGCCCGCCGACGATCCCGTCAAGAACGCCTTTATTCAATTCTTCAAGGACAAGGCAGCTTCTGCCGCCAAGGCCGATGACAGTGCCGAAATGATCGCACAGCGAGAAGCCATGGTGGCCAAGTTGAACGGTATTGCCAAAACGGAAGGTTTCTTCTTTGAATTTGGCGCCGATGGCAAGCCCAAGATGGTTGTTTAAATTGCTTTTTAGTCTAGGAACAGGCTAGGCAAGTACGAATGTGGTCTTTCTTGGTTGATTGATTGGTTTTGGTGCAGTAGAACGCAGAGCACATACATTCTCGTGAGCCAAAGTATAAAGAATTCTATAGCCTTGGTTCGTAATGGAGTACTGTAGTTAGTCTTCACCGAATGGACATTTGAGCCAGGTGCTGCATCGCAACAGACCTACCTAAGAACCGATACCTGGTACTGGTTGAAGCCGATGTGGTTGATTTGACGAAGCTTTGTTTGGCTGCACACACTCGATCAATATTTGCCAGTGCTCTTACGGCAAGAATCGTTTCTCGATTACTACATGTAATGCTTTGTTTGTAAATGATACTACCCAGTTTCTCTTGTCAATACGTACTATCCAGACCGGTATCCAGCTAGGATGCTACATTGAATCGTACGACGCAGAGGAACGCCCTCACTACATGACTGTTCGTACATTGATGATTGTGTTTTAGCAACTCTTTCTTGATTGATTCGATTTAACCTCGGGTACCTTTTACTATATTAAAGCTGAGACATGAATGAAGGTGGTTTGCTTGACATGGCCCACTTTTTGTTGTCAATAACTTCATCAATCAATCCATATTCCACGGCCTCCTCTGGTTGCAGGTACTTGACTCTTGAGCAATCTTCCATAACGGTGCTGACGGGCTTTCCACAAGCAGAAGCAATCAATTCACAGGTAGTTCTACGGTTGTTTGCCACCTCGCGTGCCTTGATGGCAATATCGGAGGCCTGTCCTTGTGCTTGAGAACGAGGCTGATTGAGAAGGATTGTGGCATTTGGAAGCGCAAAACGCTTTCCTCTCTTTCCCTGTGACAAAAGCATGGCGGCGGCACCAAATGCTTGACCCAATGCCACCGTGTGGACGGGAGGTCGAACATATTTCATGACATCCGCAATGGCAAACGCCTCAGTTTCAAAACCCACAGCCTGACCTCCTGCCGTGGTGGTTCCACTGGAATTTATGTACATGGTGATGGGATCAGAGGTACTTTCATAATTCAGGTACAAAAGTTCAGCAATCACAAGCTCTGTCACAGCGGGGACCAAAGGCATACCAATGTACACAATTCGGTTGTGCAAGAGAAGTGATGGAAGATCGGGAGGTGGTCCGATGCGTGCCCCTGTGGAAAGCCAGTAGTAAAGAACACAGTGTGTATGGGGAGAGAAAAATGAGTGTTAGTCATCAACCCCCACAAATGGTCACCATCAGAACAACATCTCAACAATAAATTGAATCCACGCACCTTCATAATATTCTTGACCGTATGCCTTTTCTGCGCCTCCCGCTACCATGTTCATTGGAGGCCTCCAAACATCAGATTTGGATGACACATCCTTGTTTGTCACTGTCTTGGGAACCAAGGGCCTGGGAGAGAAAGCGTCGGCCGACAGAGCCAAAAGACTCAATAGAGCCACATGAAGCTTCATGGTTGGAATACTATACTGATAGCTAGCTACTGGAATGGCTGTCTGCTGCCCTGAATCCTCGATCTTACGTTCTCGTCGATGTCGTCTTGTCAAGGGGTTCAACAAGCTGTCCTCGACCGAAGAAAATTCTTGTCTTCATGGCATCCATTCAGCGGTGACGAAGGTGAGCGGACTCACTCGACTCAACCAATTATTCCACGTGGCAGCGTCGCCCATGCTTAGCGTGGAAGTTTGCAAAACACACAGCAACACGATCTTCTACCGGGGTTAGCGTTGCTTTTGAGCTTGACATCGCACCCTGCAACTCTACCGGTAGCTAGTACCTGGTAGGACCAACACCTGATATTTCTCCAGGCCCCACTCCTGTTCCATCCAAATGGAAAATCAACAGTGTAATCAGGAGCTTAGCCTTAGTTTAGGATGAAGAATCGTGCTGTAATTTCATGTTGCAAGTATTTGATTTGTGCGCAGCAAGACATCTGCCAGAACTCCACTGTTTGATCTGGCTTGTTGTCCGTAGCAAATTTAGCTCACTTTCAACCCCCATATTTTGTTTGAAACACTTCAGAGTTTGCTGCCTCCTTTCACACATCTCATACAGCACTGGTTCCGTTGCAAAACACGATCCGTATCACAAGCAATATTCTTAGGAAGTGAGCCTCGTTCGCCCACAAAGAACAAGCAACTTCTGCCCATTAAAGGAGACACTTGGCTAGTACATGTATGTCCTGTGCGGATACATGTAGGAATACAGTCTCCTCAACAGGAAGACCGCCTTCTGCCTCCAGACTAATCGCACTTGCATGAGTGACAAAAGTCATACGCCAAGGACCAAAACCTCGTCGGATCAGCACACACCAAAAATCCTCGCTAGTGATCCTCTTGCTAACCCTAGCTACTCATCTCTATCAAGCTAACTAACCATACTATGCTACAACGATGTTAGAGGGGAACCAGTCGTCGTGTGTCTCGTCTAACCACAAGAACTTTTGGAAGACAAATTGTCGAGATATAGAGTATAGTTTGATTGCGTTTCCTTTCCGTTTTATCGTTTTCTTTATGCCATCTCGGCCATCTTCTTGGCGATAATGGCAGCCTTCTGCTTCTTGGCAACCATAACCTTGAATCGACCAAAGTCGTTCAGGTTGGCACGCTTTTTCTTGGAAGAGAGTTTCTTGGCCCAACTTGTAGCTTCCCATTTGGCCATGACATCGCCTTCTGTCCATGCCTTCTTCAGTGTTTTTTGCCTGGCATTTCGTTGGACCTTGACAGTGAAATCCGTCAAGGCGATGCGGGTGTAGGAGATCACCTGTCGGCTGACACCGGTAATCTCGGCAGGTCCATCGACGAGACATTTATTCTGATCGACAATATCGATAATGGTAGCCAGCTTTCCGGCATCAGGGCCATAGTTGATCAGGACCACTCGGCCGACCTCTACAAATCGCTTGAACACTGACATGGTGGGAGTTAGTCTACAACAAACGCGAGGGATGGACTATGTGAGAAACGACGTCACAGCAAGATACACAATGATCTGGGTAACCTGGCTCTGATCTGAACATTCAGTGCTTGTCGGCACCATGGGCGGCATGCCAAGCCAACATCAACTCACCTTCTTGGTCAATGGCTTGGACTTGGGTGAAGCTAAGCAGTACGGTATCGACGATGACAGCGGCTGTCTTTCCTGACCGCCCACAGCGACGAGGAGCGGGAGGTTGCTTCGAGGAGGGAGCCCAGAGTTTTAGTAACAAGTAACCAGAGTTAACTCTGCAGGTTAAAAGCGGAAGGTTAATGTTTAGTGACTGAACCCAACTTGAAGTTGTCGCAGGAATGGGGGGTGTACGTACCTTTCGCATTCCGCGACCGCTTCCACTCGACACCACTGCAGCTTCCATGCTGTGGTTCTGTTATTGTTGCAGCAATTAATTGTCGTCGTCTGAATGACATGGCATTGACTTGACTTGCTTATTGTTGATCTTTATGAATCAGCCATCAGTCAAATCTTTATAGATTCTTCATACGGCACCTGTCCACTTTCAGAGCAAGCGCAAAGTACTTGCTTTCTTCTTCACTCGACCGACTAGTCCACCGTTTCTTCAATCCCAATTTAATTTTCTACAAACTTAAACGATGCCGTCGTTTTACTCTGCCGTACTTGCCTTGTCGTCATTGGCAGTCCCAGCTTCAGCATGGCTCACCAATAGCCCATCACATCATGCTCATGCTGCCGCCAAGCTCAGCATTATGTCTGCAAGCAATATTGTGCTCGGTCCCTCGGAAGACCCAACTGCCTTTGATTCTCTCAAAATTGGGAGTGCCAAGGTTCACAGGTATAGCAAAGACACCGACCCTGATAGTCAAACTGAATATGTCATGTGGTATCATGGCAGGTAAGTTGGTGTTTTCTTGTAATGTATGCTAAGGAATCTGTGAAGAGATGGTATCCTCATTCATCCTCCATTTCTCGTTCGGTACCGTACTGCAGATCCGAAGAGCTAGATGCCGACAAAACGCTCCCTCCTCTTAGTACTGGACGAATTGGGCGCGCCACTAGTCGCAATGGATTGCATTGGGTCAAAGATACCCAGGGAAGTGAATCGGAAGATATGACAGGAGTGAGTATTGGACTCAACAAAGAATCATGGTGGGGATTTGATACCGCGCATTGTGGCCTGGGAAGTGTACTATTGCCCATGTCAACTCCTGCTGTGCTGATGGATGGTGGAGTATACATGCAGTATTACTTTGGAGGATCCTTTGATGAAGCTCCTATTGCAGACTTCTTGGAAAACACACCCGATGCCATGAAGGATGCCACCATCAAGGGTATGAAAATGAAAATTGGTGTGGCCGTTTCACAAGATGGGGTTTCGTGGGGTCGAGTCGAAGGTGATGATCCATCAGGTGCCTGTGTAGTGCCCTTTGATAACAACGATCCCAACCAAGAACAATCTAACTTTGAAGAAGAATTGTATTGTGGTTGGCCCGAAGTGGTGGTTTCACTCCAAAAGAAAAAGGCATTCTTAATGTGTTACAGTACCATGCTCAAGGATAGCAAGCAAAAATGCATTGCTGCCGCTCAATCTCCTGATGGTTTCCGCTGGATCAAAGAGGGAGTTTGCTTGAGACCGGATGAAGAAGGTCCTGATGCGGGAGGTTGTGCTAGATGTTGCGTGGTGAAAGACGCTGAATTTGATGGAACATCCTGGAACGAACTTGCTTCCTTTACCATGTACTACGAAGGCGTCTCCAAAGAAGACAACAAGCACCGCATCATGATGGCGAAGAGCAAAGATGGCAAAACTTGGAACAAAGAAGGATTGGTCTTTGACATTGGTTCAGATGACTCGTGGGATTCGGAGGGCGTCGGAGCTCCACATGTGATCAGGTAGGTGAAGTTCAGACGATGGCTGTGTTCGCTTGTGAAATAAATATTCGTGTTCCTCACTCAATCAACATCACCGGATGGATAGAATGGACGATGGAACGCAACGCATGTATTACACCGGACAAGGCAAAGGAGGCACAACAGCAATTGGTGCTGCCACGCTATCTGAAGCTAACATGTTTGTACGAGAACAAGCAGCAGTCACTTTTGCATAATTGCTGACTACTTGACGTTCATCACTTTGCTGAAGCATCCATGAGAGATCTTGGCTTATGCAGATGGAATCTGGATGCAGAGAGGAAGACAAATTTCAGCTTTCGACCTCAACGTAGTAGACGTCAAGCAAAACATTATGCCAACACTATACTGACCTGTTCAACTCATCAAGCAAACACACGGCGATATGGATGTATCACCATAGAATTTGCTAAGGATTGAACTGAAAGCACCTTCAGGCCAACCACAAGTTAGGACGCAGAGGCTGCAACGGTTTCTGTTGCCAGACTGCCGGACTATAACATCTATATATGAACAACGAATCACTTTAACTCACACGAGGGATAATTCGATGCACTATTTTGCTGTTACTAGAACTGAAGCATCCACGAGAATCGGAGACATAGCTTGTGGTGTAATCTGGATGAGGGGAACAACAAACCAAACAATTCTACCTCAAATTGAGAAGAATACCATGAATGTGTATAGTAGAATGAATGGTTCGACTCATCCATCGAATCGACTGAGTTTTGTCCTGGCTTGGCTGATATCATGGTGTCAAATGATGATAGGGACCGAACCGATTGTTGCAAGCCTGCCCTAGGGATCATTCTGGTCAATTGTCAAGTCCAAAAGCTGTGTCTCCTTCTTGATAATGTCTTCCTCCTCCTTGATGATGTCTTCCTCGAGCTTGACCTGCTCAGTTGTATATTGACGATGATAGATGCGACCTTCGTCATTGGATTCCGAGTAGTGATCCCAGTGATTCGCTCTGGCTACTGGCGGATCTGTAGGAGGAACATAAGGGTATGTTGGTGCTGGTGTTGGTGCTGGTGTTGGTGCTGGGGTTGGGGTTGGGGCCGGAACTGGCGGGTAGGTGGGTGGTGCAGTCATCTCCGCTTCATCACACTCAGGATCATAGTCGTAACCGTAAAGATCCCGGTTCCCTCCCTGGCAAAGTGCGCACGAACATCAGATTAGTCAATCCCAGCGAAGAACCTTACTCGTAGAAGTATGTTTCATGTACGAAGAACAGATCCATCCTTAACACACGACAAGAGAAGATCGCTTACCTTGCCATAGTAGCCTTTGCCTTGGCCCGATCCGCCGTATCCCTTTCCGCCATAACCGCCTCCGCTGTATCCCTTGCCGCCGTTACCACCTCCGCTGTAGCCTTTGCCATTGCCATCTCCTCCATAGCCTTTGCCATTGCCATCTCCTCCATAGCCTTTGCCATTGCCATCTCCTCCATAGCCCTTGCCGTTGCCATCTCCTCCATAGCCTTTGCCGTAACCATCTGCTCCATAGCCCTTGCCGCCGTAGTCAGAGCCATCATCATTGCCTTTGCCTCCATATCCCTTGCCACCAGACTTGCCGCAGTTCGTGTATCGATAAGAGTCTCCCTGAGATCGACAGCAAATCAGCAAACGTGAGGACAATATCAAAGAAACAGCACCTTTCGACTCGACAACAGATCGATGGAGTGTGCCGACACCATGATACATTCGAAAACAGTCTTACCTCTCCGCTATCAAGACGACGGCGCTTTTTTAACGAGTGCTTTGAGCCCGCCCCTCCCTTGCGACGTAGAGACTTTCTTCCAACAGCGCTGCTATATCCCAGTAGAGAAAGCAGGACAAAAATCATCACAAAGATGCTAGAACGAGAGGCCATGGTTGCTTGTTTTGTTGTTGTTTCGAATGAAAGTTGTTGTTTCGACTTTTATGATTGCCAATTGCGAAGGAAACTTGATTTGTGAGCTGAAGACTTGAAATTTCAGTTCCATTATTTGCCTGGATCCGAAGGCATCAAAGTTCTTCCAATCGTACGCTCTTGTCTTGCTGAGGTCGAACAGACGTTTGTTTCACATGTGAATGCATACTTTGCGTAGTCCTGCCGCGAAACAGATACAAGAAAGATGCAGCCGCTCTCGAAGAGAGTGCCAAACTGAATCTTAAGCTGTTCTTGATGCACTACTGTGCCGTTCCAGGGTAAGTCACTCCAACAATGAGAGAGCCAACGGCCAGTTCCCTCGGTGCAGAGGATCCGAGTGTTGGTTTCGGAAAGGTCAATAGAGCTCAAAGCTGACTCCCGCGGTGGTCACGCATGATCCTTCATGGGTGCCAACAGCATTGCCAGCTCTGCAGGACTGTCACTCTCACCAAACACCCGCGATTCGATTCGATTCATCATTCATTCGGTTCAATCGTTCGATTGCATGATGTACTAGTACCGTACATGTATTCGATTCACTGTTGTCAAAAATTCAATCTTCACAGTGACGGCTCGAGGGACATCAGCTGTTGGAGTAGCAACCAGGTAGCTAGCTAGCAACTGCGGTGAAGTACCAGGCGACATTCTCTTTGTGTACAATATACGGTGCTATGCTCTATCTAGTTAAGACAACAATATACAGAAAGTGGTCTGGGTGACAAAGGTTCTCCCAAAGTTCCAGAACGAGCGTGGACAAAGGGGGGTGCATTCCTGCCACAAACCAACGACAGGATGGCGAGTTTGGTTCCACATCTCCATCTGCTGTCTTTTGAAACACCTCCGGCAGCCACCCCAGTAGTAAGTCCCCCAAGGTTGTCAGCGTTGCTGTTTCACCCTCGGTTGCTTTTGACGCACAAAAGATATAAATAAGTGAGTTGCGTGATTCCCTAGCGTTTGGAAGGTTCCTTCCTATCCTTACCTGCGGCAGGGCACGGCCGTTGTATTGGTGGTTTGGAATCCAAAAAGACACGAATAGGTAACAGCTGGACTGAAGTATTGTTGCCATCGTTGGTCGCTTGGAGATCTACATTAATTTGTTGGTACAGTTTGTAGTTGGCAGATTCGATGGAGTCCCACAGTCTTTGATGTGTTTGTCGTGTCATGTTCATGGCAATTCGAGAGCTTCCATATTGCAAAAAGAGAGCTTGTTTCAAGCTGTTCTTGAAGGACCTTTCTATAGTAGTCCACACTTCGTCAGCTTCCATTGGCAGTAGCTGACTGGAGGGGTAATTGAAGAAATGGAGTCTGATTTTCCATGGAATAGATTGTCGTTTCGAGGTTTCCATCATATCAAAGAGCACTCCTGCGAACAAATGCCATCTTAGGGGCAACTGGGTTTCTTCGTCCTCCAACCAGCAAACGGGAAACGAGTCTTTGGATTGAAGTTGCTGCGATTTGGAATTCTTGGCACCAGCATTGGTGACCCCATTCGTCTTTTCATTGTCGTCTTCGTCGTCGTCACCCTGAGGTTCTGGTTCATTTCGTTTGAGCATACCACCCGATGACAAGAGCGAGATTGTGGCAGGAGCAAACTTGTGGAGCCGTTGAATGGCACTTCGCAAGCCAACATGGAGGAAAGTTCCTCTCGGCACCAACAAATGAATGGGATGTGGCATCATGGTGGTTCCCAGAGAATTGGGCGCCAGTGTCAAGACAACAGGAATAGAGCCGCTCCAGTTTTGAGATCTCACAAGATCCGAGGAAGGTGCTTCGGTTGTCATCGTGGAGATGGATCTGATTCTTGCTGACTTTTTGAATCCACTTCAGACTCACAGAGACTGCAACGAAAGGATCCCTTATCAATACACCCGACCAAAGGAACCTTGTAAACCTTGACCAATATCAACACCACCACTATCTACATCAGACATCAGAAATGCATGAGCGGCATGAAGACGGGCACAGGATCCTTGTCTTGTGGAGTGACAGTCGTGTTCCGTTGAGTCGTGTAGCATCTTCGCTAGGGCTGAGGCTTTCATTCTTTTCGTGGGTTGTGCCTTCGGTTGGAAATGGATGGCAGAAGTGAAAGGAGGTTGCCCCAAGGGCCCCCAAGGTCCTGTGGATGTTGGCCAAGGCTTTTGGTCCTAAATTCAGTGGAGCTTGGACAGGTGCTGGCTGTACCGGTACCGGTATTGTAGGCCTGGAGAAGGAGGCCCAGTGTGGAACAAGGAGAGGTGCTGAAGAGGGCACTGGACATCTCCGCCCAACGGGGGACGAAAGCTGCAATAGAATAGCGTCGTCCTTTTTAAAAGCAACTCTAATAAACTTCCACTCATCCACACAGCACCAATATCTAGATTTTGCTGATGATTTCAAGTTGGAATTTGCCCACCAGCAACCATGCTAGTTCGACGCAGTGGCCACATAGTATTCCTTTGTGGAACAATGACTAACTTTCCATAGAAAATAGTAGAAACAGGATTTGTGATGTCGCTGGTTGGTTGCAATCACGAATGCCATAGCGGAGCAACCATGCTTTGACCTGTCCGACATACTGTTTTGTCTTTTGAGGATTGTTGAAGCTTGCCCGAAAGAGCTCTTTCGGTAGAAGCGAAGAAACTACATTTTATTAATGCTGAGATAGCGGAGAAGAGTGGATTATTGAATGTTTATACCGCATTCTGTTCTGCATTGAAGTACTCGTGATTTCCACAGCCCACCGAACAGCCAAAAAGACATTTCAAAAGAAGCTTTTTGAACTGACATCGACAATAGCGGTAGCAGCGACCCCCTCCTTCGTCCTTTCGGACTTGTATCGTGTTGCTGCCTTGCTCTCTTTCTCCATCATTCCATTCCAATAAGATACCAAACCAAACCACACACACAAAACTTGTGATTACGCAAAACACGTGAATTGTCGTTTCGTTAATTCCATTCATTCATTCCAAAATCCATCTTTCACAGCATTATGAACTGGCAAAGAATGCTTCCACGGCTGGTTTGAGATCGTATTGAAAATCTTCTAGGAGTGCTATACAGACGTCTTCATCGGCATTGGTGACGGCCTTCATTTTGACGACGACAGCCTTTTGCAATTCTTCCCGACTGGATGCCTTTTGGAGTTGATTTTCGGAATCTTGTTCCTTCTTTTTGGCCATAACGGCCTTTTCTAGAGCAAAATCGTACGGTGATGGAATGACAATGTGTCTCAACGATTCCATGGTGCAATCATGCGGTAGTTTGACGGGTGGTTTAGTGCCCAAGGTGGAACTGGACATGGTCACCTGGCAGGCCGTGAGGTTGGGATAGTGGAGGTCGTCTGTCATGGTGGTGGATTGATTTTGATTACTTGTGCTTGTAGAATGATTGTGGCTTGTATTGCTTGCTTCTGGTAGTTGTGAGGAATTATATAGAGTCGACGGAGGATGTTTCACTTGCCCTTTTGCCTTTGCTGTATCTTGCGTCCAAGTTGCTGTTACTGTTGGTGGGTGTGTTGTGTGATTGTTTTCTTGAGTCTTGAGGCAAAGCAAACTTTATCGCTTTGAAGAGCTCGCGAGAAGGCGTTGGGTTGCCTCTACTTCGCCGGTTGACTACTAGTACGGCTGTAAAAAGGTGTTGTCGCCTGCTTTTTTCTTCCGTACATCCATCATCCATCCCTGCTTCCATCAGATCTCCGTACGGTACTTGTTTGTCCTTCAATTGTCGATGTTGTTGACTTGTGGTACATGACCGGCACCACTGTTGCTTTACTAGCTAGTAGTACGTTAGCCCATCTTGATCATCAGATTCAGATTCAGATCCAGTAGGTAAAGAGAGCTGCTGTCACTGACGAGTTGAACCTCGTGGGAAATCCCGCTTCCCATCAGAACGTATCATGACATCCCCAAATTCTTTGGACCTTCCTGCTAGTAGTAACAACAAGCTGAGCTATGTGGCCTGCCACCTTTGTCGGGATCCTCTGTTGCAGCAACACTCATGGGGATTGTGGGTTTCCATGACCAAAGAAGAAGCGGCCAGAGAAGACCAGCCGCCGCTGTTGGTAGTGGGAGGCGTCGACCATTCCCTGTTTGAGCATCGCATCCGGTGGGCCTTTTGTACACGATCACCTCCGGAACCCAAAGTGATTTGGAAATACAACACATACGGATTCGATCTATGGAAAAGCTACTTTGCCCTCTTGCCGCCTCACCCACAAGAGCCAAGAACACTTCTGCCAGGAGATGTCATCGTAGGCGTCAATGGCCTTCCCGTCTCCGCCTTTGGAGGAAACATTCGCAATGTGACGACGTACATGCAACAATGTACACAGGTATTTCTAGTCGCAGTGCGAGTCAGCAGCAGCACTTCTTCTACTTTACTCCCTCATCATGACAGCAATATGAAGCACAAGATGACTTCACAACGGGTGAGTGAAACAGAATGAATAGAGCATTCTTCTTCTTCTTTGTTGAAAACATGCATGTGCTGCATGCAGAGCTGACTGTTTCGTCTTCTCTCCTTCTCGACTGACCACATGTAGGCACAGCAGATTCTGCAGCTCATGGATCATGCTGGATTTGCTCCAATGCAAATTCCACATTCGCCAACTCCAACGACGACGATGCATGGTTGGTCGCCGCCGCCTCCTCCTTCTTCTTTGTCCAAGAGCTTCATGCCTTCACCGCAATCATCGTCGTCGTATCCAACCAAACCACAACAACTTGCCCGTATTGTCACACCCGACACGAAAAAGACAAGCTCTCTGCCATTGGAGTCGGCGCCCAAGGTACCGTCGTCAACATCATGGGCCATGTCAAAGACCAACAGCAGCCATCCCAAGACGTCATCAAACACCAACACCTCAACAACAACTACCAACAAGCAATCCAATGCCAACCACAACAGCAACCACTACAACAGTCCAGCGGCTCAAAGGATTCTTTTCCCAATGTCCTATTTTTGTCATCGAAATCCCATGTTTCGCGAAACCAAACGCGACGACGACGACGACAAGACAACCTCCACCAGCCATACAACAACGACAGTCGTCCAACACTTGCCCTACGATGACGACATTATCGAAATTGATCTTGAAGAAGGATGTCACAGCAGCAAGTTTCTCGTCAAAATTGATTCGGCCAACTTTCAACAGTGGATGGCAGACCGCAAGCAAAAGTGGAGGTCGAAATGGAACGTCGCGGTGGCAGCAAGGACACAACGAATAATCATGGCATGGAATGGAACGGCAGAACCAATTCGATGGACCAATCCCATGTTTCGCGAGTGCAGCAGTGATGATGATGACGACGACAACAACAGTAACGAACAATCTTCATGTACAGCAACGACCAGTGCTGCTACTACTTCAACAAAGAAGAACATTCCCTACAGCGACAATCTAACCTTTGATCCTTTGGATGGAACACGCAGCAAATACTTCATGTCCAAGATTGACTCGTCCAATTTTTCACAGTGGCTGTCCAATCGCAAACGAAAATGGAGATCCAATTGGAATACATATCCAGTGGAAGCCCACCACGACGAAGACAGCCACTACTACAGTACCGATCGTGCAGAACGCAACGAATGCGCGGTCCGTTACGACTTTTGGGCTGTAAACAGTGAGGTCGACGGGGAACGATTTGATTCCTTTCCATCCTGGTTGACAACCCGAACAAGTCAATGGAAGAATCTGTACTCTTGGAACTCGACCAAACGACGAAAGATCCAAGAGATGAGAGAAGAGGTGGTCAAGTATGCCGACCATGCGGGATTCCAGCAATGGCTACGAGTGCGGAAGAACCACTGGCGGATCTTGCGACGCCAACGACAGCGCCGTCTGCAAGAGGAAAGGGAACAAAGGAGCAACAACAACAACAATCCGCAATCGTCGAAAATTCTGTCGACACCCATCAAATCGACTGGCAAGGAGAAGCGTGTTTCGTGCAGCAACCATGTCGTTTCGGGGGAATTTCGACACATTGACGCCTTGTTGGAAGAGGAAGAGCGCAAGCAAAAAAGCCTCGAGCAACGCAAACCAATTGATATCTCCTTTCTCTTCTTCCCGTCGAAAGGCTGTCCCGACGACGTGGCGGCTCACTGCCTCAAGTTCTTGCCTCCTGCCGAACATGGAAAACTGCTGTGCATCAGCAAGTCATTCTCCAAGGGGATCGCGCAACGGGAAGAAATGTGGAAACGCCTCTGTCCCAAGAACTGGAGTCTGCCTCGCCGTCCACGGAAACCTTGGCACGAAATCTACCTGTCCAAATTGCGCATGGAGGCGTGCTCGTCGCAGAAACAGTGGGATGACTTGCTGACCAAAGTTGCGGAGGTTCTCATGAAGGGAGATCAGCTCAAAGTGGTCCAGAGGTTGATTGCGGCTGCCGAAAAGAAGTTCAACTTCACAGTGGACTACATTTCGGGGGTGGTGTGCGAGCGCAACTCCCTTCTCAACCTTGCCGTGATACACCAACGGCACAAAGTGGCTCACTGGTTTATAGAACAGAAGAATGCCGACATTGAGACGAGCGACCGAGGACACTTTACACCTCTCTTGAATGCTGCGTGGTGCGGCGACAAGAAAATGGTTCGCTATCTTCTGCAAAGGGGGGCCAATCGGAGCAACATTGGTATGGGGCACTCCTCTTGTGCGCTGGCCACAAGCGATTTCAAGGGACTGACAGCATCGGGATGGGCCGAAAAAAGGGGGTTTCCAGATATAGCAGAACTATTGCAGAACGGACTCTAACGATTACATGTAATGGCAAAATTGTTTTCAGTACTAGGTCCTAAGTAGTTGTTAGTTGTTAATGGCGGAGTTGTGAAAGCTGTCGCAACAGTGACGCGGCTACGGTAGCTCTCGGGAAACGATCGAGGTGTGATTACACCTTGATACGTCGTATTTGAACGAATCAGTGACTCCCGTTCTCCATTATTTGCAAGGTCGTGATCTTTTGAAGGAATTCTAGTGTACAAGTACATGTAAGTTTCTAAAATAGTAGTGAGAGGAAGAAAGGTTTCTTTGGTTGTTTATTTCGTTGTTCTATTTTTATCATTCCTAGAATGTAATTGTGCTGTTGCTTCCCAAATGTGTTTATTGCATCGTTTCTTTTGTTTTCCCGCCCGATAGTTCCTGTTAGCATCCTTAGACGGTGTATTCTACGTCTTCGCCTACGTTTTCTTCGGCGCTACTGCTAGATGAAACGATTTGAACGACACCAAGTTCGATATCTGAGTCCTCGTCGTTCTCTGGCTGAACTTCTTGAGTGCCCAATCGACAGCAACACAACGAGCGGTGGTTTTCTATCTCAGTTTTTTCTGCCTCCTCGTCAATGTCAGAGTTCGATGCCAAGTCTTTAACACCGAAAACAAACGATTCTATTGCTGGCAGGCTACGAAAGGCTACAGCGAATGCATATAATATGAATACAAAGGCTACGCCAACGACGATTAGGGTGTGTTCGATGGATAGAATCCTTTCGAAAGGCACAACCTCCGACAGAACGAACGACGGTTCTTGCGATGGAGCGAGAGTGGGAACAGACGAAACCTCAGAACGAATGAACGATGGTCCATGAGACGGCTCGGACGAAGTCGACTCAGCAGCAATATCGGGGACGAACGCCATGGCGGCGGTGACAACAGCGAAAGAAAACTTCATGGTTAGAGGTTCAATAGATCGTTTGGCAAAGGTGAGGTAACGTTCTTGCGAGATCAAAATTATGAGCTGAAATGAGCAGGTGTTTTGGCAACGATAATACGAGAATGTGACGAGTCCACGCTGACAATCGCAACATCTCCACGATCAGTCGACGCCTCTCAGCTCTCACGGGGGTCCATTGTCATCGCGGATTGCTGGGTCCATTTTCATCATCTACAGATCGGTCGATGACTCTCAGTTGGATAATCAAGCTCAGATTGTGTTCTTGGCATTGATTGTCTCGCTGGTATGGACGATCTACTTCGGTAATACCTTAGTCGTCGCTTGATGTCTCGTCTAATAAAAACATCGTCGCGATGAGGTTGTTGAATTGTGAGCACACAAGCAAAACGCATCAATAATCGAATGATTCGAATCGATTCATCATTCAATCGAATCGAATCGATTCGAATCAGAAATCAAAGTGGTGATGTGACACGACTAATCTAATCTTGAACGGGAATGATTGATCGTGACTGGACCTGTCCCGAAGATGGGAATTGGGGGCGGAGGAGACCATGGTGCAGCAACGGTACCGTACGACTGTACGGTACACCGTACCAGTACGGTACGGTCTGCTAATGCTCGTCCTCGATAGATAGGTTTGAAACCAAATACATGTAATTGGAGCTGTGAGTCAACCATGCTTACATTTATCCAAGCGGCTGTATGATACATGTGGCCTCGACTGTCACTCGGGTAAACTCTTGAGGTCATACGATTTTAGCAAAAAGTGACTGAATTAAGTAGTTTTACTCTTGATCAGCACAAACTGCCGAATCGCCAAAACACAGGCTTTACTCTGTGGTAACTTTTCGGTTGTTTGACTTTTCATCCCCCAGGGAATCATCAGTGCTTGGGCTATTGTGGTACTTATGAAATCGAGGTTTATGTCGGCATGCTCCGTATATTTCATTGCAGGAGTTGATCAGGTTTCTGGCGATTCTCTGGATCGTTTCAGTATCTCGAGTCGCTCCCTGTTGCATAGGCTGCAGTGTCGTTTCCCGAAGGTCTTGACAGTGCTGATGGGTTTGCCTTGCCATAGATGCTAATTTCGATGCTGTTCTTTGAATGTCGCCGTTGAGTCGGATGGTGAAGGAGATGCGAAGTTTTGGAATTCGTTGGCGAAGTGTCTTGCGTATGAATCTGACTTGCGTTTTCCGTAGAGGAGACGCATGACGTCGGTGAGTGTTGGTATGTTCGTTCTTTGACGTTTCGTTGGGTTGCCCAACGTATTCTTTGCCCGAGTTATGCATTTGATGCAGTATATGATCCAGTTTATTTCTGCAGCGGTCGTCAAAACGGCATTGGCCGTCTTTCTTGTTTCCTGGCTTGCAATTGCAGTTTCATTTTGGAACTCGGTGGAGATTACGTCTTTGGTGAGCTTCCTCGATAGGTCGCCATGAACGTCTCTCGCAGGTTGGTGAATCGATGGTAGGACATAGACGTTCTGATCCATTCGAGGCCTGGCTCTTCTTGAGGTCGTTGATTACCTTGTGTATTGGGGTCGTCCAGGCGTTGAGTGTCCTATACAGAAGAATAATGATCGTTCCGGTTCCTCTTCGTTGCTTGGCATCTCTATCTGGTTCGTTTGTTTTGTCCTCTTGCCGTTGGGAGTATCGTTGTATTTCTTCTTGTAGTGTTGGTATTTCGTCTGGAACCAGTTCAGCTTTCTTCAGCGCCTCGATGTGTAGTGGGTAGATTTCATCGAGGGTTTGGTTGGCATTTTGTTGGTAACTGTAGTGAGTTTGGCAAGTCTTTGGAACACCCCTGTGGGATGTTTTTAAGGCATGCGTTTGTGTGGGTAGTTCCCCTGTTTAGATATTTCAGTTGTTGGTTCGGTTTAAGGTGGACTCGGAAGTGAAGTTCTTCCTGGTCCGACCAGAACAGTTCCATATCTAGATACGGAAATGCTTTTCCACTTTCTACAGTTACTTTGGGGTCGGATTGATCTTTTGGGAGTTGTCTTTTGGTTTGGTCTAGCCATATGCTACAGGTGAATACTAGGTAGTCTCCTTCGGCTAGGCTGTTGAGGTCTGCCCCCTTTCCCCCCTAACCCTCCCAAGGACTCCCGAATGTTTTTGGACTCTTTGAAAAGTATTTTCTGTTCAAAATTTTATATTTTGAAAACAAATAAGAAGAAAGGCATTAAAGACTTTTTTATTCCTGACCTTTTAGAAACAAATTTAGATTTTTTGCAGAGCTCGCCCGAACCAACCCCCAAATCTCTATTACTCCCCAAAAGGACTCCCGCGGGGTCACTTTCCCGTTGTGTTTTCTGCCACAAACCTCAACAAAACAACAGATACCTGCGGTTGTCCTCAAATCATCGTACGAACCCACCATGTGTCCGATCATCGAATGGCTCGACCCTATCCCACCATACGTATTGATTCCGATGTTTGCTTTGCATCATCTCCGTCATCCCAAGGACAACATGTACATGTATCGTTCAACGGAAAACACCCAGTCCACTTGCAACGAAGATTACGACGACGAATCTGCTGTTTCCGCGGAGTTTGAGCTTGTTGGGCAGGGATGGAATGAACTTGCCGACGGAGAATCTACGGTTTCCCAGCTTCAAGTGCAGGAAGGTCCACTTTGGTGTTGCCATTGGACATTAAACATTATTTTGCGGTTGGCCGAGTTTCTCTTCCTCTTCCCCTGCAACAGACAGTATCGAGATGACCTCTTTGAGAGTTCCAATTGCTACATCAAGCCGGTGCTCCAATTCGCCTACCTTTTCTACGTGAAGCTTGCGTTGTTAGGAGGACCCTTTCTTCTCTTCAGTATTATTTACTTCTGGAACAATATCAAGCCTGTGGACGAGTTGGTCTATTTGCTCCTTCCTATCTACCAAACGATGATTGTTGTGCTTCCCTGTGTCGCGACAATCCGCTACGTCTGTCACACATATTTCCCGTGGGCTCGTGCTGCAATTATGATTGTCGGCTTCTTTGCGTACTTCCTTGTTGTGGACTATTGCACATACATGGCCGGACTGTGGGTTCACAGCCCTTGCGCAAACTTTTTGATTGTTTTGTTTATTGTTGTTCTTCCTATCGGTGCTGTTTGTCTCCATCTTGAGGTAACGCGGCTTGAAAACTCCAGGATCACTACCCCAATCATACTGATTTATGCTCTTTCAATGGTTGTTCTGAGCTTTTGGTCCTTTTGGGTCAAAAAGGCGAACAACGACTTCGAGAAAATCGGAACCTCGATTGTCTTTGCATTGTTACATTTCTTCCTGAAGAACGCGCTCCTTGTTCGAAAAACCAAAGATGAAGTATCCGGGAAATTCTTGCACTTGCTTTGGGCCGCTGACATCATCTTCAGTCGGCAACAAGTGGCAACGATCCCTTTTATCGTTGGCGGAAGAGCTTTCGGGACCACGTTGTGCTTCGAGATGCTTGGTTTGGTATGGCGGTGTCTCCCCCCAGAACGAGTTATGCTGCTTGTTGATCGAATGATAGGCTACAACGGCCGAGTGCGATATGTTCTGCGAAGCCGGTTCGGGCGCAAACCGTGTGCCATAGTATGTGGCGTCTTAGGCTCCAGCACGAAAGACATTCTGAAGATGACTGCCATCACGAAGCCAGATGCAGCGACTCGACGCCGTGGATACTTGGAGCGAGCACTGTTTCACTATATGGATGCGATCGCGACCCTGATCATCAAGATGATTGTGCGGCTGAACCAAGTCTTTGCCTTCTTTATCATGCGTAACCGCTGGGCGAGGGAACACGTTGATCAGGTGTTTAACATTGACGACAGCAGCTGGGTAGAGTCTTGGAAACCCACATTGCTGCTGGTTGGAGTTGATGCTGTTGCAATCTTGATTGCCTGGTACGCGATGATACGTCCAGTTGTTCACGCGGAGCACGACGATGTGACGCTTCCGAAGATCCTATACTATATCCTGCGCCATGAGTTTTGGTTCCTTTTCTGGTTCTTTCTCGCTACGGGGACACAGTCCGTTGCATCCATGGTGGTTCAGTTTGCTGTCCCGACGCCATCCGATCCATGACATGCATTCTCGTTCAACAACTGGGACTTGGACTAGCGTAGCATCGGCGGTACCAGCACCACATTAGAGAGCCCGCAATCAGAAACAACTTCATATGAACCTCCATTCTCCTTTGATGTCGTATAGTAAACGACATCATGGTAAGGGACAGAAAGCAGTAAACTAATCAAACTGACCTAATGGGAACTGGTTTCGGACTTCGCCGTTCATTCTCTTGGTGTATTATGTACAGTAGAGTCTTGGGGCCTTCGCATGGTTCGACCCAAGGCCATCGCGCAGACCTGTTTTATCAGCTTTGCTGGCCTTTATAATGGGGTATCGCGCTAACCGACCGTTAATGCTTTTCAGAGGAAAAAGGACTCCCGCGGTGTCAGCGCTCACAGTAACCAAACAGTTGTCTTGTTGTTGTTGTTGTTGTCCTGCCACAAAACACTCCACAGCAATCGATTTGTCTCTCTGCTACGATTGTTCTTCAACCTTCGGCCAAATCATCGCGCAAAGCAAAAGCAACCGTTTGCTTCATTCGTTCAAGTCGGCTTTTACTTCGTCTCTGTGATTTGCACCATGTCGATGTTTGACTGTTTATCTGCTTGCCTATCTGGCGTAGCTGCTTGTTTCTCTCATTTTACGGGCACCGGTGGCCAAGCAACGACAGGGAACTCCTCTGAATGGGCCCCTTTTCTTTTGCTTCCTCGCCGGTCCAGAGACCGGCTGCTTCATCCCAAGGACCACATGTATCGTTTCAACAACCGCAAGGATTCTCCATTGATTGCAATGGAAGAGACAGTCGGCAAGAAAGGAGTCAAGCAAGGAGCAGGTTGCTTCGAAGAAACAGCACAAGCCATCTTGCCAGAGAATGTGACTCTTGAACAAATGAAAGGTTTTGGCGGTTGTGTTCTATGGTACATTCGGTTCCTTCTGGCCTCCATTTTGACAGTGATGGGACACATCGTCAGTTTTCATGTCAGCGTCGATTATCGCAACAACGTGTTTCCAACTGTCGAGGGCCCCATTACCAAGGAGATCATACGTGTATACAACATGGTTTGCACTGTTCTTTCTCATGTCACTTGGCCGATTCTCGCAAGTGGACTGGCTTTTCTCGTCGAGATGAAGCCTTTTGAGGAAGGGCTTGACCAGTGGTTCGTCTACGGCGTCCTCCCAGTCTACCAGATTGCAGCAACCGTGATCCCAATGGTCGGAACAGTCCGATATATCTTTCGCTGTATCTTCGGCCCTCAACATGTCCCGTCGCTACTTCCCCACTGTCTGCTTTGCATTGGTTCGGCGTTTATCTTCTTTCTGGCATGTGACATGATTCTGCCAGAGCCTCGCTTCCTACTTGGGCGGTATCTGTGTTCATTTGCGCTGCCTTTTTCGGACTGTATCGCTTACTACATAACCGCTATTTGGGTCAAGCGACAGCCAATCCGAAAACACGACGAAGTGATCAATCTTTTGTTTAGCTACACCTGTGCAATGCTGTTGGGTGCTGCATGGTCCTGGTTTGTTATATGGTGTCAAGACAAACCTTCGGTGTGGCAAACTTTGGCCATCCTACTGTATGCTCTTTTACACTTCATTTGGAAGGGCATTGTGACTCCGAAGTGCACCACAGCGATTGCCCCTGAACATTTTATGCACTTGAATTGGGTCGTGGACATTATTTTCACGCAGCGACAGCTGGCAACTTTGCCTTTTATCAAGAGTGGCGTGGCCTTTGGGTTGATAATGTTGGGCCAAATCGTTGTTGCCGTCAACCGAATCTATCCTTTCACAGGGCGTATCCTTTATATTCTTCGGTATCTGAAGAACAAGAACAAGGAGGACTCCAGAATTCGAGCCATACTGGAAAAACTATGTCCACACGGACATGTGGTTTGGCCCATTCTTCGAGCTCGAATCAACCAGTTCCACGAGCTCTCGGTACTGACGCAAGACAATGAGGCAATTCACACTCGCTGGGGAGGCGACAGAACTCTTTGGAACCACCTTGATATGATTGGGGTCATGCTTGTGAGCAATCTAGTTCGGATCAATCAACTCTTAACCATGTTGGCAGTGCGGTATTCAAGTGTCCAAGACCACATTGATGACTGGCTGCATGTCAACGACACCATATGGACAAACTCAGTGATTTTCACACTGGCCCTGATTGGCGTGAATTTTGTTCTCATGGTTTTTGTTGCTGTGTACCTTGTTCCCAAGGCCGTGGCTAAGTCCAGGATGGATATTTCAATGTACAAGATTCTCTACTTTGTCATGAATGAAGAATTTGAGCTTTTGTTCTGTTGGATGGTTGGTAGTGGAGCCATGGCTTTTGGATCGATGGTCAATCAATTCGCAGAAAACGTGCAGATACGGGGATGATTCGATTCAAACGTTCGATTAGAAACATTGTAACCGTGTACAGGAAGCTCAGAGGGGGCATGTAGATGAAGCTCAGAGGCAGCATTCAGCGCGGCGTGCGACGAAAGGAATAACTAATAAGAAAAGCAATAGCAAAACCCTCACCATCCTTGATTTCAGACTGATTTTTGCATACGGCCGTGACAGCTTCTCCCGTCGTTCACCCATAACGTCTCCACCAGTTTTACTTCACCTCCAGTCACAGCATCTCCCATCACCGGTCCACCCGTACCTTTGGTTTTATTAAGTGGTGTCATGTAGGAAAAAAATTCAATTTTTTTCATTTTGGATGTTTATATTAATAGATTAGAAAAATGGAAAAAACCTCAAATTGATTTGCCCCACCATATTTCGGGTAGATATACCCCTGTAAAGCTACCCACCTAGAATATGGGTGTTCTAGCTAGGAATCCTATTATCTATAGACAGTTCTGAGTTCTCCAAAAAGAGTAGATATCATTCCAAGCAAAAATTTTCGAAAAAGGTTGAGTTTTGGCTGAGATACGGTTATCTAGATATGGCAGCTTGGGATTGCAAGCACCCTCTTGAAAAGGGGGGACCAATTTACAGTCCAGGAAGTGACCAACAATCAAGAAGTGAGGGTCTATCCTGCTCCACAATACTATAAAGAAAAAGGATAGACCAAATTTTTTATGATATTATCACCTCTTTGTTAAAAGCAAAATGGTCCCCCAAGTACCTGTTGCCTACCACCGTACTGTAGTAGCTTCGCTTTGAAAGACGATTGATCATTCTTATTAGAAAGGTAGTTACGTGGACAGTACTAGTACTGGATCCACCTGATGATTCGATTCGATTCGATTCCAATGTCTTCTTAGCATTATCGCGCCAATGCAAGCCCGACCTCGCAACTCCCGCGGTTTGCCCTCTTTCCAGGATGATTTTGGCTTGTTTGACCACAATTAATTCTGCTTCGAAGCTAAGTTGTTGCTGTTGCCTCCGCTGCTGTACAGTAATTCGCCTTTCTCTTCAAGTGCTCGTGAAGTTGCTGTTCTGTCTATCACCATGTCTAAACCCGACAAAGTTGACACGACGTCTCGCCCTTTGTGGTGGCATTTGGTCGACATTGTGGACTACTTCGTCTTTTCGATTTTTGCGGCCTTCTTGTTTCCAAGCGTCATCGCGACGATGAATTGGGCGTTCGATGTGTACGGTAAGCATTGAGTTCATCGTCCGCATTGCCGCATCGATACCGGTACCGGTACCCTCACGAAGTCTTTTCTTGGTTCCATTCGTAGCAATTGTAGGCTTGGGGCTTTTCCTTTTCCACGTTGTGTGTCATGTGCCTTTCGCAGGACATATTGTTGTTTTGACGGAAACGGGCAATACAGCTGGATGGGACTCGTTCGAAGGGTCTTGTTTACATCATCTGCTTTTATTTGCGGGGTGGTACTTTTTTTGCTGGGGCAGTTTGCTTACGAAATGGCAGACTATCAGCACAGCAAGCAAGCAAAGAGGTCAGGAATGTGAACCTGCTGATTTGATGTCCATGACGGTATCAATCCCAGCTTTTGGACCATTCTTTCTTGGCTGCTTTGCACACTGGGTTGCATTGCGCTGGTTTGAAACAACGGAAGAAATGATTGAGGAGCAACGTCGCCGCGACGAGGAGTGTGCCTGGGTCAACAGAGACATTTATGACTTCTATAGCGCTTCTAGCCCTCCCAACAGGACTGAAGAAGACATCAGCGAAGGTGACACTCAAGGCGACGATGAAGGAGACGATGAAGGAGACAATGACGGTGACAATGACGGTGACAATGACGGTGAAAAGTATGAACTGGGATATGAGATCTTTTTCACCAACGCGATGGTTGCTCTCCTTTTGTGTCTCATTGTGGACACGAAAGTTCAAGGAATGGATGGTGAGCACCGAAAAAACGCAACTTGCTGTCGTTCGCGACGAAACAACTGGAACAACTGACACGCTTTTGCCGGCCTCAAGCAGAAAATGCCTACACTATTCATAGCACTCGCAAGTATCTCGGAACCGCCGTGTGGTCGGTGTTGCTTGGGCTATCCGTGTATGCTTTTGCGGTCTTCCGCCGTCGTCATTTCGAGAAATCGGCCTCCAAAAACGATGCGGCTTCAACCGACAACGATGCGCTACAACCGCCGAGCCCAAAACAAACGACGTGGCTTCAACCGACAACGATGCGGCTACAACCGCCGAGCCCAAAACAAACGACGTGGCTTCAACCGACAACGATGCGGCTACAACCGCCGAGCCCAAAACAAACGATGTGGCTTCAACCGACAACGATGCGCTACAACCGCCGAGCCCAAAACAAATGCGGCTTCAACCGACAACGATGCGGTTACAACCGCCGAGCTCCATAAAACCGACAACGATGTGGGTACCACCGCCGAGCCCTCGCCCGAGGGAAAGAAATAAGTTTGAAGGCTCAACCAAGTCGAGCCCTTGAGTTGGCAGGGGATTCTATGCCACAACACGAAAAGAAAGGGTGGACCGATACGACTGTAGCAGAAAGACGATCACGCCGCTGTACTGTAGCTCCTCACAAAAAAGATTGCATTGTCCCCCGATCACCGGTTCGGTACCTTGCAATCTAACATAGTAAATTGTTTCGTTTCTTTGTCAAATCCTCTTCCATCCGAGTGTCCCCGTTTTGGGTACCTCGCAGTAGTAGCATTGCCGATACGGGTAGGAGCGAGTTGCCCCCTTTGTCGCATGTATTTTTCTAAAGATGCAGCAGCTTCACCATTCATGATCCAAGACCTTGCGTAGCATCTCAAATGCTTCCATCGGCCTGTATGCAGGCACCTCATGGCCAGCCCCGTGAACAGTTACAAACGTAAACTTCCCCTTTGTCGAGGCGCCAAGATCAAACTCAGTAGCGTATCCCGCGACTTCTTTCTCGACTTCCCAACTCTGCCACAATTTTTCTGGTGGTGCCGTCCAACCCAAGTCCCAAATCCAATACTGAGTTCCTGCTGTGGAACAGACACTATCGTCATCACCAGAAAAGACAAAGACCTGCAAGTCGTGATCAATTGCAGCTTGTACCACCTCCTTGTATTGGTCTATGATAGAAGATGAGAAGTCGCGACTGTTGTAGTCTACGATCCTCGAGCACTCATACCATTTCTCGACCTGGTGGCTCACGTGAAGTGCCTCTTGTACATCAGGCCTATTCAGGTATGAATTCTTGAAACGACAAGATTGAGACGTGGGGGCAGAAAATCGCTACTCTGTCTTGTTGCACTTACCAGGTGTTGCTCTGAACACGGCCTGTAATGATCCTCCGTCGGAAGAAACGGGGGACCCCCAGCCGTGGAGTAGTTCAAGAGTTTTTGAGCCTGTGACGAAGTTTCGGAATCCAACCGTCGTCGTGATGTCTTTGCGGCCTCAGGCACACAGACTGGGTAATCCAAAGCGTACGGATTGATCTTGCCGTAGAGCTCTTTGAACATTTTCTCTTCCAGTTTTTGACACTCCTACAAACGGGGCAAGGGACTAGTATTAAGCAAAGGATTTGGATTGATATGATCAGTAAAACCCGTTGTTGTAACAATGTTGCTTACCTGCGTATCAAAGCTATCAGGTAGAGTGCACGATGTAGCCCACTGATCAAAGAGAGGCTTTGCGAGCAGTCCGTGGGAATAAAATGCATTGATTTGAGTGACTGTGTTCGAGAAAGGATCCACATAGGGATTTCCTACAAGCATGCCTTGAAAGTTGATCTCCTTAGCTGTGTCGCGGTTGATGATTTCCATGGTCACTGCAAAAAGAATGAAAAGAGCGCATCAATCACGGATCCCGAGGCCAATCAAGGAAGCAGTGCTGCTGATGCCCACTAAGAAACGAAATGTACAAGTAGAACTTACGCTGAGGCATGTAGTGTCCTGTAACCAGAAAAACCAAAAGTGAGCATGACGATCCAACCACATCAATGTTGGATACGGTAGCAATGAATACAAATACAAGATGCTCACCACCATAGGATTCGGAAGAAATGTAGAATTGATTCGATTTTCGTTCTGAGAAGCGCTCCAAGAACTGACGAATAAGTTCATAGTTGTCACTTGCAGCTTGCTTGTCGCCTGTTTTGTAATCGGCTTTAGTGTCGGAATAGGAAAAGCCCACCCCAGATGGCTGTTCAATGTAAAGAATGGAAGCCAGTTTATTCCACGAGTATTTATTAGGACTGAGTGTCCCATTTTGCGAGATAAAGTAAGGCCCGTGCTCCGTCCCGAATCCAACAAAGCCTGGGAGTTGCAACAAACAGATGTAAGAGAGCTTTAGAGTGATGGCACGAAGCAACGCAGATTCAGAAACATCACGCCTCTTCCTGGACTCCACTTACCAGAGCAACCCGGGCCTCCATTGGTCCAAAGCACGACGGGGTCGTCACTTGGATTCGATTGGGACTCGACATACCAATAGAAAATACGGCGTCCATGGGCTTCGTCGACAGTCAGATATCCGGCAAACTGCTTGAATCCTGGATCATAATCCAGACCAGGCAAGGACGGGATAAAGTCCTTTTGCGCGTCTTCGGTATAAACCGAAAGATCAATCACAGCACCCCTACTGACAGTTTTCGTAGCAGTGTGCTGGGACTTGGATCGTCTCGATCCAAGGACAGCGGGCGAGACATTTGAATTCGGAACATCCTTCCTTAAATGAAACAATCCTGCGCCTAATGTGCTGAGGGCCGTGAGGATGACCGGGCCGTGTAGAAAGGAACTCATCTCGATGAGCTTTCCTTAGTACAAGTAGTTGGCGGTGTCACTGAAGTTTTCTCTCCTGCAGTCCTCTTCCAACTTATGTTTCAAGCAGTGTAATGATCTGGGATGGTTCTGTGTCTAGTACGGTATTTGAGAAAGGACGTCATCGCTGAGGGCAAAGGAAAAGATATTCAAAGATCCATCACGAAAGTGACGTCAATAGAATCAATCCCGCACAACTGTCACCACCAATTTATTCTTCCGCTCGGGCCTTTCTGGCTGGCTAGCTAGCTAGCTAGTAGAACGGGCAAACACAAATCCACAAGAAATCCCCTTCAAAATGACGGAACGAGCACCCCAATTGCTGTTTGACGATGGCTCCAGAGCAATCCAGCAAACCTCAGCGTCTGATGTAGAGACTGCATCCCCACCGGAATCAGGCAGAGGTTCCATTCCCATTTCAAAATTCTACGAAATTGATCGCATTGCAGCTCGGATTGTGGAAATTGTGCGACAAAAGAAGTGTACCGAGCAACTGGACGAAAATTCAGATCATTGGTTTGCACGTGTGGCTCTTCAGTTTCCTGATGCCCTCTTATGCGACAGTCCAGAAGTTTGTTGGGAAATGGAGGACGCCCTCGAGAGGCTCCTCAAGGACGAAAAAGACACGAAAGATCAACCTCTACCATCTCTGGTGTTCTGTCTTGGTGATACAACTTTTGGACCATGCTGTGCCGATGAAGTGGCGGCTCATCATCTAAAGGCCGATGTCCTGACTCACTATGGCCATGCCTGCTTATCACATCCGGCTTTATCCCTCCCTGTAATCTATGGCTTTGGTGTCACTGAAAACTGGAATACAGAGAGTGCCGTTGAGGCCATTTTGAAACAAGCCAAGCAAGAGGCAGCCAGACGGATTTTGCTACTGTATCAGGTCCGATATCAGCATGCTATGGAAGACCTTCAAACTCAACTCAGTGAACGAGGGGATATATTTTTGGTGTCAGGTCAAGTGCCACAGCAGCCACTCTATGATGGGCTGGATCATGCCACCGGACCTGCTTTGGAACAAAGCAATGAATGCTGTCAAGGGACAAAAAAAAATTGCGAGACCAAGGATGTAGCAACTGAAAAAGCAGGAGCTGAGACAACTGCTACAGATAATGCTGAGAGTGACAAGGCAGCTGGAGTTAACCAACAATCCTCCCCGTTACCAACCAACACACTTTTATTAGGAGGATTGGAGGTCCCCAAAGATCTGGACTTTTCTTCCTTCACAGTGGTATTTGTAGGAGATGATGCGCAGGGAAAAGCTCAGGAAGGACAGCGACAATACATGAATACCATACTGTGGTATCTATCTTCCAAATCGCAGCCGGCTGGTCTGTGGACCTATTCTCCCACCAAACAAACCATTCAGACGGATATGCCGCCAGGGATACAACGACAACTCAATAGACGCTTCTACTTGATACAAAAGGCTCGTGACGCATCCATCTTTGGAATACTGATTGGGACTCTTTCGCAACGGTATTTTCGGTCCGTGGTGGCAACACTCCGAAAAGTCATTGAGGTAGCAGGGCGCTCAAGTTACACATTTGCCATGGGAAAAGTAAACCCGGCCAAGGTCGCAAACTTTGCAGAGATTGAGTGTTTTGTCATGGTCGCTTGCGCTGAAACTAGCTGGCTGGATGAAGGAGAACAGCGTGAAATGCACGTTCCAATAATCACACCACTGGAATTGCACATGGCCCTAGGTGAAGGTGGCCCTGAAACACAGTGGGGAGAATGCGACTACAGTTTGAACTACAACGACTTTCTTCTCAAGTATCCAAATTACTTGAACAACAGCGAATCAAGTAAGAATGACAATGGATTGCAAGATGCCAATGACGATGATCAATTGGATCAGGCAGAATCTACAGAAGAAGATGCACCGTACTTTTCTCTCATCACTGGGAAGTACGAGTCTAACCGAAAGAAGACCGTAGCAGACGATGTTGATTTGACGGCACTTCCTGGAAAAGGGCAGCTGACAACGTACAAGAGTGAGGCCGCGGAATTTTTGAAGCAAAGAGAGTATCGAGGCCTAGAAACGCAGGCTGGGGAGACAGAAGTCCGCGCAGCGGTACCTGGACAGCAGGGGATTGCATCAAGGTACAACAATGATTTGGCAGAATCCGACAACAAGTGATTTGTTTTGTAAGCCTAAGCTTTGAAGCTGGTATGAGCTTTCTTTCAAAGTTTTTCCATCCATGTAGACTCTGTTTGTGTTGGCGTTTTGGGTTAAGAGTGTAACTACTACAGTAGTACCTTTTAGGTCCATCCAACACCGCAAACGTTACATCGTACCAGATTTTCCTACATTTGATGGCACCACCAAGGGTCCCATGTTGATGGATCATCCGTGAGGTGACGAACTGTTGCGAAACAGCATTGGCTTTTACATACGGGCGGGGGGGTCCATTTCGGGGGTAAAAGTATTACTATCGCCATGACTCCAAGCAGAGCAATGTGGAAGCACATTTGCTCCTGCCTGGACTGGTACGTCACCGTAGATAGGGTTAGGGTTATCAGGAGAACAGTCGCAGCAGGAGCCAATCCAAGCCTCACATTGCTAGTAGCCACCAATCGAAGAGGACAATGGCGTCCTTTTCTTTTTCTTTTCTTTTCGAACGGCGACTGGCAATGGCTACTCGCTACGGCTACCGCTACTGCTATCGCTACTGCTACGGCTACTGCTAGCCGGTCATGGTGGTGTGCTCCGTCATGGTGGTGTGCTCCGATTGCGAGCGATCGAACGGTCTTTTCTATTTTTCGGCCGATGACCGATCGATCCTTTTCCACTGCTATGATGCGTTCACCACCTGGTATTTCGCTAGCGCCTCTTGAGCGACACCAACTTGTGCTTCACTCCCCTCTTGAGCGACACCAACTGGTGCTTTGTCTCCCATCTTGAGCGACACCATGATCTGGTGCTTCGACTCCACTCTTGAGCGACACCAACTGGTGCTTCACTCCCCTCTTGAGCGACACCAACTGGTGCTTCGTCTCCCACCTTGAGTGACACCAACTGGTGCTTCTACTCCCCTCCTCGGCCTACCGGCCCTGGAGTGTACCCTGCCGTTGTTGCCATGCGTCCCGACTCCAGGGCCATGGTCGCGAATTTTTTTTCGACAACAACAACAAAAACGATCGGCCTTTAAGTCTCCGACGGATTGGCCCCTAAGTCTTCTGCTCCTGGCAAGATTCGCGGCCCCTATCTCTCGGACTCCTGACCGGATTGGATTTCACCCCCGCTTTAAGAATCCAAAGTTCCGACTGACGTCAGTGTCCGTTGACGTCATCGATCGTGACCGGACACCGTCACGATTATGACGTCACGTTTCGTGACGTGTTTTCATCCGTGCTTCCGAAATTTTTTAAGTCGATGCATGAAAAGTCCACCGCGCGAAGTCGATGCTTGAAAAGGAGTTGGGGGCCTCTAAGTCTTTGACTTTGCCCTCTAAGTCTTTGTCCCGCCCCCTAAGTCTTCCACCCACCGATGACTTGTTGCGCGACGAGACAGGTGGTGGCTTTGGTTGGTGCTCAGTCCAACTGTTCCACACCACACAATACCAAGCCACACCACACCCTTGCATGGATATCCTGACAACATGGTACCTGACCAGACACCGGTGTCAGAGATTGAGGTTGACTCATTGCAGTGGATCCCCAGTTCAAAAGCTACTTGGCTGGTAGTCTTTTGGATGCTTGGATTGGGTTCAAGCCCTGTGCAATCCTACAGCAACAGTACAAGCCTGGGCTGCTGTGGTGGTGGCCCTGATTCCTCCCATTCCAGGCTATGCAGTGCAACACTAGGAGGTCATAATCCCAATCCTGAAAGCTTCCAACCAAGCCTTCCCTGATTTGGACCACTGCATCCTGCCTCTTGCTGCCTTCCAGTTGCCTGCCTCCCAGTTGTTGCTTCCCTTCCAGTTGCTGCCTTGTTGCTGTGAGTCTTTGCTTTGTTTCAGCCCCAGTTCTGTTTGCCTGGTGCTCTTGCCGTTGGTCCAGCCTTTATCCAGTTCCTGACTGTTGTTGCCGCTCCCAAAGGCATTGTTGCCGACAGTTCATTGAGTCATTGAATTGTCCCACCAACGACACTTCAACACTTCTTCCAGCACCATCCCCAACCATGTCTGCTGACCTTCTAGTTCGTGGCAAGGCCCACGAGATCAAGTCCGTCTCCAAGGCTATCTTGGAGTTGACTGATGAGGCCACTCGCCAGTTTGTTACCACCAAGCTACAGGACCTGTTTGATCCCATGGGATTCAGCGGTCAGAGTCTTGATGCGGCACGGCTCAACCAGTCGTTTTCCCTCCAGTCGGTGTGTATCATCGACGGCAAGGTCCAGCCCCTGACTGCCCCGACTTTGGCAGAGAAGGACGATGTCGTCTCTGTCATTGCCAGCATCAGTGACACCATCGGTGAGAGTATTCCTGTTCGTGTTCCCCATGATGCATTTACTGGTTTCGTCACCTCTTTGGCCTCCAAGCAGGTCGTTGACGATTTGAAACTGGTCCACTTTGAGGCCAGCCCGGCCTCAGAGCTGGCTGCTTCTGCCAGTACAGAGGAGACTCCAGTCGTGGTTGGCATGGAAGCCCTCCAGTTCGAGGGTGCCACCGCCGAGGCAAAAACCCAGCCCTGGCTGGTGCTACTGCCCCTGGTCTTGCCACTCCCGAGAGGAGTTCAGTTCGACTTTGCGGCCACCATCGATTCCGATCCGGCAACTGTGTCGAGCTGGCCTTACGCCCAAGAATGGTTCCGTGCCCAGCAATACCTGGCAAAGCGTTGTGACAGTCGTTCTGTCACCGGCGCTAAGCAATCCGATTTCCGGCCAATTTGGCCCAGCTGCACCTTCCAAGAGGAACATGCACATACAAGCTTCCCAGAACACTGTGGCATCTCAGGAACGATCAGCCCCTGTTCGACCACATTGTCCAACTAAATCCCGACTGGGACGAGGACACCCCTGCACTTGTTGATTGGACAGCCCATGGTCGAGCTGTCAACCGTGATGAGATCCACAAACCGACAATTGTGAAGTCCCTATTCCAATTGTTGCCATTTGGGAAAAGGATCCACCAGGATGACCCCAAGTAAGATCACCACTGTCCCCGTAGTGGCGGTGATCACGAGAATGAAACCCATGTTTAACGATGCCCACATGTTGACGTGAGGTAACTCTCTTTGCTAAGAGGAATTGGGCAGTCGACGCAACATCGAGCAGATCGCCGACAACGTTGACAAATGCGCAAGGCAAGCATCCACCAGCACTCGTCTTCCGATCCTCGAGGAAATTTCACTGGTACTGGACTTCAGATCAATCCCAGACTATTGAGATACGTATCTAATCCTCGACCACCCATGGCTTACCTGACAGGTAAATGAGCGTCGTGACACTCAAATACTCCTCGGACGGTATGCGGACACAACTCTGAGAGGCAAGGTTTCTATGTTGCACTGACACTGTGCTTGAAGGCATCAGATGAGCCTAGTGAGCTGCACGGGCGGTACGGATCCCAGGGCGCACCACCAAAGACACGAGGCGTTCTGACTGTCAGCCCCTAACGGCAGCGCTCCACTGGCGCATTAAAGCCGTGGTGGAACCTGTGGGAGGATCGAAATGCTGCCAGGCATGGCAAAGACAGGGAAGAACCAGTGGAAGAAAAGCACGAACAGCTCGGATGCGGGAGGTAGTGGAACTCATCTATCAGCAAAGCGGACTGGATCCCAGCAGAGCTGGCTGGAATTCAAGCGACCGCTTGACGAGCAAATGGCAAAGGGCCCAGGCGACATCAAAGCGTGGCTTGCCAATTGGCTGCCCGTCGTCGACAAGGCACTCAGGGACGAGCATGCACGCACAGCGCAGAACAATGACACAGGGTAACTATGCACAGAGGGGGTCTTACCGTAGAAATAGCTGGCAATCCAGCCAAGGGTAGCTAGTTAGTCGTACAGCACCCTCCGGAGTTTTGTTAAATTTCTCCGGTGGGGGGCTTACACTAGGCCCATCCTAAGTGGGCGCACTTGTGCGCCTGAGGTATATGGGTTCGTCACGGCACCGTTCAGCGGATCGTCTGACGAGGTGTAGCCTTTAAAATAAAATCTCGTTATTTTTTTTTCTTGAGCTTTCCCTGACAGCCTATTGAAGGGGATCTCCACCAACCAGAGATCTCCCAAACTGGCGCTGGCCAAGTTCTTGATCGAGAGCCATTCTGCTGCTGAGGAAAGCCGGTTAAGGCTCCCTTATCATCATCTACCATCAGCTGAGATCTGAGGAAGAGATCGAGAGAGGAAATTCAGCGAGAAAGACCTCCCGGGATCTATCTCGCTCATCGGAAAGGGTCGGGCTATAGAGTTTCCACATATCGAACAGTCATCATTGGCAATTCCGACCTCAGAATAGAACTTTGCTTAGACAAATCAGTCACTCTTTGCTGGAATTATATGATTATATGGTGGGGCTGAAGCCGGTAATAACGTTGAGCAAGCACCTAAGGAAGCTGTTATTGACAAAGCTCCCATTGTTCAGCGTATTGATAATAGTCCCTTCGAAGGTAATCATACACGCAAGCGCGCTTCTTAGGTTAATCCAACTGCCAGCCAGGAGGATATTTGCAATGAGGGGAAGATGATACCCCAAGGTTGCCAAATTGAAGCATCACACAACCTGATTTCAAAGCTGCCATAATATCACAGCTGCCGCTCCAGTTTGCTTTCAAAGTGTCTATCCCGCCTTCCGCTGCCGCCATTCCCAGCTAGCCTTATTTTTGAGTTTCTATACGCATATAGTGTCGCATATACACTAGTCAGTAGAATAATATAGATAGGGTTCAGATTCTCTAGAGAAGATCTTTCTCTAGACAACATCTTTCTACACTTCGGGTTGTTTATTGGTCGTTTCTGGATGGGAACCCTCTGTGAGTCGTTCGTAGCCACTGCATGCAGCGAACGGCAAAGGTCAGGCCAGTTTTTATGGCTGCCAATAGGTTCAGAGGGGACAATACAGGCTGAATCTAAGCTATTGAGACAAACGCAAGCCCGCTCCCGGTAAGACATTCGAATGCGAACCGGAACCTTTTGGAACGTTCCTTGAAAAGACTTAAGGGGCATATATAGCCTTAACCTTAATCTCAACTGACATCACTCGGATCGATCGATCGATCCAAGCCACTCGTACACCTCTTCTTTTTCATTATTTCGATACCTCTATCTTTACTCTCTATTGACTCTATCAAGATAATGCTTCCTCCTCTTTACAGTAGCTACTCCTCTTAACAAAGGCTACTACTCACCACCATGACAGGCTCCTCTTGTTTGGTTAGCGATAGTAGTGGCCGATCGGTCGTTGACTGCTTCCGTTCGATCGATCGGCCGACGGAGCGATGACTTTTTCCACGGAGCGACCATGATGGTACCGCGGAGCGAGCGAACGGAGGCTA